CCAGAGCAGAGGCCATCTCGCCACCATCATATCTATGTACTCGCATGTCTGTGCTGGTGCTGGTGCCAGTGGTCCCTTGGCCGTGGTCCTCTTCTCCTCGTCCCATCGCATCGCATCCTGGTCCGCCAAACCCATCAAAGAGCCACTGCTGAAGGAACAAACCCTCCCCGCTTGTCTCTTCTGGGGCGGACCGAGTCCCCAGCCGCTTGGAAGCGCGAGAAGGGGCCCGAGTCTGCCCAAATGGCGTCCGGGATGCTGCTCAACCCCTGGCCGGCGTGTCTTCTGGGTCTTTGGGGGAGCCACCCAAGGTTGCCCGCACCGCTGGCTCTTCTCTCCACGCCGAGAGGCCACTAAATAAGTGGCTACGGGTCAAAATCTCAGGGAGCACGAGCACCTCCCCAGGGCTTATGATGATGGATGCTGCACACTGTTGAGGAGAAAGCAGCAACTCAACTCTTTGGCCCTGTATGCATTGCTGACTATCGTGGTGTGTAGTACATGCAAACAAGCACCATAAGCTGCAGATGCTTGCACGGGCATCTTACTGTATTCTGCTGATGAGAGGAGACGAGCCTGATGCGGTTCACGTTACGTTATGCTAGTGCAGATAAGGCTTTTGGGCTGCTTGCAGCTCAGCGGGCTAACAGCAGCTCGGGTGCTGCTAGCGACCTGTAGCGTCAGACCTTGCACGTCTTGGTGCCATTAGGCGCCCTGTCGACTCGAGTGGCGACGGTAGCCACAGGCGGTGCTTCTCTACGGACAGGTTGCGGATATCGCAAATCGGGATGCTAGCCGCGACGTGCTAAAAGAGGCCCCGGTAGCGCGCACTGGCGGAATGGAGCTCGTCGCTCTGTGTAGGTACCCTGCCGCAATAAGTGAGTGGCGTCTGGTTTCAATGGGACTGCCAATCCAAAGCTGCTGCTACAGGTGGTATTTCTGGTGTAATGATGAGCTACTAGTAATTCTCACTGCATCCTGCACTTGTCACATCCTGCACTTGTCAAATTCACACACAGCCACCTCCATCGCAGCGTGGCGGCAGCACCACTGATAGCTCTGGCTGCTAACGCTGGTAGTACAGCAGTTCCAGCGCCAGGCACAGTGCCGCTATTAGCTGCTAGCTCACTGCCCCTGTCGCTGTAGCCCGGACGCCGACTCGTCGTACCTGGCAGCTGGTAACCGCTATTGGGGCCAATCTGGGATTCATGGGATGCTGGTCGCTCTATTTTTTTTTCTCGCACCCCCGCCGCTCTCCTTGCAATTTGTAGCCGATGCGATGGGCGGGTTCGTTCCCTTCCAGTTCCGGCTCTTTGGCAGCTCGAGTCGGGGGTTCTGGGTTCTGGGCGGCGACAGTTCCCTAAAATTACCAGGCCGGGGGGTGTAGAATAGTGCGTGTACTGGGCTGTTAAGCTACGGAGCTTATGTGCAGCAGCGGGAAACAAAAATCTTGTGCTTGGGGGATCGATATTGGCATTTCTCTCTTCTTCTTGTCCTCGGCTGTCACCTTGACCTTCGTGCGTTGCTGTCTTTCTACCGGACGCTGATTCTCTCTCTTGTTCATTACATTTCTCTTCTTCATTTCTGCACTTCTTCACGCTTAGCTCACTTTGTTCCGTTGATTCGCAGCTCAGCCAGCAGCTGCCAAGTACCGAGTACCTTGCACGAGATACCCTTTTAGCCATCCAACCACATTTTGCCTATCCTCATCCTCATCCTCGTCCTCATCTTCCTCGTCTTGTCTCCATTCTCTGTATCGGTCCATCTATCTGCGGCTGCCCATCGGAGCTTCTTGTTTGGCGTTCGAAAGCCGAATATAGCGGATCCGGTGTCCGTCGTCGTCCATTCCTCTATATCGAATCATACACGCAGATACATACAAAAAGAGAGGAGGAAGCTCTACTAACTATCCGCCCACGAGCAAAGCTCTACAACCACCGTCCTTCACTCAGCCTCTGCCGGCATAATCAACAGCCATGGGTATCTTCTCCCGTAAACAAAAGTCCCCTCGAGAGTCGGGCATCCTCGAGTCTCAGTCCACCACCAGCTTCGGGTCTTCCACATTCCGGGGCCTGGCCAACAACCGCGTGTCCGCTGGCAGCATGTTGACGCCCAATACGCCTCTATCGCCGCTGCCCTCGCTCAAAATACCCAAGCTGGATCTGCCCCGACCTCCGGATCCAGCGCTGGACCCGGCGGGCTACCTGCGAAGCTTGGGCGCAATCCGAGACAGGGCCAAGGTCCTGTTAGAAAAGGCCGAAGACAACGAGCTGGTCCATTTCGATGTTGATATGAACAAGTTTCCCAACGTGGTGACTTTTGTTTCAGGGCTTATCAAGGTACGTTTGTTTATTTGTTGGGAGATCCAAAGCTTGTGGCGAAGGATATGCTATTTGGTATTGTCAAGCTGGGCTCGGATTGTTTCTCTTGCTCTGCGCTCCCCCCCTCTCGCGCAAGACAGTGGACTGTTCAAGATGGCCTGTTCGTTGCTTCGCTTGCCTCTAAGCGCGCCTTCCCATTGGGTCACGCTAGCCATCATCTCATTATCTGTATAGCTGGGGCGAAATTAGACTAACAGGATACAGCGAGACCACGAGGCTCCTTTCCAGGACATTCCCAGCCATGGCCGTTATCAGCATTTCTGCATAGGGGGCCGAGACCGGATAGCCGAGCTTCTGGGGAGCTGGGGTGACAGCGTCGACAACACAGAGCGCTGCCGCCGACTTGTCGACCTCTTCTTCATCAGCGTACTGCTGGATGCCGGCGCTGGAACTACATGGACCTACAAAAGTGTCGACAATGGCAAACGCTACAGGCGCTCTGAAGGCATCGCAATCGCCAGCTTGGAAATGTTCAAATCGGTAGGTTTTAACGCAATGATTTTCGAATACTCCTTGGCAAAGGACCTGATTTCTAACCCGGCGCAATCTAGGGAATATTCTCTGCAAGCCCAACCAACAAGCATCAAGTCGACAAGACGGCATTGGGAGCCCTTTCGGTAGCTAAGATTGCCTCGGGCATGCAGTCTGACCCCGACAACGAAATTGTTGGCTTGGAGGGCCGAACCGAGGTTTTGGTCAAGCTGTCAGAAGCTCTTGCAGAGCACCCAGAGTACTTTGGCGCTGATGGCCGCCCTGGCAATATAGTTGGTAAGTAACCCCCTAATTTTCGCCATTACATGCCTCAACGTTTGTGCGCCATTCTAACCATATTTACAGACCATTTGCTGTCACATCCCGCAACACAAATGTCATCGATTCTCATCGTCCCCCTACCAGTCCTGTGGACCATTCTAATGGAAAGCCTTGAGTCCATCTGGCCCTATCGAACAGCAATCAACGGCGTCCAGCTTGGAGATGCCTGGACCTGCGAAGCCTTGCCCACCTCCGGACCAAATTCGTGGGAATCCATCCTGCCGTTTCATAAGCTGACACAGTGGCTTGCGTATTCCCTCATGCAGCCCATGCAATCCCTGCTAAACATGTACTTTTCCGGAACAGAGCTATTGACTGGCCTGGCTGAGTACCGCAACGGCGGCCTCTTTGTTGATCTCGGCGTTTTGACTCTTAAGGAGGTCGACATGGCCCGCGGATTGGCCAACTACAGCGAATACTGCAAGACGTCCGGCCTCAAGGTCATTGAGGTGGCTCCCATGTTCCCGACTTCGGATGATGTCATTGTGGAATGGCGCGGCCTGACGATCGCTCTGCTGGACAAGCTATGTGAGGAGATCAACCTGGCGCTGGAGTCGGAGTTGGATGGCCATGAGATAACCATGGCACAGCTAATGGAAGCTGGCAGCTGGAAGGTAAGGAGAACACTCAACACTCGTGGAAGAATGTCGACTAATTATTTCAATAGGGAGGTCGTGAGATTGCCGAGATTAATCGGCCAAATACAAAGGAGCCGCCGATTTTAATCGAAAGCGACGGAACAGTATTCTAAAAACAGTCGCGATAGCGGGTGCTCTTCTCTTCTCACTCACCCCCTTCATTGACCCGAAAACTACTATTTAACTGCACACCAAAATTTCACCCTCCTTTTCACCTTTTCTTTTCTCGATCTATATATGGGAAGGCATGCACTGCTTTATTTGTCATTTTGGGCCTGTTCTTTGTTTGTTTGCGATGCGGAAATGATAAGCAGATCTTGGTGGTTTCTATTTTTTCTCTTTTGTGTTTCCATTCTCAACTTGATTACGATTTGGTAGATACTTACTTGCGGAAAATCGTACAAGAACAGAAAAAAAATGGACAAAGGAAAAAAAGATTTTGGAAGCTGTGTTTGAAAGAAAAGAAAGCAAAAGGAGAGAGAGAGACATACAACACAGAGAGAAAGGTTATGGGATATCTGCTTTTTTCTGGTGCTACTATGGCGGAGGAAAAATAAAATAAAATTAATACGGGCTTTGCGTTGCTCTGCCCGTTTTCTTCTTTCTACTATCTGGCGTTGTTCTTGTCTTTGTATAGGTACTATTTCGTATGGTGTTGGTCTCTTGTTTTTAGAATCATTGATCCTTTTCAAGCTCCGGCAACTGGGCTGAAGGATTGAGCCCCTTGTTTCTTAGGCATCCCCCTTTTATTTCTTAGTCATGGTAGATTGACTGACACTTTCAGTAGTAGTTCGTTTAATAATGTTTTTAATTTGTCGAGAGTGTTCTTTTGAATTGCTTTGGTCTATTTGCGAAAAGAGTTTTTTTCCCACTCTGCCCCTATTACCTATTGTACAAGATTTCGACTTTGAAGATTTTCTTTTCCTCCCCCTTATCCTCATCATTTGATGCCATCTTTTTACCCCGTCTTCGCCGCGCTCGATACGCTCTACGTATGTACCTAGTATATACTGTTACACTGGCGAGTTTTATAGATAGTACATGTACAAGAAAGGGTTGACCCAAAAGAGAACGTCCACCTCTCTCCTCCCAACAGCGCTTTTGACTGCTATCATGTTATAAGTTCTTCATCTTTCCATCTTTCCAAGTCTATGTGGCAGTTTTTTTTTGTTTATTTCTTGCTCTTGTATTTCAGCTCAAACTGCTCGCGCTCCTGCTGCTTCCGCATATCCTCCAACTTGCGAATCATCTCCCTGCGCTTCCTCTCGGCCTTTTCCTGCTCCGTGCCAGAGTACGTGCCGGTGTAGTTGGACACGGACTCGGAAACGCCCTTTTTCATGTCGTCGAGGCTGGTGGTGAGTCGCTCCCGAAGGCCGCTGAGGCCGGGGGCTTCGGAGCGGGGTGCCTCGTACTGGATCTTCTTCTGAGGGGCGGGCGCCTCGTCGACGGGGCCGGTGGGCAGGCCGAGGGAGCGGCGGATGGAGGTGATGTTGAGGATGAGGGCGGTGAGGAGGGTAGAGGCGCCGAGGGCGACGGTCATGAGGTTGACGGCGGCGGAGAGGAAGGTGGTGCCGACAAAGCCGACGGTGCCAAAGATGTACATCATGGGCTTGAGCATCTTTCGCTGCTGCGGGGGGGTGTGCTTTGCGTTGATCTGGGGATTTGGTCAGTAAGATGCTAAAGACAAGGCGTGACGAGTTCAACTAACCAGAAGAGCACCCATCATGAAGGCGGTACCGGCAGCGGGAAGAATAAAGTAGGGATCAGTGGCGGAGAGGTCGGTGAACCACAGGAAGCCGGCAGATTCCAGCGAAGGCACTGGGATGTGCACCATACCGCTGACAATACGGAAGAGGCCGAATGTAAAGGGGATCTGCGCAAGTGACCACATGATGCCCCAGTTGCTGACGCCGTACTCGGATCGCAGCATCTTGTTCAGGACCTGGCCGCGCTGACGCTTCTCCATGTCGCCCTCCTGGAAGCCCTGCTGGACGAGCTTCATGGCCTCGTTCGATCGAGGGTCCTTTCTCATCCGCTGCATGATGGCGTTGAATTTGAGACTCTGGATCTGGGGGTAGAACATGAGAGTTCGCAGCAGGACGGCCGTAGCCATGATGGAGGCACCCCAGCCGAGGCCAGACCACACGTGAACGTGCTCCAGAATCCATTGCATGACGGAAGTGAAACCGATGCCGTAGTCCAGTCCAATCGCGTGCAGGTAGCCGATATCCTCGGGCATGTTGAGGATGTCCTGGCCGTTGATGAGGGCCGAAATCGAGGAGAGGTCGACATCGGAGGCGGCGACGGCGGGTTCGGTCGCAGACGCAGAGGCAGACGCAGCGGCGGCAGCATCAGCGGGAGCAGCAGAGGTTGCGGCAGAAGCCTGCTCTACGGACGCCTGTGTAGCAATAGCATCGCTGGCAGCCTCTGGTGTTGTTGCTGTCGTCGTCGCAGCAGAATCGTCTTTTTTGCTTCCCCCACCCCATCCCCACAGAGACAGCGATCTTGAAGACGAGACCCCTCCGAGCACAATTGGCGCGGCAGCGGCGTATCGAGTGCGGAATGGCGATGAGGCAGTCGTCAATCTGGCGTTTGTGTTTCGCAGTGAGGTGCCAAATTGGCGGCCATGGCTGAGTTGTCGATTGGAAAGATTCTGCTTTTCGGCTATTAGTCGCAAGACCTCTTAAAAAAAAGTAGTATATAAAGAAAATTCGTGCCACTGAATAGGCGCTCTTTTTGTAAAGGCAAGCTATTTTCTTACCGTTAATCGAATTGTTTGTGCTTGCCTCCAAGCTCCCGGTGAAGGGAGGGAGCGCGCAATCCCTCTGCTTGGAAGCATTGCGATTGGATTGTGGTTCGGTATGAATGAAGCGTCTGGATATCAAATTGTTGCGCTTCTGACGGGGGCCTGGTCTGGGTGAATTTTTGGGAGCGGCGGATAAATGTCGGATCTACCCCACGCTGGGTGCTGATCTGCGTGCTCCAAGAAGGTAGAGCATGAGATGGAAAGAGATAATGGCAACACTACTTGGTTTTAATGGAGAAGCTTGATTGTATTAGCGTGGCCATCATAGTCAATGGATGAATTGGCGGTTTTAACGGCATAGTTGACAGTTTTCATGTAAATTGCTGGTTCATTTTGCAGCGATATTACTGCCTGGATAGCTTTATTCCGCTACCCGCTGCTAAGCTGATAGATAATGTAGTCTAAAATGCATTGCACCGCAGTCTTCATAATGCATTTGCACGTGTGTATTTAGACATGATTGATTCATATACAGTATTTCTTATTCATTTTAAAAATGCCCCCCTCTTATTCCAAGCTTGCAATATCCTCTAGTGAAGGTCCGGGTCGCTCTCGTCGCTCTCGGACTTCAATGCCGGGGCCAATGGCATGAGCTCGTCTCCGAGACAGAGGGAAGACCTGAAATGCATCCAGAGAGGTTAGCGAAAACCAATTTCCTCAACAATCTTGTAGATTTTTCGATACAAGACGTGGAAATGAGAGAGTCAAGAGGTGGACTCTTGTGAATCAGAGTCCCCAGCCCATAACTGACCTTTGTGCCGCCCCATCCTAGTCTGAACGCGAATTCATGAGCAAACAGCTCTCCAAATCCCAGCATCATGCCGTTGATAAATGGCAGCACCAAGTTGATGGCCGCGCTCCGTATCAGCGTCCAGGCTGTCGGAGGATTGTACAGAATGACCGGCGAGTTTGATGACGATGGTGACGATACTTCGTTGCCTGGGGAGTACTGCTCGCTGTCCGACCGCATGGTGACGCCAGAGTCGGCCAGATGGGCGCTGAGATCGTCGGTCGACATCGTGATGGCTTGTCCAGATGGAATCTCCTGATGTCCGCTGGTCGAGATTGATGCTGGACAAGGTGCTCGCAAGCTATGATGTACCTCCGTTTACTTGGAGTAAAGCCGATACGGAGCAGCTGCTCGGCATTAGAAGGAAGCTGACATAATGCATCGTCGGGGTCGGTGGATCGCTATTCCGGTGGGGTCAAGCGTCAAGCACCCGCTACTTTTAGGTGCCGCGCCGAAAGTGTGAAGCGTGTGGGACAGCTTGCATGACGAAAGTGAGCCGCTGCCTTGCTTTGGTAATCGCATCAAACGGCTATCAAAGGAACAGATTATCTTTCTACTGCATCGATAGCACGCGTTTGCACGAATAGGACAAGAAAAGGACTTGCAGCTGCGTTTTCAGCTTCATTTCTCTGCTCAATCACGCATCCTGTCTATCTTCAGCACTTATTCACGACCCCTCACATAGCTTCTCACCACCATGGCGGAGGTTCCAGATCGTGATGAGATGGTACGGAATTTCGTCACCATGAGTGGCGCCTCAGAAGAGCTGGTCAGTATAATTATGGCCGTGGATTTGTCACGTTACTTGGAAGCTCGCCAATCCTGACTGATTGATACAGGCCATTCAGTACCTTGAATCAAACGGTTGGGACATGCTGGCCGCTTGCAACTCCTACTTCCACGACGAGGATGAACGAAACGACGAACGACGCAGGCAACAGGCCGAGGAGGGCACGCTTGAACAGTACAGCGGCCCACGAACCTTGGACGGTCGCCCTGCCCCTCAAGAAGACTTCTCCAGTGCGGCGTCTCGGAAATCGAAGCAGCCGAAGAAGAAGGGAATTGCTACGCTGGGATCACTAGGAGGCTCAGCTGCCCACCACGATGACGATGACGAGGACGATGACTTTGATGATGACGACGAAGACGATGGACGGGGCAATCTGTTTGCCGGCGGCGAAAAGTCTGGACTTGCGGTTCAGGATCCCACATCAGAAGGTGGCTCGAGGAAGATAATCAGTGACATATTGGCCAAGGCCAAGGCGTGAGTAACATGGATGCTGTCTGTTGGATATAAGGGTTTTCTAATGCTTTACAGGAACTCACGCCAATCAGATGCCAACCCCGAAGCCGGCCCTTCTCGCCAGACTCATTTCCGCGGTACCGGCGTAACACTTGGAGGAGACGGCGTGGAGAGCCGAAGCATCCCCGATCCTCGCGGTGCTGAGCAGAGACCCACGGGACCTCCAGTGGAACGAGTGCTTCACATCTGGCACGATGGATTCAGCATCGACGATGGCGAGCTTCGCCGTTTCGACGACCCTCAAAACGAGGCGGATCTTCAGCTGATTCGCTCTGGTAGGGCCCCTCTGCATCTGATGAATGTCCAGCACGACCAATCCGTCGATGTCAAGCTCCACCAACACGATAGCCCATACAAACAGCCACCAAAGCAGTATAAACCCTTTTCCAGTGCTGGCCAGCGCCTTGGCAGCCCAGTTCCTGGCGCCACAGCTTCATCCTCGACCCAAACCACTGCTCCCTCTGGAGCTTCCTCGTCGTCTGCTGCGCCCGCGCCAACCATTGACGATTCACAACCCACAATTATGATCAGAATCCAGATGCCCGACGGATCTAGGCTGCCAGCCCGTTTCAACACTACGCATACGGTGGGCGATGTATACGGCTTTGTTCAGGGCGCTTCAGTAGAAACTCGTGATCGAGCCTGGGTCCTGGCTACAACCTTTCCCAACAAGGAGCACACAGATAAGACTCTTGTTTTGGGTGAGATGGCTGAATTCAAAAAGGGTGGAACTGCCGTTGTCAAGTGGGCATAGACGAGAAACGATGGAGATATGGGTTAGGCATTGAACTACAGGGAACAAAGGGATGCATTGCTTTTAAACTAAGTTTGGTAAAACTCACACATAGATGAGTTAGAGACCGGTACAAAAGGTCAAATTTAAGACAGGAAATCACAGTTACGCCGAGTTCTTCCTTGGTCCTCACATACTGAGCTATACCTATTCATAAAGCTAACATGCTTAGCAGCCATTATACAAAGTTATCAACTGTTGGCGTGCAAGTTTATACTACAGACTGTTTTCTAAAGTATGTACAAAAAAACAATCAAAAAAAGGATCAGAGACCAGGATAGATGTAAATTACAAACACTGCTATTACCATTGAGATGATTTACCACGGTATTATTTGTTCCGAAACGCCTCGTTAAACACAGTCTGCTTCATTAAATCATTAGGATTTCCACTTTCCTCCCATCTCTTTATGCTCTCAACTCCTCAAGCTGGTGGAGCTTGCGCAGCGGCAGTGGGCGGGGCTGCTGGGGCATCCAAGAACTTGAAATGCTCAATGGCAATCTGGCAATTCAGCATGGCAGCATTGAATCGCGCCTCGCCAGGGGGCAGCACCACCATGAGGTAGGTGTTTGTGGTGAACTTGAGGATGAAGAGGCTGAAGCGCAGGCCGGCCTTGTGCTCCATGCGGATAAACTGCTCGGCGTTGCGCGGTGTGCCGGTGTAGCGCGATATGCTCTGCTTGAAGTGCTTCATGATGTTGGACATGCGCTCCTGGCGGTCTTCTGTGGGGTTGTTGCGGCCTTCGGGCGAGGTCCACGACGAGACGGCAAGGAAGGACGTGCGCTCGAAGAGGAGCAGCTCTTCGGCCTCGATGGCAACGCCGAGGTTGGCGAGGTTGTGCTCAATGACGGCGAGGTTGGGGACCAGGTCGTGGATGATGGACGCCCAGGCCTTGTACAGGCTCTGGTCCCAGATGGACGTGGCAAAGGGCGTCAGGTCGACGTTGCTAATGTCCATGCCGACGGAATTAACGTACTCGGCCGTCTTCTGGCGCACGAGCCGCACGCGCTCGTCATAGACGGTCTCGCGGGAGTTTGGCACGACGAGATCCATCTTGTGGACGAGGATGTACATCTTTGCGGCGGGGGAGTACTGCAGCAGGGCGGAGAGGATGGAGACGTAGGTGGCCAGGTCGCGGTCGACATCGCGCGACTCGATGTCGAAGACGTAGATGAGCACGCCGACGTTGGAGAAGACGTGGACGCGCTGCTGGGAGAGGTAGTTTTCTATAAAGGCCTCTTGGCCGCCGCAGTCCCAGAGGTTGAGGGTGAGGTTGCCGAGGAACTTGACGTGGGAGAGGTCGATGTCGATGGTGGCGCCTCTGTGGAACGAGTAAGTACGGAGCAAAAAAAAGAGAAAGAGAAAGAAAAGAAAAGAAAAGAAAAGAAAAGAAAGGATAGAAAGGGAACTCACAATCTTCGAGTGTCGCGCGCTATGTAGTTGCTGAAGATGATGCTGCGCATGCTCGACTTGCCGGACCCGGACTTGCCCATGAGGAGGACCTTCTTCTTCTTAGGCTTCTTGACCTCGTTACGGACATCGGAGCCGGCGTCCGGCGGTGGGGGTTCGCCAAATGAAGCCATGACGAGGGCTGGTTGTGAAATGGCAGCGTATAGAATGCGGTGCGTGTGGTGTTGGAGGAAGCAAAGAGGTCCAAGATGGTTGTCACAGAGAGGCTATGGGCGGTACATGCAAGGTACCTGCTAGCAGCGCGGGAGCCGCTTTAGTGTCTGAGTACCTGTACGCAGGCATGAGCACGTGCAATTGCTGGTGTAGCTCTCAGCTGTAATTAGGTGCGACATTGGCATTTCATTCGGCTCTATTGCGCTTCTATAAATGGATGTATCTTTAAATTTGCATCCTCGGATCAGCCCTCTGCAGGCCAAAATGTATACGAGAAAGTGGCTTTGGAAGTACATGCTGTACGTTGAGCGTACTAAAATGGCAGCCAAAAGCTTCAAAGCTGGAGCTCAGTAGTCGTCGTTATCAGCTGCGCTCTTATCGCTGCCTTGCCTTATGTAATCCGCCACCTAAGCATCTGCTGCACCTCTGAAACCACATGTCAAGTCCAAGCTGGCCTGCAACTCCAAATTCAGAACATCGCGTCACTCTCTCCAAAACGTCATCCCCGTCACAATTTCCTACGCACCGCCACCACAGCTCTCCAATCGATCATGGCGCAATACTACAATCAGTACGGCGCCTCTGCATCGCCCTCAGCAACCGAGAACCTCCAATTCTACCACGGCTCCTACCAAGCCGCGCCCTCACAAGCTCCCCCGGCCAGCTACGGCGTCCCTCCTGGCGGCGGCTATCGCGAACAGACTGGCCTGAGGACGGGATGGCTGGCGGCCTTTTCCGCAGAGGGCTACGACAACGAGCCGTCATTACGAGAGGAGCTGGGCGTCGACTTTGCGCACATGCAGGCCAAGACGCTGGCCGTCCTCAACCCGTTTTCTCCTATCGAGCGGCTGGAGCATGTTATGAACGACTCTGATTTGGCTGGGCCTTTGCTATTTGTGATTCTGTTTGGCGCCTTTTTGCTTTGCAGCGGGCAGGTTCACTTTGGCTATGTTTACAGTCTGGCGGTTATGGGCTCGACTACGTTGTATATGATACTCAGCTTGATGACGCCCGACACCCCGCCGGGATATCCTGGGGCCGAGCCCACGGCTAGCACACTTACGTTTACTCAGAATGCGAGTGTGTTGGGGTATAGCTTTTTGCCACTGGTTCTTACGGCGCTGGTTGGTGTGGTCATGCCTCTGGATAGCATGGCGGGATACATCATTACGAGCTTGGCCATTTGCTGGTCGACTTCAAGATCAAGCGCCATCTTCTGTGGTGAGTACGATTGAAAGCTGGACAAAGTGAATAGATATGACTAACTTGTACTAGCCGTTGGCAAAATGAAGGATATGCGCGGACTGGTGGCGTATCCAGTAGCCCTGTTCTACGTTGGATTCGGCATCATCACCATCTTCAACAGCCGAGGAAAGGCGCAATGAGCTGAAGGAAGCGACTATGGGTTAGAGGGATTATTGATATTGAAATCGGATATGGGAAAAGCGCACTACGAAGGGCGAGGGCCTGGCTTCCTCTGAGCTATAGGCACTGGGGGATCATGTCGGCTCGTGGCCCTTGCCACTTGGCAGTTTGGTACAGTGGAAAAGAATTGCTTTATTTGCAGTGAAATTTTTGGCAGTGGAGCAAAATTCTTGCCACGGAGCGGAGAGAAGACGCATAGAGGGTTTATAATGGAAACCTAAAAGTGGTCAAGCTAGCTTTTTGATAGCCAAGCCCCCAGCGACTATCACGTGTATAATAAATAATTATTTACGAAGCGGATGTGCTTGGTGCTGCTATTGGGGTATTGTGAAGGCTGCGATTTCCAAAGCTTGAAAGATTCAAACACTATGGTTAGCTACCGCTTGCGCTCCAGCGCGAGCACTCATTTGCCAATATGAGTACTGTCGGGGGACACTTGCCTGACATCCCCAGAGGAAGGAAGGAAGGAGACTACCGTCGAAGATATATAGCAGCCCTTAGATCCCGTATCATAGATGAAGACAAGCTTTTTGATCCCACCTCGTGCGTTATTACGTTCCATACCGTAGAAACCGCACTTCGAAAGTAGCCCGCAGAATTCCTGAGAGGTGGTCCAAACACTTGTCTACATGACACCGTTTGTGAGATCATCCCTGGAAGGGCGGACCTGGTAGACGTGCTCAAGCAGGTTTTTTTTGGAATACATCACAAAGATGATACCGTTGTAAGTATCCGTACTGTCCATGCAATCGGTGACGACAACGGCGGTGCTATGGGATTGTGATACGTGATGTGTACAGAACTCGTCTTCTGAGCCGACAACCCACATTGACCCCCTCATAGAAATGCGTTAATTGCAATTGTATTTATAACTATTACGTCCGAAAGGGGGCGCGGCCGCAACTACAATGACGCTCGCCGCGAGAGATTTTGGCGAAATGGCGGATACTTTTCCCGCCAACCAAGAGTTGCTCCAGGCCGAGAAGATCAATGGCTTCGCGTATCTTGGCACGGCGGCTGGGGTGATGCCGAGGGAGGGCCGCTGTGGCCCGATGAGGCACTAGAAAGAGACCTGGAAGAAGAGATTGAGGCTCTGATCATCCCGGCTGTGGCAGAACTTCACGACGCCCATATTGCAAAGTCAAACAGCATTAAGGAGGAAATAAAACCGACAAGAGCCATCGTTTAAACAGAGGTAAAGAGATCTAAAGAGAGAGACAGAAAGAGAAAGAGATACAGAGAGAGAGAAACACACAGAGAGAGACATAGGGAAAGAAAGAGCTAGAAAGAGCAAGAAAGAAGAATCTACTTAGTACTTAGATTAATTTTATATAAGTAGAATAAGTTTAAAATGACACAGGAATACTAACAAAAATTCTGAAATAGAAAACAACCTTAACTAGTAGTATATAACAGAAGCTTAGTATAAAGACGCTATACGCACTATAATACTATCCAAAAATATATTAGGGAGCAATGTAATTATCAACATTTAAACCTTAAGTATTTTCTTGTCTTTATTCGGTTCTCTTTCCAAACCGTGCACAAACCGAACTTGATGTTTGTGTTTGTTAGCGACATGCAAGCGAATACCGTACAAGTTACATTACAAGAATAGGATACTGATTTTTTGAGATGTCTAACCTTTCCGAAGATGATCATTCTTATGTAGCCTGCAATGAAACCACCTCCACCTACGTTACGTCCCCTTCCGTGATTGTCCAAGTGAACCAAGCAAGATCAAGTCGTTATTCTCGGTCCCTGATACAGCTTTGCACTTTTTATACAGTCACAATTACTTCCAGATGTAATAGATCAAACTTGTCATTATTCATAATATAAAACCTGAATAGTTAACAGAACGAAGCCTCCTGCTCTTGATAATTCCCAATTGGTATCTTCCATAACTTTAAGCAAAACTCATATCGTTAATCGTACACAGCATTCTGATAAAAATGTAAAAACACCAGTCCACCTTTCACATCGTCCCTCTCGCTATCGCTTAGGGAATGATTTTACGACCGGTAGCATCAACCGTGGTGGCAGATCGACTATCCACACTCGGGTCCAGCTTGTTCAGAATGTCATGTCGATGAGGTCCTGCTGTGGTCGGAGCTGGTCCTCCCACTCCGGGGGGGAAGATGGGCCTGGCGTTTCCTCCAGCTCCCATGCCTCCTCCAGCTCCAACTCCAGCGCCGCCTCTAGCTGCGGCTCCTGAGCCAGCTCCAGTGCCGAGTCCTACTCTTCGGCGGTGGTCTGCGTCAGAGTCGACTCGCGGATCAGCAGCATTGGCCAGGCGAGAGGTGTGAGGGCCATACGTGCCCTCGGGAGCATTTCGAGGCACGGAATTGCCACCCGGGACGACGTTTGTGCCCATGGTGTAGTAGTTGCCGGCGTTGGGCAGCGTCGGATCAACGGCGTTGCCGCCGTAGGGGTTGTTGCTGCCCATGACGCCTCGGCCGTGGACGGGGGCCTGGCCCTGAGCTCCACCAGCCATTCCCATTCCTGCGTTGTGTTGAGCGCCGGTCATGACCTGCATTCCACCCGTGCCGCTATCGACAGTGGGATCCAGCTTGTTGAGGATGTCGTGGCGGTGCGGTCCGGCGGTGAAGGGCGCCGGGCCGGGGAGGTTGGCGTTTGCGGTGTTTGCGGCGTTTGCATGGCCGGGGCCGGAGCCGTAGGTGGGGCCTGGGCCTGCAGCGCCGGAGGCTGCGAGGTGTTGATGCTCAGCGGCGAGCGCCTGGTTCTTTTTGCTGGAAAGAGGCATTGTGGTGTTGTGGTTATGTTTGTTTGTTTTTGTTTGTTTTAATTGTTTTAATTGTTGTAAACAGTGTGTGTTGTTGTTTGAGTATCTGTATTAAAACGTTATCCTAGCCTTGCACAACGGTCTTTATATAACCATTCGGGCGCATCCTGTGGCAATTCAATGACATGCATCCATGATGTCGACATGACGGCCCATGGCTCACGATAGTATCCACCAAGCCTGACAATATCCAAGAAATGGGATTCCTATCTTGGCCTCTGTGTGTTGAATCGAACGAACTGCGTATTCTCAAAATCTGGGGGTTCCTGATGTGGCGAAGTCGCGACGATCATGACGTCTCCACTAGCTGGGCTATGATGGCAGAGCCACAAGAGCCACAAGAGCCACTTGCTTGCGGGTGATGGCACCAGACGCGGATTACTGGTAGCGGCACGCTACATGCAGATCATTTCTACACTGTGGCTCTTAGACTTTACGGGTACCTATCGACATTGAGTGATGCCGAATTATCGTCGCGTTCTTGGCTCATTTGGGATGATGAGGGTGTTTTACCTCCCAACGACGTCACCATGACTGGACTTGTATGGTAAAAGACATTTGGCCAATCACGGTTAGATGGCGTTTAATGATGGAATGACTAAGCTTTCTTGATTGAACAAAACTGAATTGCTGTAGAAACTGTCTTTCTCGCTTATTTTTCCAATTGAATACAATATGAACTTGCAGGCCCGCTTCTCCCAAATGTAGAGTCCTTCAAACGACCAGGGTATATCACTAAACGTCCGTACTCGCATGCTCAGAAAGGAATCATCACGCGGAAACTCAAAAGCCAAAACAGGGAAAAGGCCTATTCCTCGCCCGTCTCCCTCTGTGTCGGGGCCTGGCTTTTCTTTTCAGCCGCCTCGACGTTTTGGGTCTCGCCCTTTTCCTCATCCGCCAGCTTCACGCCCGTCTCTCCGTTCGAGTCGTCCCTCTCGACGCCAGCAACAACGCCTTCAAAGCTACGGCCTCGTCGCTCGGGGCCAACCATGACGGTCACAAAGATGCCCGTGGCGATGATGGCCGTGGCGATGCCCATGACGGGGCCGTACGCCTCGGCCTTTTCGCCGCCTCTGATGGTGATGAAGGTGTGCTCAGAGATGGCGTTGACGAGCTGGGCTGAGGGAGACGAAATCATGTTGCCCAGCTGGTAGGTGACGCCAGGGAAGGACGACCGGAAAGCAGGAGGAGACAGCTCGTTGAGGTGGATGGGGATCACGCCCCAAGCGCCCTGGACGAAGAACTGCATGAAGAAGGCCGTGGCACACAGCGCCGCCTCGCTCTCGGGCAGAATCCAGGCGGGGATGAGGAGCGCGGACATGAGCGCGGCGACCATCATGGCGCGGCGGCGGCCAAAGAACTGGCTGAGGTAGCTGATGATGGTGCCGCCGACGGAGGCGCCAACCTTCATGATGATGGAGGCGCGCGACGCGCCGGCGTTGTCCAGCTTCTTCTGCTCCAGCATAAACGTCGTGAACGAGTCCTGCGACGTGTGCGAGTAGTAGTTGAACCACGTCATGAGGATGACGCAGTACACGAACATCTTCCACTCCTGGACGAGCATCGTCCGCGTTTCGCGCCAGAAGGCCCCTGGAGACGATGCCTTCTTGCCGGCCTTTTTGGCGTCCAGAAACTGCTGCGATTCCGGGAAGCAGATGCGGAGCAGACCGACGCCAATGGATAGTCCCGCTGAAGCCACAGAATGTTAGCCCGATTCAGAGACATGGACAAAGAAAACTCAAAAAGCTGGGGTAAACCAAACGAACCTCCGATCCAAAAGACGGTTTTCCAGGACTCGACGGCGCCTCCAACGCCGAGATTGGCGGACGCAGCCAAGACGTAGCCGACCGAGTAGCCCTGTTGGAGGATGCCCGACATCAAGCCACGCGCGTTGGATCTGAAAGCCAAGAGATGTTAGTTTCCTAAAAGCGTAAAAGACAAAAAGCCACGTAGATGTCGACTCGATCAGGCAAAACTTGAAAAGGGTCTGTACGGCAGAATGAGGCATAGCTACTTACGGGCATTGCTCTAGTGCCATGGCTATGGCGTTACCGTACACTCCTCCCATGAACAGGCCAAACATGCTTCGCACCGCCAGAAACTCCGTGAATGTCCTGCAGTAGATTGTAGCAATCTGGAGACCTCCCAGCACCAGCATGTTGAAGACCATGGGCCATTTCCGGCCCCATTTGTCTCCAGCCAGGCCGAAGAGGGCGGCACCAGCGGAGCGAAGCAGCAGCGTCAGAGTAATGGCCGTTGTAATGTCCGTTTTGGACCGGCCAAAGTATTTGGACAGCTTGACTGTCTGGATGGAGAGCGCGTGGAAGTCAAAAGCGTCGGCCGTCCACGCGAGCCAGCCGACGATGAAGAAGATCCAGTCCCTGAGCGAGAGCTGGGCCAGCAGCGAGATGGGGTTCTGGATGGGATCTGGCTCGTGCCACTCGCATCGCGTCTCCCCGTAGGCGTTGGTGAGGACCACCCGCTGCTTCCAGACGAAAAGGTCACGCCATGACTGTTTGGCCGTGGCGATGACGCCTTTGGCCAGGTCGTCGGCGGGTTCGTGCTGTGTTGAGGGGGTGCTGGCGCTGTCTGACATTGTTACCAGTGTGTTGTCTTGTATTGGACTGGTTTGGTAATCAGAGAGCAAAGATGGACAAGAACACAAAGATGGGAAAGTGTGAAATGAGGATGAGTTTGGGTGATGGTTTTTTGTTTTGAAATCTGCGTCAGAGAAGGGGTTATTTATATGTGTAAAGAAGAGCGACAAGTGGGCACGTTGGCTTGATAGGAGAAAAGTCGGAATGAAGCCCGGCCGAAAGCGATGAGAGTTTTGAGAGTTTTATGTATAAGCTTTTCGGGCCAACAATACGATACGGAGAAGAAGAATGTCTAATTCACCACACTAGCATAGGAGCTAGACATTAAAGCGTATTGCTACAGCAGGATCGTCAGGGTGAAGGCTTTAATGTTTCCCCATATTTGAGCGGGCGTATAGTCACATGGTCTCTGAACCAACTGTTGAAGCTCAATGCGGAGAGAAATAGACATTCAAGCTTTCGGGGCTTCTTTTCCTTTGGCTGAACTGTGGCTGGCCTCGACGAGTCTGGACTTGTATAAACTTTTTCCTTTACGCCTTGTCTACTCTCCAGGCTACAGCTAATTTCTTTTGCCCGAATGCAAAGGCTCGACAGCTCGCTTAAGAGGTTTAAAAAGCGATATTTCAGCGCATCTAGACCTGGGGAAAATGGAAAGGCAATCTGGAGGCGCCGGTTGAGGAATGCGGGGATGATGTGGAGAGAGATATCTAGGATCGAATGGAGAGAGAGGGGGAAATACGGAAACTATACTTTTTCGAATCCTGGAATCTTGGCAACTAGACCATTATAAGGCCGTGAGAGTTTGGGGAATAGAGACGGTTCGTCGCGTTGAGTGGACGGACTGGGATATGGAGAGATGGAGGGCGCATGGACGTGACTTGCTGTGGGGGAGGGGACGATACAAGCCCGAGACAGTGAGCTGTTGTGTTTGAGAAAGCACCGTTGGACGACAAACTGAGTGGTTATGAGCTTCCGAATCGCCCCGAGAAGGTGCAGAAGACTAGACTTAATGATGCCAGTGACTACTGCCAGGGGATTGGAAAATCCAAAGTGATTGTTGCTTATTCTAGCTTTGAATTACTTTCGCATGAGGTGTATCCATACACATAGAGCGTTGTATTACTTCTAGTACCCGTTGGCTTCTACGTACAGAGCCAAGTTGTTGTATCTCCAACTTCCATGTCTCCTCTTAGATACCTTCCGGCTACTCACCGAGCGTTCATTCACTACAGCTGATTTCTTCCCTCAGTATTAAGCTCAAGTGCTCCTTCTACTATTTGATGGGTTGCATGCGGGGAATGCAACCCCAAGTCTTTTGATTAACTACACACTAAATGGCTTTCTCCATATGATCCCATATTAGTGCTTGGAGAAATTCTTCCTACTTCTCATGTCACTGTCAGTGCACCCTCATTGACTAGTGACTGGTGTCCAGAAGCGTTACTTCTTGAGCTAGACATGTTGTGTGGGAGGACTAGGTTGGAATAGGATGGTGAATAAGGCAGCTTTGATTCACACAATGCAGTGGCGTTGAACGTGGTGCGTACCAAGAGACTTGGCATTGCTTGGCTGTTATTTGCGACACTATTGTGGCGATTAAGGTGGCAGAACTACCAAAAGATTCGGACTGGCTTGGAACTTCTGATGGGCGTTTCTAGTGGTAAGCGTTTTCCGGACGAGAGAAAGGGAGGAGGAGATAGGGATAGGGCCAGAGCTACTTTTGATCATATTTCTCTTGCTTACTGGTAGATTGAAGCAAAAACAAGAAGAGTGTTGCTTCGCATCTTTAGTCGCTTGGCATTATGACTAGCATGGCTGATACGGTACCATGGTAAGCCCATCTCGATGGGAGGCGTAACTCACCATTGGTATAAACGGTTGTTTCAGCTTTTCAATTGATAAGTATTGTAAAGGGAACAATTTAAAAAACTGAAAAATTGAAACTTTCATCTAAACAGAAATAGCTCATCAGCGATTGGAGAAAAGACGTTGTCTCTCTTTAAATGCAAGGGGGGCGCTATCCCTGCCTCGTTGCAGAGCTTCAAAGGGCAGTTTCGTACCACCTCTCCCCAGCCATCGATTGCATTTATGTACATTTATTTATGCCTTTTACCTTTACTCTCCTTTCCTGTCTTCTTCTTTTTTCCCCTTTAAATGAAGTGTACGGAACTTGGAAAATCGTTTACCCCAGATTAGAATACTGAGGCTTCCGCTAACGCCAACCTTGATTACAAGCTTAAATCCAACGGTTTTGTGGGGGTACTCCAATTTTCCACAAATGGCAATAATGATATCAATTAGTTTGAACAGTAACCCCTCCTGTTGGAGCTTTGTTCTCTTCGCTTGGCACGAGAATATTCCGGCCGGCAAATGGGATCTTCTTAGCCTCCTCACTAAACATGTTGGTTAAGCCTGGCCTAGATAACTCCACCGAAACGTGTCGTGTGGCCTTGATGCAGGCACGGGATGAACTCAGTGTTATGGCAAGCTGACCAACCCACCCTGTAACCTAACCTTGAGTAATGGTCAGGTTTCCTTCTCAACCGGAGCATATCCGAGCACACAGCAAGGTTCCACTGAAGCACATTCTATCAACATGGCTGAAAAGATTCGCCATTAGCGCGTACGTTTTCCGGGTAGATTAGGTAGAGATAACGGTAGTGGATAAAAAGTCATATGTGCAGGATTTTAAAGGCGGAGCAATGTATGAGCAGTATAACTTTTATACCTAGTTGACTAGCCCAGAAGTTCTTAGTCGACGTTTGGTTCGAAGGAACTGAAAACTGTATCCAGATTTCGTACAAGTGCCTGTGTTTGATGGCTACAACATCTTGCGGCACTATTTTGCTATGGTCTTATCGTGAAAGGCTGGGCAGTAAACCGATTTTATTTTTCTACATAAAAGTCAAGAAAGCCAAAGAGAGGCTTGAGCTTAATAGGTCCAGGTCTAACGACTCACCTTAGAGTCAAATCGATAGCCAAACTTAGATAGTATGGGGCTACACACTAAGATCGGCACGAGCAAAGCGAGCGACTTCAATAGCGCGCCCACGAGCCAAGTTCACATCAACCGGCAAGGCCGCGATGCATCACGCCATTTCCAATCTCCTATTGTAGCTGAGGATCTGCTGTGGCTTACATAGAAATTCAAACTAGCGGATTTCAACACTTTGGCATCGAACTAAGCTAGCCAATGTCAGTCCTGTTAAGGAGGATGTTGGTATGGGGGGTATCTAATGGCTTCTATTGGTACAACTGGAGAAAAGTTAGACCCTTTGGGACTCCTGTTTCACTCAGGAGGAGAGGGGTGGGGGGACTCTTGAGCCGACTGGCAGATATAAAATCACTGGCTTACATCTCATTCGAGACCAGTTGATATTGGTTCCATGGTGACTATCGAGGAAGATTATTTGAGCCATATAGATGAACCCATTTATTGGTCTTCAATTTTTTTTTCTTCTGATCCACTGTGGCATGTTTGCAGTATATGTATGATGTAATACTCTGCGAAACACTATGTAGATATTACCAAATGGAATGGCGAGGAAGGAGAAGTATCCTGTTAACGTCAAAGCCTAAGTGAAGAAAATGCCGAGCATCATTGATACCAAATCAGTCAAGAAGTCTCCGACCTTTAAGTAATTTATCTGTTCTCGCGCAGCATGCGACATGAGGATGTGACTAGAGATGGGTATAGGCCTGCTGGCACGCCAGTACCGGAATCATAAAACACCTGTTGAGATTGAAAGTGTTAGTATTAGTAGAAGTAGAAAGTAGAAATATGATGACATCGCCAAGGCCCAAGTGGAGACAGAGCATGAGCTGCTTGCTGCCAAATCAGCTGAGGAAAGTGTCGATTGCCAGGAAATCTGCTCTTCAGGGGCAACAAGCGACATGAAGCAGAGACCTGAGCTCGGTAATAACAGTGGGCACGCAGCTACCAGTATCATGAATCGCCTCTTGAACGGACATGACGAAAGCACGCATCAGTTGGAGCATCTGGGCAATGTTTCCACTTTTAGTAACCAGCTGTGAGTCTTCGCTTCTTAACTAGTCAATCTACGCGAATTTGCCTTAGATTATCTCGAACAGGTTTTTTAATAACTGAGTATGTGGCACGACTGTAGACGGCAGAGACTATATTTTGTGTTCGGCATAGTGCGTACCTACATATGTTGTATGCCTACTACGAAAGGGCCGATTTTAAATAGTATATAAACCCTCTCATTGGATATCCATCATCACCGCGGTCGGCATAATTTGCTAAGCGCTATTTGAGTTCAAGAATGTTAGATGGAACTGATTTTGCTGAACACTCTTGGCAAAGGAATACCAACACACTTCAGAAATTTATAAACCAATGGAATTTCCTAAACAAGAAGTTAGCTGCCAAGAGCTTAAACTAATACCTATGCGTAGTGCTTACTATGTCGATCATGCTTAAACTAACTATGAACCCAGTACACCGATAGTTTCAATGCATATACTCTTTGTTACTTCAACTCTACGATGATCATTTTCATTTTGGTTGTTGTTTAGATATGTAGCTGTGTATTACTTGATAGGACATTACAACATCTAGGACAGGAATTATCTGTTTTGGTATAATACCACGATGCGACAAAATACGAGCATCATCGGCATCCGGAGCCAACACACAAATATCTATAAAGACTTTCATCAAGCCCTTTTATTTTTATTGCTTTATTATTCTATCCACCGACACTGAGATCTTTTCTTGCCAACACACTCAAATCACGATACAGTTTTGGACTCAATTACTCTTACGATGCTTCTCAAGTCCCTGCCACTTCTCCTCCTGAGTGCTACAGGCACTCAAGCACTATGGCTTGCATATGCTCAAGAATCCTATTGGACTGCTACTCCCGGCGGAGGCCAATATGAATCTCCTTTTTGCCAAGTCGGTAGAGGAGAAAACGCCCAAGATGCTATGAGCAATGCCCAGAAAACAGCTGGCGGCGCAGTCGCTTTCGCGGATATTGTAAAGTGCTCCGAAATGCCTTATAAACATACTTCTCAGTTAGGAGGCTTCTGGAATGACTACGGGACAATCAACTATATTGATGATAACTGGCACTGGTATTGCAACGCTGGCAACAGTATTACATCTGGCTCTTGTGATGCCGGTGGTGGTGCCCCTAGAAAGAGATCTGTTGAGAGCAACGCGGTAGAGTTCTCGGCTTAATTATCCAAGGTCAGTCCATTGCCACTTGTTAATTTCCTAATCATGCTAACCTTTTAATAGATATGAGACTCTCACTACAATACTTATTTTCAGCTTACAGGGCAAGATATGGCAAAATCCCCTGTAAGATATGGCAAAATAAGTTCCTATTTATATTGGGGGAGAACATCTTGCGGCTCATTTCAGTTACTCATAAGCCCAACAAACCCTCCAGTGTACATAAACTTAAGTTCACTTCAGCGCAGTCCTTAATCAACAACTAGCTTTCAAAATACACTTTAGTTTTAGCCCACCCCAGAATTTGTACTGTCGAATAAGGCTCATTTCCGCGTTCTTCACTAAATGTTTGTTTCCGCTTTTACCGTTATCTCTGACTTGGCAAGATGGAGCCTATTAGCTATGCAAGATGATGGAATATGTAGCAAATACAGTCCTTGGTACCGATTTCTTGGGCTGCAATAGAGGTGGAATGAAATATGTAGCGTGCAGAAATGGTGAACCGAACAAAAAAATGTCCAAAGCTATCCTTTGGAAACGTTATTTGTAATTCAAGCAAATTTTCAACCCGAAGCATGTCCAAGTACGTAATAAGATTCTACTGAAGCACACGCAGTTAATAGGACTCTCAAGATGCACTATTATGTGCACATGAGTTCCGGGTAGGCCTGGTGGACATCATGGTTGGTAATACAGAATCGAATATCCAAGATCATGAAGACGGGTGCAGTTTTTTCGGCATTTTCCTTATACAGATTGAGTGATCTGCAAGTTGATAGCTTCAGTTTGGCTCGAATGGGGTATGAGAGTGTATAGAAGAAGCTCCATGCAAGTGGTGCACAGACATGATTGCAAATTCATGTAGCACTGTTTTACAACCTAGATACCGATTAGCTTAGTATCAAATAGCTTTCTAGGAAGGCCTTTTCGATTCAGGTCGAAGGATAATGTAGCTAGGGGCCCAGATAGACAGTTATTTCAATTTCAATCGTTTGGGGCAACCCACTAAAATCGGTGCGGGTAGGGTGGCTTCGATAGCGCGCCTACGAGCCAAATTTACATCGACTTCACCTGTCAGGGTAGACTCTGTAGATGACAATCCTAAGGCCCTTACGCTTTAGACACTGGTAAACTTCCAAGAAATTGAACATTGTCTTAAAGCATTTGCACGAGAGGCAAGGGTGTATTGGTTGGATAAGAATATATTGACTAAACACATACTACCAACCGGTTTTAAGGATACATCCGGGTCCAGTCCATCCCCTTGTCCATGGAAAATCAAATTGCCCTCCTAACAATCCATCGCCAACGCGTTGTACGCAAGCTTTTTCAAGTTACAGTCCAGTCACGGGAGCGGCCTGATGAAGACGGTGGACCAGCGAGAGTAATTTACTGGGGAAGAGCATCCTGGCACAAAACACCGAGACCGGCCTGGTAATAGAATTAGCATCACTCTGCCATACTCTGCCATATAACATGTGGGAGTCAACTTACAATGCCAAGGGTGCAGCACTTGGCCTGGAGACCGGCCGCGGCGCAGATGTTCTTCAATGGGTTGAGGACAGAGGAACTCTGTCGAGCTGTATTACAGTTAATATGATATTGCTGCTTCATTCAGTAACACACGCCAAGACTTACGAGTCTCGCAGTCCAGGTAGAGAAGGTCGAGGATGCCAGCACCGCAGCACTGGGGGATGTTGTTGGTAACACCGGCAGAGCAAGGGCCGTTGATACCATCACGCTCGACGACCTCAGTAGCAGGCGCGGCAACGGCCAGAGAGGCGAAGAGAGCGAAGAAGGTGGTGAATTGCATCTTGAAAGACTTTGTGTGAAGTACTGTAATCTTGAGGTTCTTGAAGCTTGCGATGGCGATGATGGGAGAGAGAAAATCTAACCTGAAGGTGGGCACAGGGCCTCTATTTATGCTTCGGAAGGTCGGCTCAGCGTCGCGCGTTTCCCACGAGCGTTTGTTTTGTTTGGTAGAAACATCACATTGTCACCGCCTCGACTCACAGCATGTCGGGCGTTTTTCGTGGCTGTCCGGACCCCACCGTCTCCCGCTTCTTTGGATATTGATGTGAGACCTCCTTGCCTCCTTTGACAGATTTTTTCGGCCAGTTATTTTGTGACACTCGGACCAAAAACTATCCAGTAGGAGAAAAACCGTTGAGTCAACCACGCCGTTGGAGCGGACCGGCCTGAATTTTCCTAAGGCTGGATACCTAAAGGCCGGATATTGCTCCTATTGCCAAGAAGCTGAAAGACATTAAACGCTCGTAGGATACAGAGATGTACGTGGCTGTAATTGGGATAGGAAGCCTACTACGCGTGAAGCGCATATGAGACATTGGCCTCCCTTACATCGCTATGGGGATATTCGTTGGCTAATAACTGCCAACGTGTTTCCAGCCACAGGCAATATTGTGACGGGGTGTCTTGGCGGAGGATGGAAAGGAAGAGATCGGAAAGGGGGCGGAAAAGAACTTGTAATTTCATCGTAATATGCAGCTTGATAGAGTATTGCGATCCGTATAAAATGAGGCATCTACAATTGAAATGGCCAACGAAACTGATTAACTGAGTGGTTTACTACAAATGATGGGTTATGTAGGAAGGAATGGATATGACTTAACGCACATATCTACAAGTTCATGGCTTCAGCCAGCGTAGGAGACATGATGGCGAAGCGACTGGCCTAGGAATGGCAAATAAGTGAGTAGTACTTATTGGGCCACCCCACAGCCAAAAAAACCTGTGTCGATCTTGAGAGTTAGGAAACGCATGAGACCTTGCTGTCTCAGGCTCATCCGTCAGCTTGGGTCGAGCATGATCTCGGAGAACACAAGCCTGTATTTTGCAAAACGTGGCAATATAGGGGCAGAAGCGGCACCTTTATTTGTTCGTCTGCTCGAAGTATTGCCGTAAGTAAGCTCTAAATGTGTTGTAGAACAACAAGCGTGAGCTCCCAACAGTCGTACACCAAAGTCTCTCAGCAGAAAGGTATGCAAATGTTGTTTGCAAATCTTAAAAAGTCAATTACGCCATTCGAATGAATCGTTTCCGGAAAAGGGATTCCTGGTTCCAATATTAGGCCTCCTTGCATGTAAGATTGTATTTGATAATAAAATGGAATTCGAACAGGGTTAATTGTTTATCGCCGACAGCGTACAGAGGTCTCACACATGCGTTCGGTGAGAACTGCAGGGCTCAGGTCGTTTTTAAGGGAGAGATGTAAGCATGATGTACAGACAGGGGATAGAAAGAGAGAAGAAAGAGAAGTCACGCTCAACTGACGGCTTCGCTAGGATGAAAGAGTTTACTCACACGTGCGGCTGAACCTTGGCGGGACGAAGCGATGACGGTAAAGACACCACGCGCAGCTTATTGCTGCTGCTGTTGCTGACTTGTTCATCTTCCCGGAGGCAGTTCAGCTCGCATGCTCGCATTTTTCATCAGGCATCGTCGATCCTTGCCGACGAAGAATGGCCCCAGAGAGCAGTTGAAATGCTGACCCCATGTTTTCCGAATGAATCACATACCACTATACTACTAGCCCGTCGGTCCTTTTTTCGGTAGGGAGAATCATGATGTGGACGAAGCATGATTAACACTCAACACAGAAAAAACCTTCACAGCGGTTGAGATGTGACGGACAATAGTATACTGGCATCCGTCTACTAAGTGGTGTGTCTGAATAGATAGAATTCGCCGCAGTATGTACTATTCTGCGCATCCTTGTTAGCTTCATGGCTCGATGCCATATCCTTGCAGTCATCACAACAAACTTGGAAGAAACTCAGCTTACTCGTAATTAAACGATCTCACTTTGCAAAGTTCAGCTAGGTTATTGCATTAATCAATTACTCAGCCATGAGTACTCGTGTGCATGCTCGTTATAATCATTCGCAATAGACTCCGGCTCCTGGACGGCCCCATCTGCTGAAAATACACGTTACTTCTAATATCCACACATGGTCAATGGCGAACACTATTTCTATACTTTGGCATAAAATGCATAAAAAGTCTTGGAATCATTTGAGCGAGAACGAGAGAAGGCTTGCATTAAAAAGATGTATATACGGCTGAGATTAGTTACTTCAGATTGGCAGATACGGATATACCTTTTCTCTCCATTGAGCGGGCTGAATACCTGTTACATACCCCTGAAAAAGTTTCAACCAGGACTCCACATCTTTCTAGCTACAACAGACTATGGGTAAGTTACGCACCCTAGAGATGAACAATGTAATTGACAATCAAGGCTGTATTCCGTGTTTCGGAGAATAGTAGGTGCAACGTAACGCGGCATGTGATGCTAGAGAATGTGCAAGAGAATGTGCAGTTGGTAACACAACCTGTATCGTTCAGATCTTCAGATCTAGTAATACTAACCGTAGCTCCCCTGCCATATGCGTAGCAGAAGAGATCGAAAAAGGGTGTGATAATCACCCGAAGCTGCAAAGCCCGAGTACATACTAGTAGTACTAGGACTATAATTTAAGCTGGTATACCTATTTGGTATGGGTGTGTGGTATAAGTGCAATGCAATATCAGTTTCACAAACGCACATAGCCCATCTCAATACTGGTTGAGACAGTTTGCAATACATATCTACATCACATTAGTATGATTAAAGACATTTTGGTGGCTCATACAGTATAAATCGAAGTTTACTCGTGCCATCGCTTTCGTTGATGCTCCAGGACCACGGAATCGGAATATGCATCCACTTCAACTGAATCACCGTCGATACCGAAAATTAGTGTTTGCGTACGCAGCCACTTGATAAACGATGCCACCACCAACCAAATTTAGTCGACACAGGATTTCAGGCTGTATCTCATCTGATGTGTCGTCCCTCCGCAAGCCATTCCATTGGTGGCGAAGAATTGGCTCAACGACAGCTAAATATGCATGTTGAGTCACTGCGCAGCCTAAGTCCTACCCCGAAATAGACAAACACTCTCAATATCCGGATTTTTGTGGCCAAGGCTGGCCCGTTCTCCACAAAGAAGGAAGCAACAGGGGCTCCGTGTTTCTTCATTCTCGATTTTGGACCAAAGGATCGATGACGGGGGGCATGAAGGATGCAGGTTAATTAAAACCACGTGTGGCGTATGTGCCCCTCGTAAAGCTCAGGCTCTTATAAATGATGAACACCACAATGTACGAAATCGCGCATGCAGTCAGACTCGTTTTGAGAGCCTTGCATCATTAGGACGCCTCTTGAGGGTTGGTTGATTAGCAAGGCTGTGACACTTTGGTATTGATACATCAATTACTGGATTCGGACCCTGAACAAGCTGAGAGGATCCTATCGGTTAATGCATGGCCCAGCTCAGCTGCAGCTGCGCTAAGAATCATCCTTTTCTGCAGCTGATCCAATGAGGAAGCTTCGGGAATTTGAACTAGGTAAAGGGCATTCGCTCGGCGAACAGCAGTATGCTGGGAGCCTCATATGGTCCAAAGCATATGCATGTGATGGACCCTGCAGCGCGCAAAGGCGATATGGAGGCATGGGTTACTTTTTCTCCAAACCAGCATCATCGTCGGCGATATCGCGAACTGCTAGGTGGCTCCGCAGGGGTGAGAGTTCTTGCACGCTGTGGAGTAGCGCTTGTCATTTCAACAGCAGTTTTTAACTTCAAGTGCTGTTGAGAGAATTACCCAAAATAGTCCTTGTACATAGCAGAGTCCGCCTGCGATGCGAGCCGCAAGCTTGGCATTTGCCGATCCCCGAGAGTCTTAATCCGCAGGATGCCCTTGACTCCGAGCGTCGAGGTTGCTTCATTTTGCGGCGGCATCGTTACAAGTGCCATGCTATCGGGCCGCCAGCTCTCATGCGAGAATCTCGAGGCCGCAGCCAAGCTCCTCGGATGTCTTTCTTTAATGCCGATTCTCAGGCAGTCTCGCGGCCGACGCTACTCGCGAAGCAGAAACATCCACGACATCCACGCTGGAAATGGGTGTAGAGCTCGGCTGGAAAAGCAGGCGAGCAGCTAATAATACTGGGCAGTGCGCAACAAACCGGCTGATGTTGAAATCGAACTGGATTGGATACCGGACTGGATCACGTTGAATCAAGATTGATATCAAGGAGGACGGAGTAACTACTGGCCCGGCCTCTTGGGCTGGTACTGGCCTAGTTAAAAGCTCAGCATTTGAGTTGGCAGGCACGACCGCTGTAGGTGCTGTAACCAAACATCACGGCCGAGATCGAGTCTAGAAGCAATGAATCTTGTTCTCCCCAACCATCACCACCCATTAGGCAACAAACTCTTTGGCCACCATCCATGCTGCCGACATCATCAGACATCAAACCCCGCCACTGCAGCAGGGTCCTCGGGATTAGAGCATTCCGGAGCTGCAGCTCTTCGCCGCTGCATTACCGACAACCAGGCTGTACTGTACGAGTACCGAGCAATACTGTAAATGCATTGGTAATGCGGTAACCGTCTCCCCCAGCCAACTGGCCATGATCAAACGACACGAGTGACACCGCAGCTAACTTAGACGCCACTCACCAGTGCCTGCGACGTGTCTGAGGCCCGCCCCTTTGGCCGCCAAGCCGATGAAGAGCCCGATGGCGATTCCCAACGAGTCAACGGCGCTGCTGGTCCGCGGCCTTTCCCTGACGAGGCCGGCGACGCAGCTCGCGTATGCACAAATGTCCCAGTCCGGAGTAGATATGGAGTGCATGTGGAAGACTGACAGGTCGATTGAGCCATGAGTCGCACGCACTGCTACAGTAGTGCTGCCACGTTGATGCTCTGTCGCTGGCCTGTCCGGGGAACGTCCAGATCAGCGCCGTCGCGACCGCCTGGAGGGCGATGGCAAGCCCTGGTCTGATGGTATCAGATTTCGCTACCGCAAATCTCTCGCGTGGCGGACGCACCAGACATGCTAATTTCTCACCGCCTGTCACTCGAGTTGAGTGGAATGCCCGGGCCCCTGGCCGCGGCCCTGGTCCAGCAACCCTGCCGTCCGGCTCTGGTTCGTTCGTCCCAACTTGGCTGGGGGCCTCATGCAGAAGTGCGCGCCATGGCACCCCGCCCGCTTTCTTCGCAGCCTCTTCCAGCTCGCCTGTCCAATCAGCTGTTGTTGTCTCAACCGACTTGTCGGGACCCCTCCATCTCAGGTCCCCCCTCCATCCCATCCAGGTTGCAACGCCGTCGATAGTCAAACCTGCAGTTGGGAAACGGAAACCTTGGGACGACTAGCCCGGGACGCCGGCAGCACTGGGTGATGCAACAATATCGGCCGTGAAGATACTAGCAGTCAGCCCATCGTGCTTTGGATTCATTCTGGCCCGTGCTACGACACTTGGTGCTCCTCCTCCTACTCCTGGCAAGAGGACTAGGACTAGCTTGACAAGGGAAATGATCTTGTCGTCTCGTCTAAAGCCACCTTTCGCCTCTAACCGCCCCTAATCATGGCCCGGGCCGCAAGCCTGTTGCCCATAAACACCATCTTGTTGTCATGGGTTAGCATAATGCGTATTACTACTAGTATGACAACTAACCAAGTAAGCGAGCAACCATTTTGTGTGCAAATGTAGATTCAAAGCAAAGTTACGCCATGCTAGGTATGTATTGATAAGAGACAACTAAACAACCTCAACCAACACAGGCAGTGACGCTGTATCCATTCGATACGACTGGTCATAAACCACCGTCAGTTTACTACTGCGGCAGAGGGGAGTCACTAGTCCTGCCTGCACATACGGTTTCGAATCCTCTTCCGCGGCCGACGTATCAGTTTGCTCGACCGCATCTAGCCTCCTCCTCCTCCTCAGCTTCTACTCCAACTGCGTTACCCATTTCGTCCAGTCCGGGTCTTCCGTCAGCCGCCGAGTAGTCTCCGGTGCCGTCCATAGCATGATCTCGATGCCCCCGTGGATCGAGGGTAGAACAATCACAAACCCGTCCATGAAGGCCGGGAACGCCCATCGAAGGGCTTTGATGTCTCCAAGCTCGGGCCCCCAATTTGCGGCCTTGAGCATCTCTCCAAGCCGAGAAGGTGCAGTAACTAAGACGTCAGAGTTGAGTGATGGGAGCAACTTGTTGGAGATGTCGCCGGGATGTGTTTGCAGCGCCCCAGCCAGAGACCAGAGCTCGTCTGCGGTCCACTCCTCAATGGAAGCCGAAACCTTCTTCGCAAGTTCATGGACCTGTTCCACACCAGGTGTCTCTAGCTCTGCAGTAGTTGCATTAGCCCGAGCGAGGGCAATGGCGTTTCCTGGATACTCGGGTGCCAGTGGCGGCTCCACGCGCCTCCTTAGGTTCACCGAGGTTAGAAGCGAGCTCGAGGCGACTTGCTTCTCTGTAAGTCGTCGAGCCTTGCTCACCTGTTTCCAGATAAGCGCGGATAGCGTCGCATGGGACGTCACGGATGATTCCTCCTTTGTCTTTGGCAGCGTTGCATCGCAGAGTTCGTCCATCTTCTCCTGGGTCATGGCCCAGTGAGATACGCGGATGAGCTTGGCGATTCCTTCGTGGTCGCCTGACGTTGCCTTTTGCAGAACCTTGACCTGCAGGTCCGCCTGCAGCTTCTCGTATGATCCCTCTCTGGGAGGATGATACAGTGGGAACTCTGAGAGCGGGCGGTCCATGCCCGGGCTGTAGAGCTGAAACGCATCCAAATGCTCGTTGGTAAGCCACTGGTTGCGGTGGACGACAACTCCCGTAGACACTGCGGCCACATGCTTGGCCCAGACCTCGACAAATGTGCCCATACCCTGGGCGTCCATGACCACATGGTGGCCGCCAAACGTCAGGACCAGGCCGCCTTTGATCAAGGTCGCCTGCAAGGTCATGACGGGGGCTCGTTCAGAGTGCCCCAGCGGCTGCGAGGCATACTGGGACGCCGGCAACGCAGCAAAGGGAAAGTTGCGCCCAGCCAAGTCTTGATAGTCGACATCTGGCAGCTCCTTGACGTGGAACCAGACGCCGGAGTCCTTGCGGTATTCCAGCTGGATTGTGTTGCGGACGGGGTCCTTGGGAATGATTTCGGCGGCCAGAATCTTCAATTCGTCAATGGCCAGCGACAGTGCCTTCTTCAGGTTGCGCAGAATTATGGGTCGAAGTGAAGGCTCGTCGACCTTGAAGAAGATCATCATGGGCAGAATGACCCTAACCATATACTGATCAAGCGGTGTGACATCAACAATGCCCGGCACAAGCGGGATGCTTGGCTGCACCAGAGTGCTCTCGGCCAGCGTAGGGACTGATCCCATGATTGCAGAGATGCGTGTTGGTTGAGCAAAGAAGAAAGCAGCGCTGCGTCGTGACGATTGCCCTGGAGTTGGCGTCGTTTTGTCGCAGGGTAAGCTGCAATTTTATATACCTAGCGGTCTTTTGACGAGCGCCGCGGATGGGCCGATCGCCTCAAGCGCGTCTCCAGAATTTGGACCCGGACACTTTACGAGACGGGCTGGTTTTTGACATGCATGGCCTGGAGCTAGGGACTGCATTAATGCAACCCTTCTTTTTCGTTTCCCTTGCTGGCCCTTTTCTTTTCCCTCCTCCATCTTCGCCCCCATCCCATGCGCTGTTGCAGCCAAAACTGGGGCGGCCGAGAACGAGCTGGTTCCCTATGAAGTCAGCTTATTCCAGCGTCTCCTGCACTGTGGCAACTCCATATAATTCTGGCCGCGATCCCAGCTCGCATGTGCTCCTCTCTTCGTCTCCTCAACCCTCCAACCTCAACCTCCCCTTCCCCTTGAGTCAATTCTGCCGAGCATGACTTCATCTAATCCCCTGGACCCCCATTGGCTCGATGCCAACGGGGACGAGCCCATTGCCATCATAGGAGTAGCCTGCCGGTTCTCAGGCACTGCCTCTGATGAGGATGGTCTGTGGCAGCTTTTGTCAAAGGGGAGAACCAGCTGGGCGAGCAATGCCCGTAACCGGTTCAGGATGGAGTCTTTCTGGCATCCCCAAGCTCACCTCCCGGGCTCGGTACGTGGATGATGAAGAGAACGACGAGGAGAGTAGAGGAGCAACCCCTCTGTCTCTTTTCTCTGTGTCTCTCCCCCTTTTTTGTTTTCGCTTCAGCCTCGTCTCTGTTGCTGTCTTGTCTTGGCGCCTTCAACTAACCAACTACTCTCTTGATAGACCAGTGCCAGGGGAGTTCACCTTCTACAGCAAGACCCGGGTGTCTTTGACAGTGACTTCTTCGGCATCAGCGGCGTAGAAGCCAAAGCCATAGATCCTCAGCAGAGACTCATGCTCGAGGTGGCCTACGAAACCTTTGAGAACGCCGGCATTCCCTTGGAAAAGCTGGAAAAGTCCAACACTGGAGTTTTCTGTGCCGTCTCCTATACAGACTATGACCAGATCCTGGGTCGCGACCCTGAGACATCGCCGATGTAGGTCTCGCTCAACTCTCTTCAACTCTCTTCGACTCTCTTCAACTCCCTTCAACTCTCTTCAACTCTCTAAGCTATGGAGCCGACTCTGGGAAACGGAGTCGGCAAAGTTTGGCAACTCGCTGCTTCTTTACAAATGCTCACCGATGACTACAGGTACCGATTCACCGGAACAGGGCCGTCTCTCGTATCCAGTCGCGTGTCCTACGCCTTTGACTTGCGCGGACCCAGTAAAGCCGTCGACACCGCTTGCTCTAGCGCTTCAGTGGCCCTGCACGATGCCATCCTCGCCCTTCGAGCTGGCGACGCTGACCAAATTTTGGTGGGGGGCTCTAATCTCATTTTGGACCCTGACAAGATGTCCATCATTTCCTCCATGTCGTAAGCTTTGGATACCTCCCTTGCGGGCTACATAGCCTTCTTTACTGACAACCAAAGGTTTCTATCTCCGGACGGCCGATGCTATTCCTTCGACTCCCGCGCCAGCGGATATGCCCGTGGAGAGGGCGTAGTCGCTCTATTGCTCAAGCCACTTAGTGCCGCCCTACGGGATGGCGACACAGTTCGATCTGTTATCCGCGGTAGCGCGGTTGTCTCCGATGGCAGAACTCCGGGCATTACCATGCCGTCGCCGGATGCTCAATTTGCAGCTATTCAGCGTGCATACAAGGTTGCTGGGCTTGATCCCCGAGAGACAGTTTACGTGGAAGCACACGGTAAATTGAAACCACCATTAACTTGCTGGCATTTCTTCAACTAACGCATTGACTTTTTCAAATTCAATATAGGTACTGGTACCAATGCTGGAGACAACGTTGAAGCCGAGGCTTTTAACCGAGCTTTCTGCTCAGACAATTCTGAGAAACAGCTTATCATCGGTAGTGTCAAATCAAATTTGGGTCATACCGAGTGTGTGTCGGGGTTGGCCGGTTTGGTGAAAGTACTCTTGATGCTTGAGAAGAGAAAACTTGTTCCCACTCCTACCTTTGTCAACGAAAACCCCAGGTTGGAGCTAGAACGGCGGAGACTTAAAGTAAGTGCCCGATAAGCTTTGACTGCAAGACAATCAAACTGACTCAGAGTCTTTTTTTTCTCTAGGTTTCAACACAGTTCCAAGACTGGCCAGAAGGATCAATACGTCGGGCATCTATCAACGGGTCGGGGTATGGAGGCACAGATACCCATGTTATTCTCGAGGCATGGACAGAGCCAAGCAAGGTAATAGAGCCAACACCGACATCAGAGCTCAGGGCAGCGCGTGGCCCAACTATCTCCGAACCCGCCGCTTCTAGATCCAGGGTCTTTGTGTGGAGCCACCAGCGGGATGATGGCTGCTCCAAGATGGCCAATGCGTGGAAGAAGTTCATGAGGGCGGCCAAAGCAAACCGTCAGGAGCTATCTCTGGACGACTTGGCCTATACGTTATCAGAAAGGCGAAGTCGGTTTGCACAGCGAACTGCAATTGTTGCTTCCAACTTGGAGGAACTTTTGGCAGGGCTCAACAAAATTGAGCTGGGATCACTTCGTCCGGTCAAAGCTTTGACGAATGCACGAAAATTATTCATCTTCACTGGTAAGGCTCTGCTGTTCTCCTAATCCGTGTTTAATTTGTGAAGCCAACGCATGCTGATATGATTCCACCTCTTGTAGGCCAGGGAGCCCAATGGGCAGAAATGGGACTGGGATTGCTATCCTACCCTTTCTTTGCCGACTCGATGCAAAAGTCTGAGCGGGAGTTTATCCGAATGGGCGCGACTTGGCGCCTGATCGATGAGCTGAAAAAGACAAAGGAAAACTCTCGCATCAATGAAGCTGAGCTGGCCCAACCAGTGTGCACAGCCATCCAGATCGCTTTGGTTGATCTCCTTGCGTCTTGGAACGTGCATCCCGATGCAGTTTGTGGTCACTCGAGTGGAGAGATTGCAGCCGCATATGCTGCTGGAAGCTTGACTGCACCAGAAGCCCTCAGGGCTGCCTATCACCGAGGCCAGTCTGTATATCAAATCATGCGGAAGGATGGTGCAAGGCAAGGTGGAATGCTTGCAGCAGGTCTCTCAGACACTGATGCGCAACAATATCTATCAAAGTATAGCGAGTACGCTGTAAATGTTGCATGCATCAACAGTCCTACCAGTGTGACAATCTCGGGCGATGTCTCGGCCATTGAAGAGATTGGTGCTAGATTGGAGGAGGACGGCATCTTCAACCGAAGGCTAGCCGTCCCAGTCGCCTATCATTCTTCTCATATGAATGTTATCGAGGGGCTATATGGTGATGCGTTGAAGTCACTGCAGCCCCGCAAGTTCAAGCCAGGCGTGCGGATGATCTCTTCAGTTACATGTGAAGAGCTGAGCGGCGAAGAGATGGACGGAAGCTACTGGGTGAGCAATCTGCTACGCCCAGTTCGGTTTTCTCCTGCCTTGACCAAGCTCCTTAGCTTGACCGCGTCTGAAGATGGCAGTGTGGCACTGCCACCGACTGTCATGATTGAGCTCGGCCCTCACGCTGCACTCCAAGGACCGGCTACTCAGATAGCAAAAACTGTCAAGGAGCTGTCTTCAGTGACCTATTTCTCTTGCCTCAGGAGAAAGGAGGGCGCGGTTCAAAGCATGTTGTCGACTGCAGCTGGTCTATTCAACTATGGCCTCAAGATTGATCTCACAGGCACAAATAACCCTCACGGCACGCAGACAAAGGTGCTGACAAACTTGCCAGCATACAGCTGGCATCACGGAAAGATTCATTGGAATGAGTCCCGTCGAAGCCAAGTGTATCGCATGCGAGAGTTTCCCCGCCATGATCTGCTTGGAACTGCTGCCGCGGACAGCATCAGCGCCGAGCCATCTTGGAGAATGTACATTCGGCTTTCGGAGATGCCCTGGATTAAGGGTCATTCTATAGATGGACAAGTCTTGTATTCCGCAGCCGGCTTTCTGGCTATGATTGTGGAGGCCTTGAAACGTCAGTCTATTACGTCAAATCGCCCATGGCTGAAGAAAGTGATACAATTCAAGAAGATTGTCATCGATAGACCTCTTCTTATCCAAGAAGACGCTTTCGGAGCTGAAGTCTTTACTCTGCTGAGACCTTACTCTGTAACCTCTCGTGATTCTAGTCAAAAATGGCAAGAATTCAGAATCTACAGCATCTCTCCAAATAACGAATCCACTGAGCACTGCCGAGGCTTGATTGCTCTATCGGAAGACGTGGGAAAGCTGGATGTCAAGCCGGATACTGCGACTGGCTCTCTTCAAAACGGAGATGGTTCTGCACTATGGACTCAATTAGAGTCTAAGCAGCTGTATAAACTGCTCAGCGCCTCTGGTAATGACTATTCTGGGTGCTTTGCAAACCTCGACAACATCTCAGCTAGCCCCTGGGAGTCCAATAGCGAGCTGACTGTGCAGGATGTGAAAGCAATAATGCCTGGAGGCCATCAAGAAGTGCATCACATCCACCCTACGACGCTTGAAGGCTGCTTCTTGGCAACCCTCTCGGGCGTAAAGCTTGCTGATGGCTTGGATGGCCCTCAAGTCGTTACCTCCATCGATGAGCTCTACATCCCTACGGATATTGACCTCCAGCCAGGACACAAACTCTCTGTTGCGGCGAAGTCTAGTCCTTATGGACTGAGACAGCATTCGTCTCGTATTGTTGCTACAGACAATGCAAACAATGTTGTGGTTCGAGTTGAAGGAATCAAGTTCTCGTCTCTGGGGAGTTATCAAGCGGACGCTAACGGCGACGAAAACCCTTTGAGTCACCAGGTTGAGTGGCTTGTGGACCCCTTTTCGTCTACAAAACAGGCAGTTGCGGAATATTGCCAAAGAAATCTTGATCAGAAGAGTCAAGAGCAGCAGAAAAGCCTCGACCCTATCTCTCTTAGCATTATCAAGGACACTCTTGGTCAGCTCTCGAGTGAAGACGAACATTTAATTACTGGTCACTTGCGACGCTTCTATGATTGGATGCGAGGACAAGACACGGCGAATGCATTGCCATTGAGCTCCGACACCAAAACACAAGGTATTGCCAACCAGCTGCTGGCTCGAATTGCCCCTCACTTGCCAGGTATTCTGCGAGGAAACCAAGAGTTCCCAATTGATGAGACCCAGTTACATAACCTTTACTCCGAGGACGATGGCTTCAATAGGTGCCACGCCCAACTAGCAGAATATCTCAAACTTGTCCAATACAAGGTGCCAAATCTGCGTGTTTTGGAAGTCGGCGCTGGAGCGGGCAACTTGACTTTCACTCTGCTTGAAGCGCTGCATGGAGAAAAGCGAGATTATGCTACTACTCCAGGAACATATGTTTACACAGACGTTTCCGAGTCTTCCACTGCAAGCGCACAAGAGAAGTTGAAGAAATTTGAAAATGTTGTAGAGTTCAAACCCCTTGATATCGAGCAGTCTCCTGCGCAGCAAGGGTTTGAACCTGGCTCTTTCGACGTTATTGTTGCTTCAAATGCCCTCCATGCAACACACAATCTTGAGAATACCCTTGGTCATCTGAAGAGCTTGCTTAAGCCCGGTGGCCAGATTGCTTTTGCAGAGTTGACAGCACCGTCTTTACGATGGGGAGTCCTTCGCGGGAGCGTGCAGAGCTGGTGGCTGGGAGCCGAAGATGGCCGCACAAGTTCCCCTCTGGTATCAACACCAGAGTGGGATAAGGCTCTGGTCAAGAGCGGCTTTTCTGGCGTATCACTTGAATTGAAAGATCACGATTCGGATCAGGACCACGAAGTGAGCTTGCTCGTTTCTCATGCCGCTAATATTGGATTGAAAGCGCACGCTGAGAAAATCTCCATCTTCACTGGAAAGGACAGTGATTCCGTAGCGAGTGAGTTGCGCCGCGCGTTGGCCGCACAGTACCTCGAAACCGCTGTGTCTACGGTATCACTCTCTGAAGAAGTATCGTCTCCTGGAACCTACATATTCCTTCCTGAGGTCTCTGAAGACGCCCTGCTGAGAGCGTCTGAAAATGATTGGGACTCAGTTCAACGCCTTCTTGCAAATGCCAAAGCTGTGCTATGGGTGACAAAGGGACCCTCTCTGGCTGAGCCTGAGCCACACCGAGCTCTCATTACTGGATTGGCACGCAGCTTGCGATCATCGAGGCCTGATCTCAGCTTCTTCACTTTGGACATTGGTACGGGCTCGGATGAAGCATCTGCCATTTTGCAAGTATACGAAAACTATCTTGGACCAAATGCTTCGCCGTACTCTGCATCCGAGTGGGAGCTTGCCTTTTATAACGGTAGCATTGTAATTCCCCGTCTATTGGAGAATAAGGCGGTCAACCAGCAAGTCAAAGATGCGGTATCAAGACACCATCCACGTGAAGAGGTTTACAATGATGCCAGCCGATCATTGGGCCTGCGAATTAGCTCGGTCGGAGTACTTAATTCCTTATACTGGGCAGACAGCGAACTCCATACAGCTGCTCCTAAGCCGACACAAATCAGAGTTCAAGTGGAGAATTTTGCACTCAACTTCAATGATATGCTCACCACCACTGGCCAGCTTGAAGGCAATTCTTCTCTTCTCCTCGAAGGAAGTGGCAAAGTCGTCCATGTGGGTGATGCTTCTCGGACGAAACTCTCTGTGGGCGATCGGGTTAGCTTCTATGCTCCTGATGGACTTGCCACCGTGAGTAATGTGGATGTTCGCCACGCTGTTAAAATTCCCGAGGGAATCGCCAGCGACGCTGCAGCAGCAACTCCGTTGGCTTACTCCACTGCGCTCTATGCTCTCCGAAACATTGCCAGACTTCAGCAAGGCGAGTCCATCTTGATTCAGTCAGGAGCAGGAGCAGTCGGCCAGGCATCGATTGCCCTTGCAAAGGCTCTTGGTGCCGAAGACATTTTTGTGACAGTTGGAAGTCCAGACAGGGCAGAGTTCGTCAACAAGGCTTTTGGCATTCCCACTGAACGCATCTTCTCAAGCCGAGATCTGGATTTTGGCGATCGCCTTCTTAAGCAGACGAACGGCCGGGGCGTCGATGTTGTTCTCAACTCTCTTTCCGGCGACGCATTCTCAGAGAGCTGCAGTGCCGTAGCCTCATTTGGCAGAATTGTGCAGCTCTGCGAGAGAGATGTTGCAAACAATGGCCAGCTTGGTCTAGAGGCCCTCCAGAAGAATGCTTCCCTTTCTGTTTTGAACATGGCATTCCTCGCAAGAGAACGGCCTGCGGTGTTTCAAGAGCTGCTGCAGACTTCTTTCAACATGCTCCAGGAAGGAAAGTTGGCTTTGATGAGCCCCATTACTACCTCTCATGCTTCCAATGTTGCAGAGCAGCTCCGAGTTATGCAGGCGGGTGATCAATTGGGCAAGGCCGTTTTCAAGTTGGACTCTAGCCTGCCTTTGAAGATTCAACCTCAGAAGCCCAAGTCTGCGGCTCTTCGAGAGAACAGTTCCTACCTTGTTGCTGGAAGCAATGGAAGTCTGGATGTAGCTGTTGCGAAGTACTTGGCAAAGCTAGGAGCCAGTCGCGTCATTGCGCGGCAAGGATCAAACATCGAATTCCTAGCAGAGGAGATTAGGCAACTAGGCGCGGACGTTGCCATTATTCCTTGCAGTGCCTCTGACAGACCTATTGCGGATCAACTCAAGGAAGCGAGCGCAGGAGCACCCCTCAAGGGTATAATTCTTGGAGATTCTGAGACTCACGTAAGTGATATGACTTTAATGGCTGATGATTTAAAGAAGGAAAGCTAACAAAAATGATGATCAGGACGCGGATGTCCAGGCTCTTACTCACTCTCAGTGGTCCACTGCCATTGAGTCCTCAACCGCCGGCATTCTTAGCCTCCAGAATGCTTTTGGCTCGGAGCTTGATTTCTTCCTCCTACTCAACAGCACTTCCTCAGTCGTGGGCGGCCCTGAACAGGGCATCGCTGGTGCTATTGGCGCATTCCGAGATAGCTTTGCCCGAAGCCAGGCTTCGCAGGGCTTCCCCGTCAAAGCAATCGACATTGGTACAGTACAGCAGGAAAACTTGGATGATGCCCAAGACACACCGCCTTCTTCCGATATCCAACCGCAGAAAATTGAGGAAGTCCTCGCCGTCATCAACTTCGCTATTCAGAATCCCATTGCGGTGAATCCATCCCAGGCACAAATCGTCTGCGGCGCCAGCCTCTTTGCGCCAGATCCTTCATCTCCCGCTACGCGACGACCAGATGCTCGCTTCGCACACGTCTGGTCCCGCGCCGCACCCCGTGTCTCCAAGAGCGGCAAAGACGCCTTCGACGTGCAGGCCGTTCTCCGCAGCGCATCCAGCGCAGAAGTCGCCGTCGACGCCGTATACACCGGCCTGAAGGAGAAGCTCGCCGGCCTGCTCTCTGTAGCTACAAAGGAGATCCAATCGGACCGCTCCGTGTCGAGCTACGGCGTGGACTCGCTCATCTCAGTGGAGCTGCGGAACTGGATCACCGGACATCTGGGCGGACATGTGCAGATGTTGGAGCTGATGAGCTCCTTGTCCATGATGCAGCTGTCGGATCTTATTGCGAGGAGATCGAGACTTGTGCCGGCGAGCGTGTTTGGCAGCGCAGAGGCTGTGAACACGGAGAAGAGTTGAAGGGAGTATTTGGAGACACATGAAATTACGAGATTACGAGACAAGATTATCGTTTCAAACCCCCCTCCTGTTGTATTATTTTCCATCTTTGCAGGTTTGCAGTCTATTTCTCATTTCATTCCAAGCGGGTTTTGCTGAGAATTTGTATTTAATTTATCCTCCTCTTCTTTCATTAGCAGTATATCTATATCGCGACAATAAAGTATAAAGAACTATTTTTCTTAACACTTCAAACGCCCGTGCCGATCATGAACTCTAGTCTAATAATGTCGTTTTTATAATCATCCATGTCACTCCGTATTACGCCACATTAAGAAACTTTGGAAAACATTCCTGCCTGTATCCCATCAATCCAGTCTATCCTTACTACGTTGTCGAGCCTTCTCCAGCTCCGGTGTCTGCATTGTTCTTCTGGGCGTTCCGCTAGGTATTTCTTCGACACTGGTGTCCAGGCGGACGTAAAAGACCTTTCCTCGCCAATTGACAGTGGTGCCGAGAAGCACTGCCAAGGTCCAGATTGGTAGCGCCATGAATTCTCTTCCAATCCACGCGGGGAACCATTCTAGGAAACGGCGTCTCGGAAGGCCCCGCGGGCTAGATGAGCCAAATGCGAACTGGGGAGTGTTTTCGTCGGTTTCAATGGTGCGGCCCGTGTGTAAAAGTTTGAATGTGAACCAGTCTACGGTCATCCAGGCGGCGATGGAGATGAGCCAAATTGTGGCCAAGGCCGACCACGTCTGTGGAATAGTGTCTTTGAACCAGGGTAAGGTCGTAACGGCAAAAGCAAAATAAGCGCAGCATAGTAGTGATTCGACGCCGGGCTCGACCAAAGTGGCGGCCAGCACAGTGAATTTTCGAGCTCTCAGCCAGCGGACTCGCCTGGCAGCGTACGCGGACACGGACATGCCGGCCATTGGCTGCACAGCCAGGTCGCTCCAGGCGATGCCGTGGTTGGCATAGCCTGGGATGTTGGAGCGCCAGAGGAGGTCGCCTATCAGGTGGTCCTCGCAGATGTTGTGGGAGAAGTAGTCGACGCCGCGTGGGCGCTCGAAGTCCTTTGGGAGAAGCGGGTTGCGGGTGGGATCGGTGACTTGGTCCAGGTGAGCCTTGCGGAACATGTTGCTCTTGCCGACGATGCATGGGGCGATTCCCACGATGTTGATGGCGCCGTAGAATTTGACGTGCGTGGTAGCCATGAACATTTCGTCGAGGCGGCCACCGCCATTGTTGGAGATTCGCTGCAATAGTGTTTCGTTGGTGGGAGTAGCTGTGTGGGCGGCAGCTCCGAGGAAGTTTTGGCTTTCGGCAGAGGCATCTTGGTGGTAGTCGACGACATCGACGACGATGGGCAGCTGATGGACGAATTTGTAGGGCTGGGCTGATTCACCAGTGTGAGAGTAGCCCATGAGCTTGTCCACCATGCGCCCCAAGACGCCCTTTGCAACCCAGACGTTACAGTCGATGATCCATATGACCTCTCCAGGGGCCTCTCGATAAGCCCTACTGATGTTTCGTATTTTGGGGTTCGGTCCTAGTGTATTGACACGGCCATCGGGGCCGTGTAGGATCGGGTCCTCGTTCTCGACTAGGATTTGCGCATCGTGGGAGGGAAAGTCGCGGATGAGCTGCTGGAGGACCGGGTACGATGGATCGTTGGTGTCCTCGACACAGAGACGAATCGAGATTTTATCTTGGGGATAGCTCTGGCGAAAGGTGGAAGCGATGCATTCGTATAGACAGGGCTCGAGGCCCTTGACGGGCCGGATGATGGTGACGCTCGGCGCATCGGCGCCAAGGCCGGACGATACGGACGGACGCGCTCGGCGGGAGAAGCGACTGAATCTGTGGACGGAGGCTATTAGCCAGATGCTCGCTGGGTAGAGGCTGGAGACGAGGGCTTACATGGCGCTGATGCCGACGGTTTGGACAAAGACGACGACCACGGACCAGACGAGGCAGACCGTGGCCACAAGTTGGATGAGACCGGACATTTGCACGTTTAGGGTCGACGTACAACCATTGTTCCTTCACTGTGGGCGGAAAACGATCACCTGCGCGTAGAGATGGACTGTTGGGACATTACAAGGCATACGAGGGAGGTAGAGATGGTGTATAAATAGGGAGATGAGGACGAGGCGGGGTGCCGGCAGAGGACAAAGTAATAGGTAAGTTCCCAGTAGCAAAATTGGTAGCAAATACGACGGGCGTATTCGATGCGTAAGATGAAAAGAGGGTGACAAGCCTACTTGAAGCCGCGGGACTTGTTTCCAGCCGGTGCTGAGGTCGAGGCTGTGTGTTGACGAAGAATTTGCCAAAGATGGTATCGACGACAGCCACAGGACAAGTAAGTGCAGGGACCTAAAAGAGCATGACCTGGCGATCTCTGGGTTGGGCTTAGCACGAATGGACGCTCGGGTAGCCCTGAATACCTAAGGTACTGCTTACAGCCAGCCCAGCGGATATACAGTACACGCGGAAAAAGACGCCAATGGCGGGTCACAAGCACAGCCAAAGGAAGAGTTAGTCAATACTAGACAGCATACGTCATTATGTAAGTGATGCTGATTGGTAGAGGTTTTCTCCTTCTTTTTCTTCTTCTTGGTATATTGGGCTCAGCTCTCTTACCTCTGACACCCTTTCCGACGTTCTTGGCGTTTATACGCACCTGGGAGTAGACATCAATGTTGTGATGACGAAGACTCTTGCTGCGGCCAATGCTTCGTCACCTGTCGGAAGACCCGGGCCTGTAGATACCGCAGCATCTATAAACATCAATCATTTGAAGCGAAACTCGGCGCCGACCCATGCGGTGAGCGTCCAACCCTTCCAGTGGATCACTCGATGCAGGACGGCCTGTAGCGGCTGCGCTGTGCCTGCGGTGCCTGCCGATGTGCCCTAGATTCAGGGCGCTGTGCCGCCTGTAGCCTCTCCCTCTGCAGAGCTGCATGCATGTGCTGTGCGTGGCTGCATCTGCCCACTCAGGAACCTCGCATTTGCTGGATTTCTTGACGCCTGGCGCTCCAGGCATCCGCTCCGGGCCCCAGTTTAGCGGCTTTCTCCGACTAACCGCCGAGGAAAAAAAAAGCCCTTGTGAGCGAGAAAAAATTTCCCTCTTCTTACTTCTTTTCCTATGAACAACAAGCAAAGAAAACTTTTTTGCGCCCCGACGTCTTCTTCTCAGATTCCAGGCTGGTAGAGCATCTATTGCCTTTCTGGAAACGTCGTGGATGAGATCCAGCTGGACTCGTCTTGCAGAGGAGTGTCGTTGTTACCGGGCCATGTCTTGAGAGAAGTAAGTCGAACTCATCTATTTCCTTTTTAATCCCTTCAAGCTTTGGAAGCCACCGAGAAGCTTCGGCAACTCTTTCACAACGTTTCCATCTAAGCTCAAGCTTGCTTGCTTGCATTCATTCTGCCCAAAATCTCCATTCCCGCGTTTTGAGCTATTGCTAGACGCAGAACCTTGCTGAAAAAGCCTCCCTCTGTCACATGCAACGTTTCCCTCGCACTGTTATGATGATTACCATTTGCGCAAAGAGCGACCATTTATTTGGAGACCTCTGTGATTGCCATTTGATTATAGACTACAACGGTATCTGATACAGCGATGGAAATTTGGTTGCTCCCCTCATCAATCTCTCATCACACTATCCAACTATAGCAATCTTGGGAGCCAAATACTGACTAGAAGCTCCGCTAGGTCAAGGTCAAAATGATCCCAGTCCGAAATGGCTGAGATGCAAGTCCAAACCGAGCCCCTTCCTATCGGCAAGGCTTCGGCTGAGCTGCAAGCAAACTCTGCAGTTGCGGCTCCAGCTCAAGCCAAGCCCCAGTCTGAAGCTCCAGCTCCGGCTGCACAGCAGCAAAAGCGAGGTCCATCCATCCACCAGATATACGCGCTTCCTGCACCCATCCGAACCTTTCCCCTCCCAGCTTTCTACCCCAACAACCCAATTTCGCTGGTTCACGTTGCATACGCATGGCTGGGCCAGGTTTTCCGACCACCGCCCGCAGAGCCTGCTGTGATCCACCAAGGCGTCTGGTCTGAGACGACAATCTCAGTACACATCAAAGATGAAAAGTCTATGAGGGCCTTGTGGGAGCAAGGCTTCTATGGCAAGGGCAACCTGAGTCGCAGTGAACCCAACTGGCTGAAGAGAGAACAAGTCCAAAGAGGACTCCAGGAAATGCATGTCAGCGAGATCTTTACGCAGCAAAGACGAGACGAGCGAGCTCAAGCCAAGTGGGAGCGTGCGCGACTGGAGCAAGAAGCCATTTTGCAGACAAGGCTAGAAGAGGAGCGACTGGCTGCAGAGAAAGCCAAGGTGGTGCCAGACTCTACTCTGAGCTTCGTTGCACCAGTTGGTCCGTTGGAACTCCTCGCACTTCCAAACTCAGCGGTCGTTGTATCACGCCTGGAGTCGATTCTGAAGCCCCTATTGCATTTTGCACCTGTTGGACCGCTCCAGCTGTTGGCGCTGCCAAACTCTGCTGCCGATCTTGCCAAGCTTGCCAAAGTAAATGCGTCCAAAGCCAACGAGCCGTCTTCGCCTCATGGTTCTTCAACAGAAGACTCCGAAGAGCCCCGGACTCCCATCACCAACGAAACTCCAGAAATCTTTAGAGACGATAGATCTGTAATTTCATCGAGTGATGGCGCGGGAAATAAGACGTTGAACCGCAGAAAGAGCGTACGATTCTCTCCCACCGTGGAATCGGCTACGTACAAGGCCACCGATCCTCCAAGCCCCAACCGCTCGCCTCCCGTGTCGTATTCCGAACCATCCCAAGCTAATAGCAATGGCAACGCAATTAGCCAAACCCTGCCTTCACTTCCATTGGCAAGCGTACCCGTGTCCGACCCCATCATCAACAAGGAACATCTCCAGTTGACGCCAGAGGAAGCCTTCTTTCTTTCATTTGGCCTTGGCGTGCTAGAAGTTACCGATCCTGCATCTGGCAGAGTGCTGTCGCGCCAAGAGCTATTTTCCCTATTCCGCCAATACTCTTACTTCCCTCCCCGCAATGGCCCTGATGAACCTGATCTGGAACCGGACGATGGATTCTTGGTTCACTACGCTGTGTACCATCATTTCAGATCATTAGGATGGGTTCCTCGCGGGGGCATCAAATTTGGAGTTGATTGGCTTCTTTATACCCGGGGACCAGTGTTTGATCACGCCGAGTTTGGCCTGATTGTGATTCCCTCGTATTCAGATGCGTGGTGGAAGAAGCAAGGAAAACAAGGCCCGCGAAAGCCTTGGTCGTGGCTGCACAGCGTTGTACGCGTCTTGTCCCACGTCACCAAGAGCTTGGTGCTGATTTATGTGGACGTACCACCTCCGCACAAGTTTGAAGAGGGGTTGAAGAATGGTATCACGGAGGCGATGAAATTGTACAAGATCAGAGAGGTTATGGTAAAGAGATGGTCGAGCAATCGAAATCGATGAAGATGTCTTTGGGGTCTATTTTCAGTCCCCTTTTTGACCTTTTTTGACCTTTTTTTTTTCTTGTCTTATTCTGTTTGGATTTGTGTTGTATTATTAAGGTGATCTTTGGGCGATGATATTGTATATGTATGCATACGGGGAGTTGGACACATGACAGCGACGTGCCTTTTAATGGACATGAGTAATGATGGAATGAATCTGGATCTAGCTATAGGGGCACATTTACTACTTATCAAAGATGAAAATGAATATCATTCAATAACAATGAGACTTTGAAACACGAAACATAGACTGGACTTGAGTCGAGAAAGTGAATGCTGCAAAGTTTTGACATTACCTGAATAGGTAGGACCCTGAGATTGAGGGGTTGGTGGTGGCTAATGTGTGAATGTTCCTTTGAGCCGAATCAATGACTATTTGTTTCTCAACATCATCTGATCCGACCATTAGAAGCTAAGACAACAAGTCAATCCAAGCTTATTGGGCAGCGTAAATCTTCATTCTGCTCTGACCTTTCGGCAAGGCTGCACTCTTTTCTAGCCGGTTTGTTCGTGCACTTGTTGCCGGGCCTGTGCCTCGGTCCACTCAGCTCTCTTATTAGCGCAAAAAAGGGCCTGACATGCGACTTTGTCAACTCATTTGCCTGTCCTGCTCATAGACGACTACCGTGTCGTGCATTCTGTATTACGGGTGAGCCCTTGCATTCCAGGCTGTGAAGTTTGTCAGCTCAGTCATAAGCAGCAACTTCATCACGATGTTGTCGCTGGCTCGCACCTCGCAAGCCAGAGCCGCAGCCACGGCAAACGCTCAAGCCAGAGCCGTGGCTTGTCGCGGCGTGGGAACTCAAGCCCCGTGGAAACACCAACGAGGCGAAAGTCAAAAGCACAGACAAAGACAGCCACACAGAGATTCTGCTATAGAGACTGAAGAGACTCGCTACAAGCCGCAGTCGAGAAAAATCCAGGCCAAGGAAGCAGCTGCTTTAGGCGGTCCGCAACACCAGACTGCGACTTCGGCTTCGCGATACTGGCCCAAGCTGGACACGCCGAAACATGCCAAGCGGTTTACGTATCATGACTTGGACGGCCCCAAGGAGAATGGCCCGGTGAAGATTGCGTGGACGGACAAGTTTCTTTTTGTGGAGGATCCGGCGACGGAGAATGGAAGGAGGACGCTGAAGCCGGCGACGCTGCGGGATAGTTGCGCCTGTCCGAAATGCAGAGATGTTTCGTCTGGACAGAAGACGTTTTCGTCGGTGGAGATTCCTGTGGATGTTGGGTTGGAGCATGTTAAGCCGACGAAGAAGGGCTTAGAGATTACGTTTCTCAATGATATTCCGCGATTTGTGGAGGATGGAAAGGATAAGCATGTCATGCTTCTGCCGTGGGAATCAGTCGATCTGTCGCTCAAGCGCAAGGGCATGGAGGATGTGCGTCTGCCTCGCAAACGATCTGTTCTGCGCCGCACGGGGGTTGTCTACTGGGATCGCGAGATTATCGCCCAGCAGGTGCGGAGGATTGACTACGCCGAGTTCATGAAGGAGGACAGCGAGGCCTTTTGGGACGTCATTATTGACATTTGCCGCTTTGGCCTTGTGTATTTGAAAAACGTGCCGCGAGACGAAGAGTCTGTTGTGCGCATCACGACGCGCATTGCGAATATCCGCGAGACCTTTTACGGCCGCACGTTTGACGTCCGCGCAAAGCCCAATGCCGAGAACGTCGCGTACACGAGCGGCTATCTGGGCCTGCACCAGGACCTGCTATATCTCGACCCGCCGCCGATGATCCAGGTTCTTCACTGCATGGATAATTCCTGCGCGGGCGGCGAATCGCTCTTTAGCGACGGCGAGCGCGTCGGGCGTCTCCTCTGGCCCTTCATCACGAGACATCGCATGGCGCCGCTGGCCGAGCACCACGTGCCCTACCAGTACGGCAAACACGGCTATCACTACTTTAGTTCTCGCTACGTGCTGGACGGCAACGCGTCGGGCTTCTCAAGCGTGTACTGGTCGCCGCCGTTTCAGGGGCGGTACCTCAGCCCCGTCAAGGACATCCGGCAGTGGCTCGAGCCGGCGCGGATTTTTGCCTCGCTGATTAACGACAAGGATGCGATTCACGAGCATAAGATGGAGGCCGGTGATTGTGTGCTGTTTGATAACCTGCGGGTGCTGCATGGGCGGAATGCGTTTGATGTGGATGGGGGGCAAGGTGCGAGGTGGCTGAGGGGGGCGTATATTGCTGCGGAAGACTTTTTGTCGAGGGCGGCGCATATTCCGAAGGGATTGGCGGAGAAGTATCGTGGTGAGGAAGCATGGACGCCGGGGTTGGCGCAGAATAGGCTGAAGAGGAGTGTGTGGTATGAGGATGTTGTGAGGAGGGTGAGGGAGCTGGATCCTGGTGTGGAGGCGTGATGATGATGATGTTTATATGATGAGCACGTAGCATAGAGATTTATGATTGTGATATTTGAGTGAATCGAGCCGAGTAAAGTAAGAAAGATGAAAGTTTTTGTATAGTACAGAATTTATCTCGAGTCAATATGATACGATAAAGCAAGTTAGCAGCAACGATACGATAAAAGCAAATCCCATTTTGTCCCGTTTGTGCGCCGCGCACATAATACACACTTGATGCGTCGTCAATCTAGATAGTCCCTCCATTACAAACCTTTCCAACAAAAAGCAGCAGTTAGTCCCACTTCTTTGCCTCGACGCCATCAGGTGGCACCGTCTCAACCCGCTTGTCCTTGACATCATCCCAGTTCGTGCTAAGGGATGTTCCGTTGCTCTCCGTGAAGCTCTTCATCATGGCGCGCTGCTGTTCTGGGGTGGCTCCCTTGTAGAGCTTTTTGAAGAACAAGTTGACGTCTTTATCGTCATCTGAGTTCTCGTCTTCGCCGACCTTGTCCCAGTTTTTGGGGCCGGAGCGGGAGGACGTGGGATAGGATGGCTTGGTCGCTGAAGCCTCTGAAGGGTCGCTTTTGACTGAGTCAGCGACAGGCTCTGGTTTCTTAGTTTCTGGTCTGAAATCTTGAGTTAGCCAGCGATTATACAAGAGAGCAACAGAGGCAATCAGAATGGATGAGCTTACGCTGCTATAACGGCAGGCTTTACCGGTACTTGTGCTGCTGAGGATCCATCAGATTGAAGAGTTGGCCATTTGCCGGCAGTCTTCTTGGCCAGGCTGAGCTCGACCTTGTTGGGAGTGACGGTAAACTTGGACTTGGAGGCATCGATTTCCCCCCACAGATGAAGCTGAAACTCCTTCTCTTCGCCGTTGGGATAGACGAGAGGGTCCAGTCGGACAGAGTTGTCCAAGAAATCCACCTTGAGTTTTTCCTTGTTGACGCCCTTTGAGAAGATGGAAACAGACATGGCCGTGTTGCTTTGGAAGTCCTGGAGGCGAAGTGGCGCATCACTGGGGACCACAGGCTTTGCCGCTGCGGGTCTGGCCTCATCTTGAGCCTTATCAGATTTGTGGACAGCGAGCTCTTTTTGCTGGGGAATCAAAGCTGTCGTCAATTTTCTCCCAGCATCATCCTCCGGCAGCTTCTCCATTGCCTTTAGAGCCTGAGTCCGCATGACACCGGCCATTCGCGACTCTCTTTGCTGCGGCTGAGTCTGACCCTGTCCGCCCATAGCGGACTTGAGAGCGTCATCCTTGTTACCGGCCTCCTCGCTACGGATATCAGCAGTGGCCTGGTCGGCAGTCACCGTCCAGAACCCCTTGTCGTCCACATACTTCAGGCCGGGGTCCTCCTTGGGCACTGCAACACCACCCTTGATGAGTCTCATGCAGTGCAGATAGCAGTAGTCGGCGTTTGCGTATTGCTTCAGGTGGTAAAAGGCCACGCCGCGGCGGTACTGGGCGCTGGCCATGAGATCGCGTTTGTTGCGCTCATAGGCAGTGTGCCATGCCAGGTCGGCATCGTCCAGGGCTGCTTCGTATCGCTCGAGTCCAACCAGGGCCTTTGAGCGGGCAATAAGCCAGGCGGGATTCGTAGAGCTCTGGAGGGCCGTGGACAGCTTGGTGACGGCTTCATCCCAGTTGCGCGACTCGGCAGCACTGAGGCCCTGCTGGGCCAGAGTGACGTACGACATGGCTTGAAGGCCGTGGTTTGATTGCGTTTGTTGCTGTTGTTTGGCAGCGAGATGAGGAGTGCGTTTATATTCCTAGAAGAAGAAGCGCCCAGGTTAAAGAGATATCTGAGTGGTGAAACAAGGAAAATGGCACAACAAAAGGATTATAGAAGTTGCAGCCAAGAAGCTGGTGGTGAACTATGGAAGCTCTAGTGGGGTAACGCTGAACAAGGCGTAAAGCTAAAATAGAGTGTCGACCCCACCATCGCTTTGCCCGGAAGAATTTCACACCGCTTGCTAATTCGAGACTAGATGAAGTCGTGTTTGCCCGAATGGGAATTTTGCTGCACGACCACAAAGTCACACACGAAGCATCAAAATCTTGGAAAAACGAATATAAAAAGAAAAAAAGAAACTGACATACAACAGCCGGTGTTCGCCAGTGGTCACCCACCTGACTACTAATCTGCCTCTCATTGGCTTGACTCAGGGAGAGCGGACGGGATCCCGTATATTCCAATGGATATGGTCGTATGTAGCAGAAAGCTGTGCTACAGTCCGCCATGGAACAACCACGATAGCATCACAGCAAAACAAGTAAAAGAGACAAAAAATGAAAACATACAACAGCCGGTGTTCGCTGATGGTCACCCACTCAACTACTAATCTGCCGGTTAGTGGCTTGTCTATGGGGGAGCAGACGGGACCCCGAATTCTCCACTACCTATGGTCGTATGTACTACGAGCCAGCATTGTATTAGCTATTAATTCGCAAGCCGACATCCGACGATTGAGATTTTTTGCGTATGCCCACTTCCGCAGCGTATGATCTTTGATGTATAGGTAAAGAAGATGAAGTGACTGAAGAGTTACCAGAATTTGAGACGGCCATTGTATTTAGAAGTAAACCCAATAGCTAAATATCCAGGCGGTGGCAAAGACTTTTCAATCTTGAGTTTCCGACCCCAACTCAACCCCGTGTCATCCTAGTAGCCCCTCCAGCTATGGCTTCCGATGCACTATCAAAGCTTGTATTCCTGTCGACAGAAATTCAGCGCTCTCGCGCACATTCGTCATTTTATTAAACCAATTGTACCATGCGGTGGCAGGCCTGGGCCATGCACCGCGGTACTCGAGGACGCATGGAGCGCCTTTGGTTACCTCTTGGACCTTGACCACGTGACTCTGTGCTTTGTAGTTGTTGAGAATAAGTCTGCTGCCATGTGTGAGGTTCATATTTGCTGTGTCTCCCCCTTCTGCGGCGATGCCGGTACTCAGAATTGGCTCTTTCTCCTTCAGCGCCGATAGAGCCCAACTTGCGCTTCGACCATTTTGACAAATCCTTTGTGCGCTTCCATGATCCGAACAAATCAAACAATCGCACGTCGCCAGCCCAAAGATTGCGCATGATTCAGTGTCTTCTAGAACCGGAATCCACGAGTTTCCCTTATACCGGGAGATATCAAGTTTGATCCCTCTATCGGTGGACCCGTTCGGCTCAGGCCACCATAGCAAGAGATTCTTCTTGTCATCAAGACGTGCGCACTGTATTGCGTCCATAAAGCTCTCAAGAACTGTTGCCAACGCATTGAATTGAGCGGGATGGGTGTGATTGAGGTCAGTCCAGATGGCCGCAGCGTCATCATTAGAGTTAGCTCGTCGAATTTCTTCGATGACGTTTTTATCAAGCCTCTGAGATCTGGATAAAGCTTCTGGTGCGTTGGCATTGCTGTTGCTTTCTGCATTTGATCTCGCGTCAAGTTTAGATTGAAGGTAAGTTACAACCGTCTCGTTCAAGAGCGCTCTGAGAGGCACTCTTCGCGCCACACCTGTACAAAGGCTGAATTCAAGTCCCCATGGAGCATTAAGGACTGTCAACTCATGGGGGAGCTTATTCCATTGCTGCACTTGGCTTCCTTTCATGAAAGTCGGGCCAAAACGTTGTTGGGTGAGACTAATTGCTGCTCCTACGGTAGCAGGGGCCATGGGTCCACCGCCGACGCCGACATTTACGCCCCCTGTTCTAGAACCTGTCTTCCAGCCACCTGGATGTGTCCGGAGGTCGACCAGACTGCCGGCAAGTGCATTCTCATATTGGTGGCGACGCAGAGGACACGCTTGATTGGAGGAAACAGCGCCGATAATGACTTTTCGGTCGTGCTCGAGCCAGGAGGCCGGCAAGGCTCTGTCATTATCTGTCGTCGACCAATGGAGCATTGGATTGGGTGATGAAGCAAATAAGGACGACGTGGTTTTCTCATAGAGAAAGCCGCGCCCCATACAGAGTTTGAAAGACTTTGGCACTTCTTCTTTGCTGACTATAATACTCGCACCCCAGAGGTCGAAGATTTGAGAAAGTCTCGCGCGGACATCGTATTTCTGTTGGAACAAGGTTAAGCGGTTAGCCCAGTTCAGATCCGTCCTGATCAGCGGTCCACCAAGACAGAACGCCCACACTGGTCTGTTCAGCATATCTCCCAGACAAGACAGCTCAACCTTCTCAGCGATGACGCATGGTCCAGTTGGCACAGCACCAAAGAGGTAAAACCTTTCGATTGTACGAGATATTTGGGGCATGTAAAAATCGGAGCAGTGGCCTTGACAGAATGTGGCGAGCCCGACAGAGAATATTTGTGCGTACAAAGCCGCTATGTGTAGTATGTAGGGTGCAATGCCATCAATTCGTGTCGATCGGTAAAGGAAGAATAACGCTTCGTCCTCCCTGCCAAACAAACGCTTGAAAGTGTCAAGAGTCCACTGGCATATGTCGGTCCTCCATTTCACGTCTCTAAGGACAGACTCGGAGTTATTTGTTGTTGACAGAGGCTCGCTTAGCAGTTGAACGAATTGCCAGACACTTTCAAAGATTACATCGGCGGCAGTGACTCTGTTGGAGCTGTCCCGTTTGATGAAAATTGGAAAAGATTTGCAACAGCCGCCGAGCATGTTCAGCTCTTTCATAGCCAGAAGTAGCTCTTTTAGAATGCCAACACAGTATCGCAGTAGATCTGGGTTCCAATTTTCCCCCTTCGAAGGTTGGCGGAAGAGATTAAAGGAATCAGCTTCCCAGTTAAGATGTAGACGGCCGGAAATAAGGGAGGCACTGCCCATTGTAGATTGCTGCCATGCAGTCGACTCACCAAGCCATGAGCGTACTGCCCTGAATAGTCTTATGCTAGCAATCTCCAGGAACCAATTCCGTCGATTATGCCGATGATAAATATCGAATGCTGTTGGAATACAGGGGATGGTAGGTCCATCTTCCAATAAACGGGGCATACGTGAATCCTTTAAAGCATCAACTGTACTGCTGGCGGTAGAGCTTTGGGCATATACGTACATATGAGTCGTCAAAGGAAGTGTCAGTCCACCAATTTGGAGGTTGGGTATAGACCTTCCGTCCGTAAACGACTGAGGCACAATCACCTTGGAAGCTAACTGATCCGTGGTTGTGACCAACCTGTACTGCTGGATGCAATACACCGCCGATACCACAATGCTTGAACACAGCTTGCTGAAGAGCGAAAATATCATCACCATCCATTGCTAGAGAGCTAGGGTGAGAGGGAACTGGGAATGAGGAGAGCCTAGAGATAGGATGAAACGATGTTTGTGCGAGCAGACGACGTCTAGACGCTTTGTTATACATGAAGGCCTCAAGGGGATCATGGCTTCAGCCCATACACTCCTTACATTCATCTGTTGTATCTTGATGGACAGCCTTTTAGATCAAAATTTAGACGCCACGTTCTGGCTACTCTCGCTTAGTGGATGCGGCCGACATGTGATGACATGTGATTGCCTGAGAATGGGAAATTCCATTCATGCTGCCTGTTGAATCAAATACATATGCAGCGAAGACGTTCGAGTCTGAGTCGTATCTTCCGTCCAGAAGATGGAAATCTCCCGTACATCGGGCCACATCGTTCAAAAGGAATGCCAGCTGTAAGCCACAACAACGTGACGACTAATCATTGGATCGTTGATACTGAGCCTCTTGCGCTTACGAGGTCTGTGGCACACCAAATCAACATATTTTCAGCTGCTCTCACAAGCCCACACCCCCAAGAACATCTCCAGGTGAGGAAGACCGAGAAGCCATTGACACGCTGGCAGCAGCTCTTGCATATTATGGCAACTAACTGTACGGCTGAATATACGAGCACTATGATAAAGCCACAATTATTCGTTATTTCACAAACCTGAAAGCTTACTTGACCTAGTGGGCCGCCCGCAACTACGTAGTGGTAACCACGTAGCTGATAGTTGTGCCTCTTGCACAAACGCTCTTCATTCATTATAAGACACACTGGGCTTTGAACGTCAGGATGACGATTTTGATTCTTTAACTTCTCTCTTATGAAGACAGTGTGACGCGAGGATTTCAACTCAGCTCTACAGGAAAGCAATATAATTTTCTAAGCGCCTTACGACTGACGCGGAAAGTTTACATTGCTCTTCAATTCGTTGACACAAATCGACGAAAGACAACAACACAAGTCGCAATAATGTTCACGATGACCTTGATGGACTTCATAAAGACAATAACACAGGTCGCAACGATGATCTTGATGAACTTCATAAAGGCAATAACACAAGTCGCAACGTTTACGACGAGCTCGAAGGACTTCATAATGAGTTTCTTCCCAGAAACGACAGATGCCAGGATTCTTGCAGCCTCAATGAGGTCGGAAGCATTAAAAGAATTACTTAAGAAAGACGAGTGCAAAGTGACTCAAATATATCCTTGGGTTGCTGATTTCCAAGACGCCAAAATTGCCGATCACGACATTGTGAAGGCCATGATCGCAACTGAGAATGTGACATGGATGAACGATTATACGAGCTTTCAGGACGATGATCATGCCTGGAGAGAAACCCCAGAGCTCAAGGAGACACCTCAGCATCTGGACCATTTAAATCGTGGATGTGTTCATAAACTTGGCCAGGGAGGAGAATTGCCCTATGGGTGTTCATCCCGTCCCGCTCACCGAAACATAATGTTTGACTTAATTGAGGATATAGCCCGAGTTCCACTAACCGTTTCGTCTAATATTGCCGGAACGGTCTATAAGGTGGCAACCGACACGGGCACTACTGCGGCGAAAATTATTCAGGACAATGTCAACACTGTCTTCAAGGTCGGGATGGACATCTCATCCACTGGGGTGAAGATTGTTAGTGATTTAGTCGGCGCCTTGGCCCAGGTTGGGTCCGGCTTCACGAGCACTGCAATGAAGATCAGGGGAGATACGGTCAGTACTCTGGCAAAATCAGTTTCCGACACGTCCAGCACCTCCTCCAAATTCGTCAATGATAGTCAGACGACTGTGAACAAGATGAAACACGACGCCGGGACTACTGTCCTCAAAATCCGAGATGACATAAATACGCTTAAGTTCCAAGCCGCCAATTTACTTCTAAAGTACGCGACGAATGTATTCGCCGCTGCAGGCGACGCAGCGGTTGTTGATGCGATCCTCCAGGTGATACACCGCTCCCTTGAAGTCATGACACAGAGCCTCAGTGGGGTATTACTTATCTGGAGGGGCATCTTCACCAATGGCACGAATGACGAGAATCTAGCCTTCATCTTAAACCACCTATACGATTTGCTGTGGTTCCTATACGACCTAGTCAGGTCGGGGAATGTTATCCCTGGATATCTAGCAGCCGATGGTACGATTGAGTACATGGCAGACGAGCAACCGGGTATAGATAATCCATACAACGAGTTTGATCTTCGGTTGGAGCAGAACCGTGACGCCGTCATCTACCAGGTGCAGCGGGTCACAAGAACGCTCACTGCCATCCTCAGGATGGGCAGAGAACGAGTGTTGCCAAACGGACTTGGTGACCTCAGAATGAACGCCAGCTTATCCAGTGACTTCGATAGTAACGGCAACCCCCCGTCCTCAACTTACATGTCCAGGCTTGGAGGGGAGGTGGAATCCCCTCCGAATGAGAAGTGGCTATTCATCAACGGTATCGCGAACGAGTATGTCTGGTTCCAGCGCTCGTGTGATAAGATCCGTGACACTTTCAAGAGAGAAGTCAAGGGTGTTTATAACCGTAGTGACGGCATCCTCTGGGACATGATCGAGTGTTGTGGAGAACACAGCGCGGTCACGGAAAGGTCAAACGAACTCATTGCACTCACGCGGAGCAGCAAGGACGCGCAGGAAAGCCTCGAACGGGAGCTCAAGGAGGCGCTATGGCCGACTAATAGCAACGCCCCAGACAAGGTCGTCATGATCGCCCATTCTCAAGGGTGTCTCCTCCTACGGCTAGTGCTGCAAAAGTTAGTGAGGGACCACGCAAAGAGCTCTCAAAAAATGAGGGACATGAAGGAAAGGCTGAGAGTGTTCACTTTTGGGAACCCGAGCCTTGATTGGCGTGTCATAAGGGAGACGGATGAGTGCTTAAGAGAATATGCGAACCTAAGTGAATATGCGAAAGCTACCGAGCACTTTGCGCATGAGGTGGACTTTGTAGCTATGCTGGGGGTTGTGACACATCGGGACGACCAGAATTCTGGCTATGATAGGGTTTCGGTTTTCTACAGCCACGGTGGGAGGGGACACTTATTCGGGGCGCATTATCCTCTTGTAGCGGGGGCTTATAAAAATGGGGAGAACTCGCAGTTGTTGAGGGCAGTGAATGGAAAGGAAATTGTTTAATGGATGGCTTAGCGTAATTCTTGTTTATTAGTCGATCTTTGCGTTTAGGATGTTGTTAAGCAATGTTAGGAAACTAACTTATCATAAATATATTCTCTTACTATTCATAATTATTAATTGAAGTAATTAGAAGAGTAATCTTCCAGCTGAAGATTCTACTCGAAAGTCCTGAAGGAGCTGAGGAAGTGTCATTGTCGGCAGCGTCCATCAACCTCCATCTGCTTTGGTATCCTTAGTTCGAGTACAAGGGGCCAGGGGGTTGCACATCTTAATACAACAGATTATCATGAGAATCCTCAACGAAGCACCACGACTGGCCCTTGAGCCTCATTTCATAGCCACCACCTTCTGTCGTTTTCTACTCCCTATTCGACTTATCCGAGGAAAAGAAGCTGCTCAGGAGATATTTTAATATACTAATATAAGAATAGTGTCAGTCACTGGAATGCCTGCTTGAGAGTTTTCCAAGCATGAATTGCAAAAACAGGGCCACCAACATAAGAATCACAGCGGCGATATTCATTGTAGCACATTCCACCTTTTTGAAATAGCTGCGGGCATATTTATATTCTTACCACGACCCGTTCGCTTCTCCAATTGACAAAATATCGTTCCCACCTATATGCACTTCATTCACAAAAGAAATAATGGTTTTTTCTAGCTCATGTCACAAAACAATAGAAAGCAAATCACAGCTGCTTTGCTAGACGTTTAGTATTCTTGAAGGGTAAGTAGCTTTAACATGAAAATTGTAAAGAGGAAACGAATCCAATTAGCATGCACTCCCTTGCACTCGGGAAAAGCTAGTCGGCCTGCACAATTGTGAATAGTTTCGGTTTGCTTGAGGAAAGGCAACCCAATCAGTGCGTCGCATTTATAGCCTTCGACGACAACAAAATCGACATCAGTCCAGACTTTCTTTCTGCCATCGAAGTTCCATCTTATTTCAATGCAGGGGCACTTCTTGGAGGTTGAGCCGTCGGCCATGAGAAGCGATTTGAACTTTGGCAAGCCTGGATCAACCTCAATGCCGTGTGTCTTAAGCCACTCTGCTTTAATGAGATTGCAGCCGCCTCCGGGATCGATCAGCGGCTTGATTGAACTGTTGTTGAGTTTCCCGGGGAAAGTTAGACAATCATCGTTAGTATTGTCATCAATCCTGCCTAAAACTTCTTCTTCTTCTTGTACACCATCTCCTACATAGGATTCAGGCTGTGGTGTAAATATATGCAGCTAAACAATCAATGCATGAGTCGAGTTGGTTAATATACCGAAGGAAGATGAGCTACTCACCCGCATATTCAAGTTTCTTGCTCGAAGATCTACGTCATTAATAAGTCATAATTCGGTAGCATGATTGCTCTGGGATACACGACCTAGAGCTTGCGTGTCCTTGAAAGCTGAGGAGTCCAAAAAGTACTGCCTCAATAAGGCTTGCAGCGTTCGATTGCGAGACTGGATGATTTGCAACACCGTACTCACGGCCTCGTCGGCATTCAGATCCGGGTTCCTGGTGAAGTCATCCAGAAGCTTGTCCCACAGAGAAGACGCCGTTATCAATATCGCTTTCTGCCCCAAAGTCGACAGAAATAGATATACTGAGCTAGAGGGATCCAGGTGTCTCTGCGAAAGAGAAACTGGTAAATTTTGAAGGTAAGCTCACTCTCTCTGCAAAAGTCCGAGGCCAACTTGGTTGCCGATTTAAGTCAGCTTGCCGATGAACTTGGTAGGGGTGTTATGGATCTTCACTTACTTCACCATAATACTGATCCTCTATCTCAGCAGGTCAGCCCTGCGCTACTGCCACCGCACGATGCGCAGCTGTATCAGCACGATATCCTGCGGCAGCTGCTTGAAATGCTGCCCCTATGGCTCTACTCGCTACCCCGTTGTTATTGGTAAGAGATTCTGCTACCCGACTTGCTGCATCTGCCGCGTCTGCAGATGCATTAGCAGAATCCGCCGCTGCGGCCGTTGCTCGAGCAGCATAGACGAGTCCTGAACCCCTAAGAGACTCTCCGGCAACTGCGTTGGTTTCTGCGTCTTTTACCGTGCGGAAGATAGTCTGAAGCAGGTCAACTAGACTCGCGAACCCTGTTTCAGGGTCAACAAAATGTGATGGTAGATGGGTTTCGCCCATCGGGGAGATGTAAGAGCTCACTACCGTAATTGCGTTGGTTCGTCGCTTGTTCCTGAGCCCTAACCGTCGACTACTTTAACAATAATAATAGTAATCATCACAATAACAATAATAATATCAAAACAGAGACTGGGTTGGCCACCATTTTTATTTACAGCACGTCCCCCTTTGCTCTGATCAGAGCTTGCAACTTATAAATACCAGCGTTCTTGGGCAGTAGATTTTCGGTATGCTGCTATGGCACAAATCTCATTCGCGATTCTCGCAGCTGCATATAAAGAGAGGAAATTGTGAGGGGCATCGACTCCCCGCCTGTCGTTATTCGCTAGCGTTGATGGTCCAATCTTGGTCAGCCAAGTGTTCAATTCGGGTGTTTTAGGCCGCACCTCGGCACAGCCTGCGACTACGCCCACTAGGCCTATTACTGCCGACCATTTACTCCGTATGTTAGATCTATTTGGGACTGTGAGTGGTTGAGGGGCTTTCTTCACAAAAGCACGCTCGGGTATTCAGGCCTATCGATGAGGCCATCGTAGTGGTACTGATAAGTTGTGCATGCGTGCTTAATGCAGCTCTCTACACATGACTTTAGCTTCGTTATCAAACGATCTAAGGGCGCATTCTCCTTCTTAATTTTGTGACCCAGTCAAAGCTATACTTCATCCGTCTCTTTGAAGCCCGCTCACGCAATAACTAGGAGTTCTCCAAAGATGATGCCTTACGAGACGACCGCGACAGCTTCCGGCCGCATAGGCAAGGATGACCTAGCAAAAGCGAAACTTATGTCGTTTATTAGAGGGGCAAACGAACAGGAGTTTAGCATAATCCTGAAGCTCCTTAAAGGCTGTAAGTCTATCTCTGGCCTAAAAAGCAGTCGTTAACTAAGTTTTTTTTTTATAAGTATATAATTCTGAGGACAGGACAGGTGGATTGACAAGCCAGAGCAAGATCGTATCGGCATCTAGTGATCACACCATACGGGTGTGGGACGCTACCACTGGCAAAGAGGAAGATATCTTTATCGGCTATTCCGACACCGTTACCAGCGTCGCGGTCTCACCTGATCGTAGGATAATTGCTTCAGGTTCAGCTGATCGGATAGTGCGGCTATGGGACACTACAACGGGCCGGCAAATACGTGTACTCACAGGCCATACTAATACCATCAGAAGTGTTGTCTTCTCCTACGATGGGGTTAAGCTTGCTTCTGGGTCCGATAATAGTACGGTCCTGGTGTGGCATCTAGCAACGGGCAAGCAGGAACGTTCGCTCTCGCACTCTACAGCCACGGCTGCCTATGGCTACTACGGCAACCGGACCTAAACTAGTTAATACGCTGTCACTAGTGTTGCCTTCTTTCTCGATGGTAAGAGAATTATATCTGGAACTAGGAATAGTGGAATATGGGTGTGGGATATAGAGACCGGTATATAGGAAGTCCTTTCCGGTCGCTCCGATTTTATCGCCAGCGTCGTCTTCTCCTTGGACGGGCGCCAGATGGTATCGGGAGCTGCTGATGGTACCGTAGAAGTCTGGAATGCTGCAACTAATTAGTCGGAGTCTATTCTTTTGGGCTATTCTGGCGCTGTTATGAGTATTGCATTTTCGCCAGACGGAAGTAAGATTGCAACAGGGGCCGATGATTGTACTGTGCGTCTGTGGGATATGGAAAGCGCTAAGGAAGAGCCTGTGATTCTACGCCAACCTAAGAATGTCAAAAGTGTAGCCTTCTTATCCGACAGCAGGAGGATTGCGATTGGTTTAACTGATTATACATTGAGGCTGTGCGATGTGGCGACCGGTAACCAAGAGTGTGTGTTGACAGGCCATTCTGGCGATGTTACCGGTATTGCGTTTTTCTAATATCATGCTACCGAGAGTTTGTTTTACATGGCACTTATACGAAGTATATATCTATTTCTATTGGTAACCGTTGCGCCATTCCCTCTGGCCCAGTTCTCTGTTGTAATCCGCATTGCCCTTCGTTTTTTTCGTCTTTTTCTCTTTTTGCGTATTATAATGAAGGCATTACAGGGTCAAAATAAAAATAAAAAAATCTCTTGGTGTTATCAATTCATGATATTTACGATAGTAGATAGTATTTTGTCTTTTTCTTCCTGTCCTTCCCCTCTTTCACTTCCCTCCAATACTCCCTTCGGCCCTGCAGCGACCGTTCTGGATAGCCGCCAACATTCCCACTAATGTCTCAGCTCATGCAAGGCATTTCTTGAACCTTCTATTAACAAGAAAGTTGCATGACTATTAAGTACGGAATTATTCTTCAACCCTTGTACTACATTAGTATATAGGCCTCATACCTCACAGAACTTCTTCTAGTCAAACAACACACGTACAACCCCGACTTTGGCTTGGTATGTCTAATAATAAAACTCTCCAAAGGTCTAGCAGCAGCCTTCGGGTGCCTGTTTGCAAATATCGAGCGCCAGCTTCTTCTGCCCGTCTTTTCGGTGCGCATTCCCAATATCCAGCAGCTCATAAACACTAAGGGGTAGTCCTTACCGACAATTCTTTCCCTATCATGCCTAGCATTTTGAAGAATTTTAACGCCTTCCGCTAATTAGCCTATGACTATCTTGAATATGGCCAAATGTCTCTCCCCCATCTCCTTGTGGGGATCATCGGATGGCATTTGATATTGAGCAAGTTCATAATTTATTTGCTGGTCGAGTAGGCTTAATTCTTTTGTTTTAGAATTTGAGCCTTATAATGTTTCGGTTTTAAACCTCTCCTAATCTAGCGGAATCCCAAGTGTTTGGTGAGGTTGCGAGCGTAATCAAGATCAATAAAATTACTGATTGCTCAATGCTAGCTATCGCCGAGATCAACCATTATGTTATGCTACAGTAAAGTATGTGATGTTTTAGGTGGACTCTTCAAAGATCAATAAAAAAGGCTCTTATTCACATAATAAGGGAAGAAACTGTGTGTAACATTTGTACGGACAGAAATGACGCTTCAGGAGGTGACATATAGCGTGAAGGGGAGGCGGATGTGACAAAGGTATCTCAGAGGGAGTGTGATTAGCAAGGTTCCTTTTTCTTTTGATGAATAACATCGGATTCTCTAAAACTCTATTAAAAAACGATAGGTAGTCAAATTGATACCGTTAAGAATGATATATTCATGTGATACTATAACAGGTACGTATCTGACCTGGTAATTCAGCTGCTTCAGAAAACGGAGCCATGTGACTTCAAATTTGGAACCTCAAGACTCTAGAATGGACAGACCTTGAACCTTGATAAATAACTTGACGGGACACCGAATTTTTCACTACCTATGGTAGTATGTATCAAAATTAAAAAGAAAAATACTCTATAAAAGTTCTATAAAGTAGTAATTAAGAGAGTTGCTAAGTAACCCCTAGAGTTGAATAACTATAAACATGCTATATAGAGAAAATATATTTCGAAATAAGCAATGGAAACATGATCAATCTGTAGGCTACTATGAGTCAATTATTGCACGCTTTAGCCCTTTGGAGATACAATAGCTATCACTGGCTACTGCCGTACGAAACCCTCTGATCTATCCAGACCTCATTTGCGTCTCCTGGACGGCGGGTTAATACAGCTCAGGTTTTTCGTCGATATTAGGGTTATGAGCACCTTTACTGCTGCAAAACATTAATTGGGCTTGTGTCTTTTATACAAGCGGCGTGCAGAACCTGTTGCTTCCCCGTGCAGTTCGTTCCACTTTTCAAGGATAAGAGGCACATCCACCCCAAATTTCGACTCAGCCCACCGCCTCTCAATTATCTTTGCCGTGATGTTATTCCATCCACGAAGAGTATATACGGTGCCGGTCAGATTTTCAATTGCGCTGTCTCCACCACCATCGAAATAGACTTTGAAATCTCCGGTGTGCAAAGGCGCCCCTTCGTGTTCTATCAATTCCTTGACGACTAGTTGACTTCCTCTGAAGGTTTTATAGCCAGCGACGAAATTGTCGGTTCCATCCACCGAGCGTTCCAGCTCCTCTATACCAGTTACAAAATTGGGAGTGATATTGTCATTCATCTTAACATATACAGCATCTCCCGCAAGAGTAAAAGAGTGCAGTAGCGAGTAGCAAAGGATATAGATACTCAGCATTTCTGGTGTCGCCGGCTTGGGTCGCGAACCCTCAAAATAATATTTGACATCGGTCAAGCGTTTGCTCGTAGACATCATATCGATCCAAATGGCGCGAAGAGTGTCTTTGAGATCTTGGGGTTGGATCGTGCCCTTCTTTTCTTGCTCGCCAAGGTCGACAATTTTTTGTAGAGTTTTGAACCAATCATCAGCACTCGTATAGAGTGTATCAAGGCGGATTTCAAGTTCTGCCTTGTGAATCTCTTCTATGATTTGCGTCTTTGCCAATTCGATGCACTGCATCAGCTGAGGGGTGCGATCTGTCTGCTTGCTAAATCGTCCCAATAAATTTGCCACTGCATCAATGGCTTTCACAATGCTGGTAACAGTATCTGCTGTCTCTTGGACAAGAATGAGTACACCAATTACCGCGGCAGCCATGGTGATAAGTGAGCAGTAAGGCGATTGTAGAATGTAACGTTCAGAGTGTGGGTGCTTCAAGACTTAGATGATGAAGGGACTCCCGGGGAATTTGGGTAGAATGTGCTTGGTGTAATGAGAGATAGAATGTGTAATACTTAGTAGGTACAGGACGTACCTTATATAGATGTATTTCTGATCTACTCAGGACCTTTGACGTGTCATTATTGCGCAATAGCTGAACCGATACTCATTTATACTAGAGTTATTCAAGCATAGAGAACTCAAACTACGAGAAGCTTTCCAAATTGAAGTTCTCAAAGGCCAGATATCTTACCAATCAGCCGCTGCCACAGAAGCCTCTCTCAACATTTTTCTATAGAGCATGGTATATATGAGTACTGTGACTTAAGATAAGGTTTCATACTAGCAAGTAAACGATGTTCTGGTAGGAATGGAGGTATCTGAGTTTTAATACTTTGGCATGTATTGTGTCGGCGAAGTTTATTTGCATAGGCGCTTTATACAGTAGGCGCTATTCATATTAACCCTGTTTAGCTAGAGCTGAGCATTGCTAGTGCTTGCCTTAGATTGAATCAGAGAGCCTTTTAAGCCATGTAATATTTCGGCGTAGCAAATATATCATATATGCAACTGTTACGATCTGGCCCGCCGTAACAGCTAGAACCCTTATAAATAGCTGGTTCTGTTACAATAGTTGCATAAATTGTGATTATTGGCCTAATCTTTTGCCCTGCTGGCGCTACGGTATAACTGAACGTAACAGCAACACATTTCCGCTACTAAATAGCTGTTGATGATAATTTATAGATTTAGCTATATGGTATATGTTAATTTGCTGGATCTTAACGATAAGAACTTTTGGCTGCAAATTTTGGCTGCGTTACGAATGAGTATATATTTGATCTAGCTGTTACGACCTGGTCTCTCGTAATGAATAGCTACCTTATAAATAGCTGGTTCGGTTATAGCAATTGCTACAACTGCAATCATGGGCCTAATCTTTTGCCCGTAATATCACGATTATGACTAACTCTCCGGTCTATAACTTTGTAAGGATTGTCTTTGCAAGCCTTTATTCCTCTTGCTCCTAGGAAAGAGCCCTATGGGCCAAGGCCTAGCTAGTCATACCTGTAATAATCTTACTTGGATAAGATCTTCTTGAAAATCTCAAAGGTTGCTTGGTCCCTCACAGGGTCGTGTATTGCGCACATTGCCGAATAAGACCAGTACGACATGAGGAACACTAACCGTGCTAGCACCCAAAGGTACCCCAAGGCGCGCTCGATGGGTCGAGGGAGCTGTATTGGTCTAAAACTATACAGCTTGTAGACTGCATCTTCTAACATAATACCAGTGCCTGACTGCTGAAGAAAATCAATTGTCCAGTTTCAAATCTTTCAGCTTAGTGATGAAGGACTGCAGAGAAACAGAATGCAAGAGAAAGCCGCGAGTAGCGCGAGATCAGACTACCACGGGGGATAACCAAATCAAGAATCCAACCAGCCGGCCCACGAAACGCCTTGCGCAGACCTTAATGATAGTAATTGCTGGATACATTAGATTAGCGGTAGGGAATACGACTAAAAGGTGCTAAAACATACCCCTATAATCTTGTCACGGAATACGCCTGACTCGGCCAACCCTGCCAGATGTGAGGTTAGCTCTGTGACTGGTGACTACAAAGGACGGCTTTAACAGCTGGAAGGCTGTAGGCTCCGATGACGCCGAGGGCTGCGTTGATGAGAAAGATGATGGTAGTTATCACTCGGAAAGCGACGTCTTCTGTGGTTGCTCCCGTGCCAGCAAGCGGATACGAGATAGTTTACTTCTCTCTCGTCATATTTGGGTCTGGCGGAGGACCGGCGGCGCATAGGTCTATGACGAGACAGCTGATGCGAGGAATGCCCAGTCTCTTTAAGAAGAAACGCATGCGCCTGGGCATGGAGCTATGTTCTGTCGAGGCTGAGACCTTGATGCTGCCACTTAGTTCTGATGCTCCGCTAGTTGAATGGCAATGTGGCTGCCCGAAATGCCTACAAAGTGGGCTTTCCAGGATTGGTTAACTGAAGGCCGGGGCCTTCAGGCTGACATTTGACACAATAAGGATCTCGAAGGCGTTCAAGAAGGTGGTCCAGGTTGCGCCCAACGCGAAAAATATAACAGCGCGATTGGAGAGGTATTCCGGGAGGCTGAGCTGGAAGCTGTAGGTCACGGCCGCAAGCAGAGTGGTTGCTGAGGCGCGGTAGAGGGAATGCGGCGGCAGGAGAGGCTTCAAAGATGGCAACGGCAGGCGCAGAAGATATACATGTATGGGCCGTGGGTAGATATATATGTCTATTTTAATGGTCACGAAATGCGCCCTTTAGAGATTTTGCCTGAAGAAAATACAAGTTCACCGTCAAGCTTGTCGTGAATTGAATCACTGAAGTTGGAATCCAGTGATGCAAACTTCAGCCCCCCCACATAGTCCTTAGTGCTTCCTCCCGCGCTGGCAGCGGATGGTTAAGCCAGCTAGGGTTGGCGATCCCCAGAGCCAGCAAGCCCAGAGCGAACAGTTCAACGGTCAGATGGTTGCAAACTTACATCGTGCTGTAGTTGGAATCCAAAGTTTCGTCACAATCGACGAGCTGGCTATCAATATACGCTGCCGGGCTACATGTATCTATGCCAAACGTTCCCCGGCGCTATAGCCTCAATTGCAACTGGTTCGGCCGTCTTGGCAGTCGGCGCTCTGCCGTCACTCAAAGGCACGGCCCCGCATTGCCAGCTCCTCGCTTAGACACCGGACTGGGGAAGCCCCAAGCCGACAGATCTGGAGACTTGATTACAGTGGCTTGCTTGCTAATGGGAAGACGCACGAGATATTCAGAAATAAGACTTAGAATTAGAAGTAGTAGTATACAATCTGGATTCAGGAATATTAAGTTAATTAACAGAATAACAGAGCAACTCCCCTCAATTTTTTTTTTTTTTTTTTTTTTCCTTTGTTGGCTTCCAGGTTCTGCTTTTTTTTTCCCCCGAGAGTCATTGCTGTGGTTTTGGCAATGAGGGGTGCCAAGTCCAAATGTTATTACACATATGAAGCGGAATTCAAACCGTTGATTTGTTCAAAGGAAATCGCATTCCCTTCCCGTCTCGGCTGCACCTTTGCGTAGCTCACCCCGTGAACCTTGTAGCCTTGTGCATTAAGAAGCGTAATAAGCCCACCTTGATCTGAGAGTGGGCACTTTGGGACACTGAATTCCTTGGCCACCTGCTTGGCAGCTAGCGTAGCACCGCTGGATGGCAGCTCTTCGAACTGGCCGTCTTGGTTTCTGATCTTCCATCCAGTGAGATCGACTGGTTGTGCCGTGCGATTGGTCAGGAAGACGGTGGCTTGTTTGTTATCCGGGCCAAGAGGATTCACTAACGCTCGAGTGATGAGGACGGGCGTGTCAGTCATATCGTTAATTGCGCGTCTCTCAGCTGGAACCTCGGGATCCAGGAAATCAGCCCAGGTTTGGTAGTTGTTTTGTTGGACAGGGTTGCCAGTATCATCATCGGTGTGCACTGCTTGAGAGGCAAAGCCAAGGAAGATGCCCTTCCAATGATCCCTGAACTGCAGAAAAAAGCCTCCATCCTGGTAGACACCATTATCCTTCTTAAAGTGCCCTGGGCTCCCTTGATTCATGTGTACATTGTGAATACCCTCTCCATTATCAAAGTGAGAGCCGTAAAGGTAGATAGTAGCACCATGTGAAATGGCTTCAGTGAGAATAGGCTTCAAGACATCAAGGATATCGTTGTTCTCCCCTGGTATATCGTGGGGAAGGAGCCTGCCAGTCTGCTTCTGGAACAAATTTCCCCGGATATAATCCAGTCTTAGATTGTCGAGCTGCTCCTCGCTACCACCTTGAAGGGAGTGGAACCCGTCTCCCAATGCTTGAAGTTTGCGAACAATGGGGTGGCTCAAGGCTGGAACTACCCAGTACACCAGACGGGAGTCTTCATGATCCCCGGACTTGATGTTAATTGCTGCTACTGCTTCATTGACGTTGCCGTCGCTAAATTTCAGATGTATATGCGGGCTGTGGGGGTCTTTACGGGCAGTCTCATATGTGTAGCTGACCGGCTTTGCCTTCCACACGCCGTAATCTCGGATGGGCATTGTGAAGTTGTAACGTCAGGAGAAGAGGTTTAAATTATGACAGGAAATATCAGGTCGAGATATTGGATGAACAAAGGACAGATCGGATTGCTGCTTGAAAACTGTTATACGACCACTCAATAAATATGCCCCAACCAACAGCTGCCACACTGTCTGGACGAAAATGCTTATCTCGCATTACAACAGAACTTCAAGGCAAGAGCTTTATGGGAGCTGAGCGCCACAGTTCCAAGAAAGCGGGGGCATGCACTACAATAATAATGTCTTGTCCCGTACAAAGTTGAAGCCCAAAACACGAGTTGAAGTGATTTCATGTAGTCGCCAGCCACCTCGCGTCACCGACGTAAGGACAGTATGCATTGGGATTCGTTGTCTTTCAGGTGATGTGGTTGAAGTCAATCGGTGCAAGCTGAAAAAACTTTTTTGTCGAGCTGAATGCTGGTGGTTGCAAAACAAATTTAAGGCGTTATGGCTGACCACATCAATAACTTCAGAGTGCCTTCATATATCTTCAGCCATCTAGAATAATGTAGTCGGGTGATTCTACCATGAGTTTTTCGCATTCCAGCCAGGTAAATGCTGCTGCCATTATATCGGCCACTGCAGCTAGTATTGTGTGCAGGTACAGATCCCGCATTTGGGACAGTAATGATGTCAAATTATTAACACCCCGCTGGCATGAAGTTATCAGTCCGGGAATTATGTGCCATATTACACCAAGGAGCAATCGTCTAGATGGTGGAAATAGAAGACCCAAATGGCTGTCTACCCAATCCCAATATATGGGAGCGAAGAGCTCAAGCTGCTCGCGTTAGCATTACTAGCCATGCCGCCTTACACCACCCTTGAGAAGCCGATAGTTGTGGTCAACAGAGACGCATGTTTAGACGTGTAAGTACTCCGGCCATGTCGCCTAATAGAATGCCTACGTAGTCTCATAGTTATGTTACGACCCGACCTCTTAAGGAACGTAACGCAGTACGTACCCCGGGATAACCTCGGAACGTACGACCAATTAGAGGAGGACCGACAACGAGCCAGCGGTCCTACGTACTGGACCGACATACGCGAGCGGTCCTCAGGGTAATAGACCGATGGATCGGTAATTATCTCCTGGGCGTCTGGGTATTCTTCTACCACCTCATTCCACATTCGCGCTGCGACTTCATTAATAACATCAGGTTCACCAGGCGCTGGCATATAATCTGGGTGTTCCTTCCATCTGGCTGCCTCGTCGTCGTTGTTGTAACGCGAGTTCCTAGCCTCCCATCTGAGCCATTTCTCAAGGCGATTCAGGCCCTCAGCAAAACGAGCATCGGTCCCGTCGCCGGAAACGGCACGGTAAATGAAGAATCCCCATCCGTATGGGACGCGAGGGTCAAATTCTTCCGGTTTAATAGCTTCCAGGTCACCCCGAATAGGCCTGTTTCTTTCAATGAATGATTTTGAGGGATTGTCTGGATACACAGGGTCGGTGAGATCCCGCGAAATGGGCTCAAAAATTGGCTGTGTCCGTGATGATGACATGTTCAAAGAATTGGAACCGTGGAGGATTTGCCAAACTAAGATTCGCAATCAACTACACGGGAAACGAGGGGGCATATAAACACGCCTATTTTCCAGCTTGGCCTGAAATTACTGCCTTCAGTTCGTGCATAAAAAGCGGACCAAGACAGGCTATTGCTGTTGGTTCCTCGCGGGGTTCCAAACGCTGGTTAAGTGCAAGAAAATGTTTGCTGGATACCAAGATCGGAAAGGTATCCTTGAGAGACATTTCGGTTGGCTGGGATAATGCAAAGGTCATAGAAGAATGCTCTGAGTGCCAGTTCCCTGTCCTCTGCCGGTGAAGTATGAGGCAACGTATCCATATTGAGGGCATTTTCGCGAAGGAAAGGGACACGATTAGGCATTATACACTTTCGAGCAATTGATGTAAACGAGGGTAGGCTCATTCCGCCGATTGTCTTGTAAATCAGAAACGCATAAAGCTTGTCAGCCCCATAGCCACAACTTGTACGATTGGCCTTGATACATCTTAAACTGACTAGATGTCATATGTTAGCCTCTTGGAGTATTACGTGGCGAAATAAGACGGTTCTCATTTACAGAAGTCGTCCGATCGCACTGTTTGGACGCCAACAATATGTTAGTCAACATCCATCCGTGTTGATTGGAGAAACAACGACGAGAAACGAGATCATCGGGAAGTAACCGTATTTTTTTACGTTGTACCCTGCAGTACCCTGCAATACCCTGCAATACCCTGCAGTACCCTGCAGTTTATGTAGCCTTGAGAAGGACCTTGATACACCCTTGAACTACAGTTGCGTCTCAAGTTGGCCAAGGCCAGCGGATTCAGTCTTCCAGGCAGACTTCTTGGAACCCATGCTTGATGGAATGACTAATGAGGTTCTCGTCAAGTCGGAAAAAAAACTGAATGTGTCTGACAGCAAAACTGAATGTGTCTGACAATGAAAAGTTGGATGTGTCTGACAGCTTGATACATGTATGAACATTGCTAATAAATCAATGCTACAAGAACGTATTATGGTTGCGCTTCGTTAATGCGGGTATTGCATTTGAGTGGAGCATACAACTTCATGTTAACGCCATAGTAGAACCAGCACGGTGAGCTCGCATTTCCGTCATGGGTTGCATACATGATGGTTTTCCAATGTCTAGGATCATGAAGCTGAGAGATTTCAAATCTCAGTACTTGTGGACGCTGGGATTGTAAAATTTACAATGGGAAGCACTGCCAATACCAATTTAGTGAACAGCTTTTAATTAAGTACAACAATGTCGGGTTTTACACGCCAATATCATTACATGGATAATGGGGCCATATTCTCTATTTCCACGCTATTCATAGATTGGGAGGTGTAGTGCGATGGTGCCTTCAATAAACTTATCGTGGCGCTACACTAACCCGTAGACGAGAAAAAAAATGACAATATAGATACTTGCAGCAACGACTTGTAGAGCGCAATTCAAACTTTCGGCAGCTGTGTCTATCGTACATATTGCGGCCACCTAATTCATGAACAGCTGAGAGTAGAGAAGTTATGAGAGGAAAAGAACAGGGACTAAAAGTTATTGCCATTTCATCAAGTGCCAAAGACAAATTGAGACCATAGGCCTCTATTTCTATGCTGCTGACGTTTCCTGCTGCTCAACTTGGTGCAGGATCTCCGCTGCGCTATCGTACTTCTTCCCATTCTTCCAGTACCCAACAACATGCGGCTCCATTGGCTTAATATTCCCATACTTGTCCTCTTTGCCCAACTCGCCAAGCCAGGACCAGTGCAGTTTATCCTTCCAACCTTTCTCATACCAGCCGTTTATATCTTGTTGTGGCGAATCGTTCAGTGTAGGCAGCACAGATTTCCCTCCGTCCTTGAGCAGTAGGTTGTTGTCGTGCGCCAATGCTACAAAGACATTATCTGCTTCGTCAAAGGCTTCTCGAAATTGATTGAGTGTTGCCTGAGCCGTAGCAGGGTCTTCGTACGCGCTGTATTCGGCGGTTGAAACGGAACACCATGGCGTGTCCAGGACAGGGTTCGAGGAGTCAGCCGTGGAGGTACCCGAAGATGGCGGGAAATGCGAATGGCGTCTTAGTAGCGCATTGAGATCAACGATATCTGCAACTCGGAGGGAAGCACCTGGGAAGTTTGCCTTCGACAAGGGGCGAGTTTGGCTAGGCCTCAACATGCCGGAGAAATGGCAGACATCCCCACCAAAGAGGACAAAGGTGTCTCTACCCTGCCCCTCATGACTTGCAGTAACCCTGGCCAAGCCGCAGAGATGTCCGGCTGCGTGTCCTGGGGTATCGAGAAGATAAAACGAGCCGTCACCGTAAAAGTCGACAGCCGGGAACCCGCCGATTTTCAAGGTGGATTTGCCAAAGTCAATCTCCCTATTGGGGCGTCCGGCGAAATCGGATGTGAGGAGTTGAGAGTCTAGCTGATCTGGATATCCTGGCTTCAAGGCAGCGATTCCCTTTCCATAGTTGAGAGTTGTGCCGGAAGGAAACCGCGATGTATCCCCGGTATGATCAAGGTGTGCATGACTCCAGATAATATCATTGATTTGGTCCAGCGACACACCAGCGTTTTGAAGGACCTCGGCGACGTCTGTGTCGACTTTTATAGACACCGCCATTTGACCTAAGCTTTCCCGGAGCTTAGGTGCTAGATTCCACCAATCTTTGCGAAGACCCAAGTCAAATACAGCCCTCTTCCCCAAGCGCTCGTTTTCGATGAGGAAGCACGACGTTGTTCCATTCAGCAATTCATGTCCCTTTCCCGCTGGCTCCAGAAAAACAGTGGCTGGGATAGCCAGGTTTCCGGTTGAGTCTATGATGCGAACACGGACAGTATTAACCGATGGAGGTGCATGGAGCCATCGTTGGGAATCTGGTTTTGCAGATGTTGGCATGTTGATTCTATGAAAGTAGAGAAACTGGTTTATCCTGAACTAATGAGATAGATGAAGTCAACAGAATCATGGTGTCTATATAAAGTACCGATACGCGTAGAGCTTGTTCAACCGAGAGATGTTCACGGAAATGAGTATGCTTGATAATCATGTCTTACCGTCTAAGCAATCCGCGATCCTACCTGGATTTGTCATATGGAATAAGTCTATCTGTATTGCCACGAACTGTCATACCAAGGGACCTACCAGTCAGAAGTTGAGTACACACGTAGTACCTAGTATCCTATCGTTACCAATCGGCGACAAGCTATGTGCATAGTAAGATAACCAGGCCTGCTCAAGTATTGTGGAAGGGACATGTTTTGATTACAAATTCGAATTCATCACCCTTTCTATTTCGCCCCCTTGGGAAGCACACTTGCAGGATTGGATCCTCATCACATGGGATGAATCGCAGACATCAATGACAAGGACATCCAAAGTTGGTTAGCGTTGCGACCGACTTCTCATGACCGTGTTTTGTGGAGATGGCTTGTCTGGGGTCGGCAGTGGCGGTGGAGCCACAGCCTAAGTCTGTGCGATTTCAGACTCAAGTTCCATCACTTTTTGCAGGTCTGCCTATGTAGTTGGAACAGAATTTGCGGTATTGGACTGAGGAACAGGGGTTAACTACCTAGATCAAAATATTCAATCCGAGAATACTTGCTAGAAAATCACATTGCTATTCGTCTGATCCCCTCAACCCTGTCGAGACGAATAAACAAGAGCAAAAGCAAAATAGTTTTTCTGACCAAAAAAACTGTTGGACCCCCCCTGAAATCTAAAGTGAGATTCGTATAGGCGCATCGGAACTTGAGGGAAGCTGGTTCCCTACTCCTTGTTCCTTCTTATGGCACTCACCTATTACATCTGACAAAACTTCAAAGACATGCTTTGACATTAAACGCTTTGAATACTCTATTATAAATACCGGCATACCATTCGATAAACATTAAGACAAGACAACACAAAGGCAATATGACAACACCACAAGACCCGGAGAAGGCGACGAACTCGTACACCGGCTGGCCAAGTCTTCATCTACCACCATGAAAGATGTGGCTACAAATTCAGAAGCAACAGCACCAGATGGAATTTTCACTACTCCGGTTGACATGGCAGGCAGATCTGTCAATTGGACTGTCAAGGAGGAGGAGCCCCAGACAAGCGGTGATGGGAATAAGCCGGCTCGCGCGATCCGCAGCTTCAGATGGTTTCTCGTCTGTTTGTCTCTCCTCATCAGCGCTCTCATCTACGGTCTTGATACAACCATTGCCGCTGACGTTCAGGGCTCCATCGTAGAGGCTTTCGGTCACGTCGACCAGCTTGCATGGATTGGCGCCGGCTTCCCTCTCGGATCCGTCGCAGTTGTGCTCCCTATCGTGGTGTTGTCCACACGCTTTAACATGAAATGGCTTTACATCTCTTCCCTTGTCCTTTTCGAGGTTGGATCTGCTGTGTGCGGTGCGGCCCCTAATATGAACGCCATCATCGTCGGAAGAGTCATTGCTGGGGCCGGCGGTGCGGGTCTCTTCCTCGGTTGTCTCAACTACTTCAGCACGCACCATGACGGTGCCATCTGAGCGCGGCCTATATATTGCATCCATAGGACTTTGCTGGGGAGGCGGCACTGTCTTGGGTCCTATTTAGGCGGAGCGTTTTCCGTGTCTTCTGCTACCTGGCGATGAGCGTTTTACATTAACCTTGTTATTGCTGCTGTTACGGCGCCTGTTTACCTACTTTTCCTTCCTTTCCTACGCCCGGTTCAAGGCCAATCTCTTCTACAGCGTATAACTGACTTGGAAGTTGTGGGCTTCATTCTCAGCGCCGCCATGTGGACCAGTTTTGCCATGGTTGCAACAATGGCCGGAGGTCGGTGGCCCTGGCATGACGGCCGAACTATTGCCTTATGGGTTGTCTTTGGGATATTGCTTACAAGTTACATTCTTCAACAATGGCTGTGTGTCTTCACTACCCCACGGTCTCGAAGCTTCCCTGTGCATTTATTGGCGTCACGTACACAGGTTCTCCTCGGCATCACCACCGCCTCAAATGTGGCAGTTTGCTTTTTTGTCATCTACTTTATCCCCCTATACTTCCAGTTTGTGCATGGAGATGGCGCCCTCCTCGCTGCTGTTCGCCTTCTACCGTTCATTACCTCAATGTCTCCACCAGCCTGGCTGTCGGTCCTTTCCTTCCACGCATTCAGTACTATGTGCCAATGTAGGTCTGCAGCGGCCTGCTGTCAAGTTTGGGTAGCGGTCTGCTTATGGGGTATATCAAGACTAGCACGTCGCAGGGTGTCATCTACGGCATTCTCGTATTGCTTGGTTTTGGCAGCGGCTTGACATTCTCGATGGGCTTCTCAGTATCCACGCTCAAGGTCAAGCCCTCGGCCATTGGCAATGTCGTTAGCTTCCAAGATATCTGTCGGCTAGGAAGTTCTACAATCGTCCTAGTCATTGCCGGCCAAGTTTTCCAGAGCCGCGCCACAGCTAACTTTGAACATGTACTTGCCGGCAAAGGCTTTTCGTCCGCCGACATCCAAGGCGCTGTTGCTGGTGCTCAGAGCACACTGTTCAAACAACTTGATGCAAGTTTGAAGTTGGAGGCCATCAGTGCCATCACAGAAGCGATACAGCGGACTTTTGTGCTCACCATCGTAGGGGCAGCTATCATGACATTGGCCGGAGCGTGTATGCGAGTTGACAAGATATTTGAGGCCCGATCAACAAGGCTTGATGAGAGCGAAGCGACGCAACTACCATTGCCCTAACATATGAGATCTAGGCATCGCTCTGCCTCTTATGGAGTTTTGACGAAACGATTTATAGCAGTAGGACCTTGGTGGATACAAAGATGTATCAACACAAGCTTGTAAAACAAAGGCTTATCCTAACCATAGAATGTAATAAGCTACCTTTATACTGCAAGTAGAATATGCTGAGTTATGCAATTAGTATCCTTAGTACAGACGCTGTACTCTTCGGCCTGAATATGAGTAGACCTTATTGTCTGTGATGCACAGCTAACGTTACTTCACCCTTTCTCCAAGAAGCTTTGGACGAAGATAATCGCGCCTATCTATGCTACCTCGTAAGTCCTTAGACGCATAGTCTTAATCAAGCGAGGTGTCTGCAAGCTATCTCTTATCCTTTGAAACCCCAGCATTCTATATAGTCCATTTTGTTTTGTCCAGAGTGGACATTGGTTGGGCGAGATCAAATCAATCTTCGTAGAGGAAAAGGGTCGCGCCAAAACCGAGGTATTTTAGCGCCAGAATCAACTCTCCATAGCTGTAGGTATGTAAGTACACAGATATATGGCCTGTTTACAACGAAGATACACGTGTTATGCTCTGGCATTCGATAATTTCAAGCTAATAGTCCTAGACATTCGCTGTGCTATTTAATATTATGACATTGGCATCTCATTGAACTCTTGATGGACAGGATCAAGGGCAACATAATACGAATTGACGTAGACGGCAATTGATTTATATCGAATGCAGCGTCGGCGCTTTTAAAACCGTCAGCGGCGCCATCTATATGGTTATGGACGTGTAGCCAGACAAAGAGCAACAAGGCAAGGATAATGAATATGTGACTATTCAAGTACTGTTAAACTTTGACACTTGTGATTCCGACAATAGTATGGTTACTTGGGGCTCCAATTTTATAACCGAAGCGCGCAAGAAAATAAAGACATTAAACTGCAGTGAAGAACTTGGCGGGAGCCCGAATTCTCCACTACCCTATGGTCGAATGTGCTTCTTGACACCAATCGACTTATATTGTGGCTCTGAATCAAGGAAGGATAGCACATGGGGTGCTACCTGGCTTTTCGCCTGTGTTATCCCTTATTCTTACCGTTTGAGCCAACGCAGTTACCGCAGTGCCTGATTTAATTCCTCCACCAAAGCAGGCGGCGGCTGCCGAGATATGAGAGCCTCCCAGGCACTCATGATCTGAAATAGTTTCTTCTCTTGATGCTTGCTAGCAGTCATGCTGATACCAAATGGTCGCCCATTTACGTCCAAAACGCCTAGAGGCATCGTGGCCACGGGATAGCCTCGAGGGGTGTTTAGCTTTGGTCAGATACAGTCGAGCTTGAAGAAACTCACCAGCTGCAGAAGCAACGCTCGATATAGGACTGTCAGCTAATGCCGCGACGGCATCAAGCTCAAACAGGTTGAGGACTTTATCGATACCGTCAGGCCCGGCAATCTTGCGAAGGGAGGCCAGGGTGTTGGCATTTTCGGTGGCGGAGATTTTGCACTTTAACGCGTTTTCGAGGTATGACTGTGATGGATGCTCTATTCGCGTATCAGGATAAACCCAAACGGCGAACTTTGCCAGTATACACGTACCTTTGGGGAGTTCTGTGTCGGTGTGCTGGCGATTCCACTCGACAAGTTCCTTCAGGTTCCTAACTGGAGACAACACTAGAGTTTCAAGATAGTGATTGAAAGCTGGCTGAAACTCGAAGGCTACGCATTTTGTTAGATTTGGAAGACAAGACATCTCGGGGCTTGCTATGCAACCTACACATGATGTCTCCAATTTCAGGCCAAACCTTTTCACCGAGAGGAAGCGCGACCGGATACTCGACATGGATACCGGCATCAGATAGAATATCCATTACGGAGTGGTATTCTTTTCTCTGCAAGAATGTTAGGCAATGTGACATCGAAGAATCGCGTTTTTACCATTTGGTAGAGCGCCTCATTGTCAGTTTTGCAAAGAGTTTCTGGCAACTCTCAAATATTCTCATCTACAAATCCAATCCTTAGCCCGTCCCATTTTTGTGTCATGAGCTGTGAAAGTCCTCCGCCGTAACCTGGTCCCTTCGCTTGCGACATCTCCATTACCACGGCGAGGTCGACTGGGGACCTGGCCATGGCACCGACAGAGTCTAGGCTCTTTGTCACTGGAACTACTCCATCCATGGAGACAGTTCCAATGGTTGGCTTCATAGCATAGAGCGCGGCACGGGAGGCTGGGGATACGATAGATCCGTCGGTTTCGACACCGAGAGACACGATGCCGAACCCAGCAGAGACACCGACGGCAGAACCTGAAGATGATCCGGCAGGTATCACAGAAAGAAGTCAATGAACTAGCTTGCGCACGAAAGAAATTGAGAGGGGCTTACTGAGTGACCCATTGCTCCCTCGTCCAATTTGAGTGATCCCCTCACATACGCTGAGCGGGTATAGCCGTTGACGGGAGACCATCCATCAACGAGACCGTCGCCTTTGAAGTTGTTGAATTCCTGCAATATCACCATCAGTCGGACGCTCGTGTAGAGAAGGGAATATACGAACTGTCAAGCTAGCCTTGCCAATTAGAATGCCGCCCGCATCAAGAAGCTATGTTGAGCATGAGATGGGATTAGCCAGCTCCCATTTCGATACAGGAGGTGAGTAGATCTATATACCTTTTGTACTGCAGGAGCGTTTCCAGGTGGCTGAGTCGACAAGAGCCCAGCTTCCAGCCGTTGTGTCCATGCCTAGCTTGGGATCGGTCGCGATTGCATCCTAATGGGTTGGTCAGCACAAACGGAGAAGTCACTGTAGCGAATCTTGTACTTTTACGATGAATGGGATACCATGAAGCGGGCTTCGAGTCTTTCTGTCGGCACGTTCTTGGTCGAGAAGCTGCGCTCGCTCTAGGAGTTTCTGCCTGGGAGCGACAGAAATCAAGGCTCTCAAATCAAGGCCGTTTCCATTATGCCTGTCGACCTGATCTAAGACTTGCTCTACTAGCGACTCCGCAGTGAGTTCGGAACGGTCGAACAGTTGCTGAATGTCATAAGCGGTCGAGGTAAGGAGGTTGAATGATTCTCTCGCCACGGATTCTTCTTGAGACATTAAAACGCGACCGCTAGGGTAGATATATGGAAGCTGAGGGCGAATGTTTCGATCGTAAGATGGCCGCTGTTTCTGAAATCTCGCGCTGGTTCGCAGGCCACGGCTCCAGAGCAATGAGATGCACTGGCGGATCTTCATACAGTCAGTGGAAAAGAGAGGAGAGAGGGCGAGGCGGGGTACATGGCAGGGTGCCAACGATTGAAGACAATCCAAATTTGATAAGGAGCGGAATAAGGCCCGTGCAGCTTTGCGTTTGGTCGGTTGCTCTTCGAAAAAAGAACAAGTGGACTCCAAATCTGGATGTCAAAGCATCTGTATGCCGCTGAGGCATGAAGTTGCTCTCGACTGGCGCCAGTGTCAGCAAGAGGTATCGCAAATTTCAGTATGGCCAGGGACATTTCGTTTTCAATGGCGACTAAGAGCTTCATGGAAGTTTCTCTCAGCTACGTCACAGGGACATGTACTCATAAAGGTGCCTTAAGTTCCAACTGCCTGCTACCTGCCTAAGATACTACTACTAGGTAATATAGGAGGAAGGGGTTATCCAGCACCCCATCTCTGTTATCCAGTCCCCCAGCTTAAGCATGGGCTGCTGTCAGTATTATTGCTGTTGCTGCTGTCAGTAATATGTGTTCACGCCATTCTTTCCCACGTCAAAACTAGACAATAAATGACACGCCTCGGCGCCATGTCTCGCCGTCGTACCCTCGTTCTAAGTACCTGTCGATTATGTAGAAAAATGTTGGCGCGACGGGAGCATTTCTGTTCATGGGATCAAGTACATATTCTCCGTAGCCCTGCGTTCATTCGCTTTGACATACATAATTCCATGCCACTTATACCTGAATGTGTAGCAAAGAATAGCCGACTACAACAAATCCAACGGCCCGGGTACTGTAGTATTAGTAGGTTAGTTGCAGTTATCGTATATTCGATAAGTTTCTGTGACCTATTCCGCCGCCAGAAATCTTTCGATATGGTCCATCAGCGTTTGTCAACAAGCCACCAGCCATCAAGGTACATGTATCGACTGGGAGTTGGCATGGAGATCACGTGCATGAATCTCATATCTCATTTGAGCCACCATTTGACCTTTGTTGGCTCGAAGATTGTTCTGACCTGGAACTTCCATCTACCTATCCGCGCAATGGGCCAAGTTATTTCTTACATTACGGGGTTTTGGACGGTCCCACCGCTCCTGAATCTGCCAACCGAGATCCTTTTGATGATTGCTTCCCATCTCTCTTCGTCCCCCGAATTCCTGGTCGCCCTGTCGCTAACCTGTAAAATTCTCTCTTCGATTCTCGACAGGGATGCACTGAAACTCTGTGAGAAGTCGCGACGCCAGCTTCTGTTATTGCTTGAGAAAGATCTTGGCAGTGGCTTCTTCTACTGCTCAGTCTGCTGCCAACTTCATCAATCTTTCGCAGCAATGGAGCCCCATCACCACAGACATTCTCCGGATGCGCAATTTCAGCTGTATGCACTACCACTACAACAAAACTTTTCGACCAACTCCTCAATCCTATCAAGTTCCTGTATCCCACCCCTATGAGCTGTACGTAATCTATCATCGGATGTGCCTGGCCCCAGCCGCCTAATATGAGTACAGAAATTACCTATATGGGCGCCTTGTTATAAATCGTCACCTCCATGGCTCTCCGAACGGGTTACCCCTCGAAAACCTCGAACGTCCCACCCTGTTGAACAGTTGGGGCGACGGGCCTTTATGGCTTGAAACCCCATTCCCACGGATAATCGACGATGAACTATTCCTCTGTATCACGCATTCGATTTCAGGGGAAGCGGCTACATTGCGGGATGCGATTGATGAGGGGCGGCACGGCATCTGCATGCATGTAGCCACGGATCTAGTCGATTTGTGGAGCACACACCGGAAGGACATCTACAGGATGCCAGAGTTGTTTGAACCCGAGGGAAGCAAGGCGCACAGGCCGCCGCCTTTCGAAGAATGTCGAGACGTGCTAGGATTCTGCACTGTGTGCTTGACTGACTACGTCACCACAATCGAGCGTGCCAAGGTGCGCGAGATCACCCGATCCGAAACTTCCAAATACAGAGTCAGTAGTATCCGTTTTGTCAACGATCATGTGGAATTAGCTTATGGGGAGACTAGGTTTCTGTTGGGCTGCCGCTTGACGGTTGGTCTATCACGATTACTGCTTATCACCAGCTAGGACGTTGTCGCGACCCAGAGGATTGGAAATGGGTAACTCTCTTGGAATCCCCACTCGACCGGATACTCTCCAAGAGCCCAGCCAAGCGGAATTTGGCCATTTATCCTCCTGGTATAATAAGAGAGAAATGGCAAACTGTGGAATCATCAGTCAAGGAGTTAGAGCACCACAATGAAATCCGGGCGAACACACTAGCGTTTCATAGTAACACATGGCGGCAGGCGAATACTGTTGTTAGTAGTAGAAATTCCTATTCCTTTGAGGCGATTTTTTAATTTATTCTGTAACTGAGACAGAAGCTGCATCAAATGTTCTCTTACATTATTGGAGATAGTAGACACCTAAGAATCATATCTTGGCAATCTCCTTGCAATCAGGCGGGATACAAGAAATGTGAAAAAGTCTGCATGCTAAAATTCTTACCTGAATTGGTGCACAAGTTCATCGACATAAGAACAGTATTAGAGCTGGTTTCCAGTCATTTGCGTTCTGCATAGCGCCTTTGCATTAGGTTGACAATGATATAAGATCTATGTAATAGCTCGCGGGGGTGCCTTTTGCTATGGGTTGAAAATGGAATGGTTCACTCTTCGCTATAACAAACTTGACTAGAACCACACTAGCTGAGATTTTTACAATCACTTTATTGCAGAAAGAAAAGTATAAATAGTTCAAGCCAATCCAATGATTATAAAAACCAGCGTTTTGGCCGAGCATTTGCTTTGCAATTTTGGCGATCTCACCTGCTGGTTTGCGTACTACAACAAACCCTACGATCCGATTGAGCATCTAGGCAACCACAGTTCTATGGCGTTGGGTACTATATGTACCTTTGTCCTTAGGTATCTATAGCGACTTGAAAACGTATGAATTCAGCATTTTATTAATAGTATATAGAACTATTTACTGACCAGCAACTAGTCTGCCGTTATCAGCACGTCACTAAATCATTACGCGCTATACCATTTCGTCGGTCTTTCTAAGATGCAACTTCTCGCAAGGCTCATAGTTCTGAGCGCTATTTCAATTCTTGTCCGCGGAGCAGGGCACGGCGAGCACTGCAAAAATGATATCGAGTGCTTGTGCTCGCCAGCGGAATGTCTATGCGACAACAGCAACGACTGCCCGGGCAAATGCGTCGCTACTTTTGGTGCTCGCAATTGGGGAAACAAGCCGGGCGAATGGTGTCGAAATAATGGAGATTGCAGACAATATGAAAGGCATTTTGTCGATTGCGTGAAGAATGGTTGCGACGGAACGTGTGTGATGCTCTATTCTGAGGGCTTATAATTATGTGTACATGTATATGAGCCACTTGCTGTCTAAAGAAAAAAAATTGTCCATCGTCCAAGTAGCGTGTTTCAACACGAGTAACCGCGATAAAAAAAAGCTGATCATGATAAAATCTTGATATTAATTAAATCTATAAAGGCGCAAGATGGAAGTCATAAGACGTCTTTAGAAAGAGATTGATAAGGCTGTCGATAATTGCTTGGCATCAATGGATGTCACAGCAAATTGAATCACAATTTAGAACCTGTTGGGCCAATTACAGCTCCGATGACTGTATTGAGAATACAGCCGCTGCAATGATGTTTTTATACATCGTGTCGAGCGTTCTTGCTCATATGACGGATCTTTGCTCCGTACTGCCTAACGGTCAGTTTCGATAACAAATAATAACGCAAACAATTTGAACCAACCTTGTAGAAAATAACAGGGACCGGCATGAAAAGCACGGCGATACCCCCGAGGAGTGAATTACCTGGACCAATACCGAGTTGGGAGAAAAGCTGGCGCGCCTGGAACATGATTTGCGTTTAGTTACAGAAAACAAGAGAAATGTGTTCTACTACTTACAAAAAGTGGAAAAGAAGCACCAAATAAAGCGCGAAATAGTGCAGACCCTGAGAATATGGATGCAGCGTATGTGGGATATGAGATGCCTAGATAGTTGAGTAGCGAGTTAAACAGCGTGACAACGCCAACAGAGAAGAAGCCGGATCCAATAATGGGAACAATCCAGTGAATGTTCGCTCGCGATGTCCACCCAAACCAGAAGAGGCAGATTGGAAGGGCGATGCATCCTAAAAACGTTGGAGGGAGGATCATCTCTGGCGTGAATCCGGGCTCATTGACTCTTGTGGCTATGTGATCTTTGATCCATAGTAGAAAGAAAGCTAGTGAGATGAGAGCAAAAACGAAAATGCCCAAGAATACTAAACCCTGCTCGCCTTGGTTGAAGCCGTATATACCGCCGAACACGATGGGAAACGACTCAAACCAGATGAACAACACACCATATAACAGACCGGCGTACGAGTTCATAAGCAGAACTACGGGCTCGGAAAAGGTCAAAGTGAAAGCCCTGCCCAGGACGATCAGATGATCTCTTGCCGTATAATGCGCGGCGTCAATCTCAGACTGGCTCCTGAGTCGGCTGTTTCCAGTCGCCTTCCTTAACCTTTTCGCTCTCTTGTAGAGTATGTTATCTGCGCTGGTCTCAGGGAAAAAGAAGAACATCGCAGCCAGGACAAGTGTGCAAAGCCATGTAATAACCCATATTGTCCAGCGCCATCCTTTAGCAGGGGCTAGATATCCGCCAATGATGGGACCGAATACAGGGCCGCAGAAACCAGCTGTGCCCCAAATACAGAACAAGTACGAGGCGAGAGAGGGGTCATATAGATCGGTAATTGTACCGGCACCAGTTGATAGACATGGGCTGCCGCAAAAGCCCGTCACCCAGCGAAAGACGAGAAAGACTGCAATGTTTGGGGCAAAGCCAACGGGAAGCTGGAATATGATGAAGGCAAAAAGGGTCCAGAAGAAGATACCGCTGCGCCCAATCTTTGGCATTTCGGATAAAGGCGACCATAGCATAGGGCCAACACCATATCCACTGATAGCAGTTGGAAAGAAGACGTTAGTAGAGGATGATATGATTTCAGATCTGATATGGGGTCTAGTTGACTTACAGAGTGAAGAGAGAGAGCCCTAGAGTTGCCACAATTTCGCTAACGCCAAAATCTGCCATGACACCTGTTTCACCTGGCGCATAGATGGAACTTGCCATGTAAACTGCAAAGTTGAGGACGCAAAGTTGGAACATTATGAGATTCTTCCATCTTAATGGCCAGTTTCGAGGATTCTATAAGTCAAAAAGCTTGTATTAGAGTTGTATAATTGTGTAGAAGAATCTGCTAGGGATTGGGGTGGAATGGCTTACCTCGGGATCATCTGGCCCGTACCACTCTACAAGAAGGATCTCTTGTTCGCCATCATGAAATATGATATTATCTGGGGCACCATCTTCTGTGGTTTCGGTTTTGTTCGGACTTTGGTCAGAGCCATTCATATGCTCCGATGCATCTTGGCGAAGGAATCTTTTCCATAGCATTGGGTCGATCTCGTCGGGATATTGAAAAGCCTTATTGCCAGAAAGGAGACGTAGTAACTGACCAAAGGTAGTTGTATGAAACTGGAACGCCATCTTGTATAAGAAGTAGACAAGGTTGCTCTATAAGAAAAAGGGCTGATGAAGAAATTGGTTGATAATTGTTGATGAACGATGAGATTCATGCTGATGGCAGAGCGTGTTAAATTGGTAAAGCAATATTCCATCATTTTCAAAGGGATTTATCTAGTAATTATAGCACATGAAGTTGTAGATACATCGTTGAAAGAACAAATGGTGGACGATCACCTAGTCCGGATTCTGAATGGGGTTAAGTGTAAAGGCCGCTGGTTGAGTTTCCAGCTTGGCAGAGCGGATATTATGCATAGCCGGGGCGTATTTCTTGTTGACAACTGTCTAAACCGCTACCGATCTGCCTTGGATGGAGATAGACGTATTATACTTTGTTTAGAAGTAGTAAGCTCTTTAAGGATAATATTAAAGAACGAGAGGAGTATTCAGCGGTAGTAATAGCATAACCGGATAAAATTTGTTGTTTTTTGTGACAATTCATCCCACCGAAAGCCTTAGTTGAGACGTCTTCGAAGTTACCTGCTTGGACCAATGCAAATATTTTTAACGTAGTCTTATTCTTTTACCGTCTTGTAGAAAAATGAGTATATGAGATCTTTCTGACAATTCTACGCGCTTATGGTTACCTGCTTGTTAAAGTTTTCGATCTGGTAAGTCATGTTTCTCGCACATACACTATGGCGTTTCTAGAGGTTGATAGATAGGCTGAAAGGGGTCCCGGTGTATATGCGAGCTCTACAACAATGGGAGTAGGCCTATTTGGTCGGTGAGATGTTCAGCAGGTATGAAAGGAAAGGATCTTAATGGTAAAGTAGGTGTCGTAGGATAATGGGCCAAAGTGCGACCAACTCTCTCCTACATATGTAGGCAGCTAGATAAATTATGCAAAGTGCAAAGAGCAAAGTGAAAGGGGGAGGGGGGGCAAATCGGGTATGGCCTATATTCTCCGGCAGATATGACATGGAGTTGAACTAGTTTTCACGAGACGAACATCGCTTTTAGGTAGAACATCAAGCAATTGACACGCCGTCACATAATTCTAGCTGGTGGTAGCTTATAGTTTTTCTACCGGCGGAGAATTTATTAATGAAGCTACTGCGTGCTTATAAGAACATGAAAGCTAGTGCGTGTTCATCTTCACTTTGGAGGACCCACTGTATAAAGATCGCAACCTCTCTAGGGGTGCGGATGGGATACAATCCTGAGCCACGAACCCTCCCCCGCACAATGACATTGACTTCATCAGATGGTAGTTTGTGTATGGTGTAATGCAATTTATTATTTAGTGGCTTGTAAGATGCTGTTAATAGATAACTTTACTTGCAGGCTTACATGGCAAGAGAAGGATTGGAGTTAACGGAAGTAGCGGACATTAGTTACATAGCTCCGGGCCCGGGTCCTAAAGCCAAGTATCTCACTTTCATATTGTCGCCCAACCGGCAGTAACTGCAGAATAGAATTGATTCATCTGAGCTAAATCTCATATAAGCGCTATTGTCATTTGTCTTGCCCTTTAAGAAGTTGCATTCAGTATCTGGCCTATCAAATCCCGTAAACCAAACAAGCAACGAGATTTAGCTGACTTGTAGTTTTACGAAATACAGCTTGCCTATCGGGTTGCTAAGCAAATCCCTACACTTGTATGCTTGGCGAGACAGAGTAGGCCGTGGTATCTCTTACAAGCGGGAGCCAATCATTCAGAGCGCGGCCCATCTATAGGTCTGAGCTTACGCCTCGAGCCGCCATATATACGCCATAAATACGCTAAAACCCCCTGTCATCTATTTCATCATACCTGTAGAGGTACTTGATGAAAAAGGAGTTGAGATAATCGCGCGTGCCGTTAAGAATACTCAACTTCGTGACTCACTCCACACGAATCAACGTCAACACCAACGCCAGCACCATATATCACAATGGCTGCTGCAGTGAGCGCCTCTCTCGCTGAACCGGCCCAGGGGCCCCAGGGTATCAACCTTTACTCTCGTTTTGCTCTTGCCGGCGCCCTGGGATGCTCCATTACTCATGGCGCTTTTACTCCCGTCGATGTGTACGCTGCTGCGGCCTTGTCGAGCTTTATCCGCTAACGGAGTGACTGACCTACTGGCTATACAGCGTTAAAACTAGGATTCAACTTGAGCCTACTGTTTACAACCGTGGCATGATTGGTGGTTTCCAGCAGGTTATCCGGAATGAGGGTGCTGGTGCCCTCTTGACTGGCTTCGGCCCGACATTTGCAGGATACTTCATCCAGGGAGCCTTCAAGTTCGGTGGCTACGAGTTTTTCAAGCAGCAGTCGATTGACTTTCTCGGCATCGAAACCGCCCGCAAGAACAGGGCTGCTGTCTACTCAGTCTCTGCTGCTTCGGCTGAGTTCTTTGCGTCCATCGCTCTCAGTCCCCTAGAGGCAACCCGCATCCGTCTTGTTTCGACCCCTGGCTTTGCTACAGGCTTGGTCAGTGGATTCAGTAAGATCCTAACACAGGAGGGCATCGGAGCTTTCTACTCTGGATTTGTCCCCATCTTGTTCAAACAGTATGCCATCCAAGCCCCGTCATTATCTAAAACTGACACGGTTACGCAGGGTCCCTTATACCGTCACGAAGTTTGTTGCATTTGAGAAGGTCTCTGAAGCCATCTTCTCTCAATTGGACAAGTCTACTTTGTCGAGTGGTGGTCAGACGGCTGTCAACTTGGGATCTGGTCTTATTGCTGGCTTCGCTGCTGCGATTGTTTCTCAGCCGGCTGATACCATGCTGTCCAAGGTCAATAAGACAAAGGGTCTGCCGGGTGAGGGCATCGTCTCCCGTCTCGCCAAAATTGCAGGAGAGCTGGGTGTCCGCGGTTCTTTCGCTGGCCTTCCCACTCGCCTGTTTATGGTTGGCGGTCTCACGGCTGGCCAGTTTGCCATCTATGGAGATATCAAGAAGGCTCTTGGTAAGTTTTTTCACGCTTCCCCTTTCTTCTGCTTCTCAAAGAAGGAAAAAAACGGGAAAAACGAAACAAATAGGCGTGAGAAAGACAGCGCTGATGATCTATTTACTTCTAGGCGCCACTAAAAGTGTTGAAATTGCTAAATAAGAGAGTGATAAGTCGGTTGGACGTTGGTGTGTGATCATAAGGATACCCTTGGACACATCAGACTACTCTTAGGTGGCCAATTGTAAGATAATTACGTAAACGGAGAAGCTTGGCCTAGAATTGAAACTCGGCATAAAAAGTTGGACTCATACAAGATACCTAGATATAGACATTATTTAGAACTAAATCCACTCTATAACAATATTCGAGAATGCAGTACCAAATCGTGCTGGACATTTCAATATTTGTAAACCGTTTCTTTGTCACAATGAAAGGAACAATATTATAGCATTCATGTTCATCTGAACGAGACATGACTTTTGCGGATATGTTTAGATACTGGTCGAAGCGCATTGCTAGAAGTGTTCAGTGATTGTCCCAGTTCTTCAAAATCCCAGATCCTCCAAATAGTCAAGCCCACTTTCGAAGTTGCCAGATCTATAAGGCTTCCATTGAGCTCTATCAGACTCTCATTGTTCATTTGCAAGTCTGTCAGTCTTGTCTTTCTCTTCATCCGGGTCTTCTCCCGGGTCACCTGGCAGGCGAACACCCTGAGCAAATCGGAACAGCTTATTCTTATCCCACATTGCTTTAACCAACCGCAGCTCTTCCCAATTGTCGCCGAAATAAGCCCTCTCGAAAGACTTTGTTGAAAAGTCGCGGTCGGGAAAATTGACAAAAGCAGCCTCTCCTTTAAGAGAGAGCGGCCGCAGAGCTGTCTTAACCTTTGCAAGGAAAAATCTCATGTCTTTTTCCATCCATTTGTCCATCCATTCAACCGTGACATATGTGTGGAACACAGCTTCGCGCCAGAAAAAGGCAGAATCGGTTGGCTTCCTTTCTGTTGCCTTGCCACCGGAATGAATCCAGGTGACGAGAAAATTCACTTCCTCTCCAGCAAACTGTTGTCGGAATTCCTTCATCAGCTCGCTAATGGCGCTAGTAACTTTTCCAATATTCTCTTTATCGTCATTCTTGAACACAAAGGAGCTGTAAAGTTCGTAAGATTGATTGGTCGGATAAGATCGTTCAGTCTCCTCCAGCCACTGGTTCACGAGAGTCTCGTAAAGGAAGCGCGTCGATTTCTCGGGTAGTGCTCTTCGCTTGAGTTGAGTTTTGAGCTTTCATGCTTGATGTGCTTGTTAATAACCCTCTCGTATTTGAGTCTGCTGCCATCAAACGAAATGTTGAACCGAATAGCATCTTTTGTTTTATTTTGGCGGAGATCACACGCCCAGGTACTGTCGATAGTGATACTATTTGGCCAGTTGGTTGTGTAGAATTCGTCCATTGTGTCAATTACTTCCTCGGAGGGTCCATCTTCAAGCAACCATTGGTATCTACCTGCGACTACGGTCCCTTCAAGGTTTTGTAGTTCTGGACTTTCAGCTTCATCTGGACCACAACACCAAAGTTGCCACCGCCTGCGCCCTGGAGAGCCCAAAAGAGCTTTCCCTTTTTGGAATTCCTATCATCAGTCTCTTTGACTGTCACCAACTCCCCATCTGCTGTAACTACAGTCGCTTCGGCTAGAGTATCGCAGCCCATCCCGAAGCTACGAGTAAAAGGTCCAAGACCTCCCCCAAGAATAAATCCGCTCACTCCTACAGTAGGACAGCGTCCTCCGTTAATGATGTATCCATTGTGTCTTCCACTTATGAGCGTCTCATAGACCCGACCCCATTGGCAGCCGGCGTCCATAGTGACAACATTCGAGTTCATGTCAAGATTAACGCTTCTCATTCTTCTTAGGTCAAGCGAGACGCCTTTCATGGCGGTAGAGTGACCCGCATAAGAGTGACCATTGCACTTGATAGTGAGATCGATATTCTTTGACGCTGCTTCTCTAACGATAGCTTGAACATGCTTTGCTGTCTCCGGCTGAACCACGCAATCGGGTCTGGAGAAACGAAACAGACGGTTCGAAGTCGCGATTGCACGGTCGTACTCGGCCTGTCCAGGCTGAAGCACTGGCACATCCATTGATTTGAAGAGCTGTGCCGCTTTTGAGCTTAGCAAGCGCAGAGAGGCCCGCATACTGAAATTAATACATGTGTAACCATATACTTGAAGCAATTCTGAACAATGTGAATGCCAATCTCAGCTAATGTACTGAAGACTTATTTATATCTTTCATTATTTGTACTGGAGTCGAGGTTAATAGCCCGCATACATTGCTTGTCATATTCTTCCTTGCACGCGCGGTTTAAACGGATACAGGAAGTGGACTTTGACAAACCATTGAGAGCAAGCATGTGCGCATCAACCACCCACCATTTTGCTTTCAGCTGGCTTCAAGGGTTCACGAGCAAGATTATGCACCTCTATTTGGCTAGTGACATTCGTTATTCAAACGTTTCAGCGTTTAATTGGATGTATCAAAGCAGGCTACGGCAACTGAAGCCGCAGTGGTGCCCGACATAGCCCTTTGCTTCTCAAAGGTTCCCCAAATGCATGATTTGGACCAATGCAAAGGAAGTGGGATCTTGAACGTCGCTGATAGGATAGGCATGCATATTAGCTTCCTATAAGTGCCATTTTCCACTGGCTTCTATAGATACAGAGGAAAGAATGTGCGCTTTTATTTGGCTAAAGATCTACCCCGCGGGCTATGAGTTTGGCACTCTTCCATTCGATTGGATATATGCAAGACACTGCAGGCAGCTTGAGCCGCAATACTGCCCAACACAGTATGTTGTACAATACACTGTACTCAAAACTTGAATCGGCAGTGAGCTCGGAACATTTAAATCGGCAGCTTATAAGTATCAAATTTCTCAACACAAAGAGAAAAGTCATTAAATCAACAATCACTCAATTGTTGGGATCTTATAGCGACTTTTTTTTTTATTAATCTTTGAGCTATCATCATGTCAATCCACGAAGATGCTAAACAGGAAATCCTCGTTGGAAATGTTCTTGACAATCACATCAAGAATGACCCAAATATCCTTGAGAAGCAGAATTCTGACTCGGGATTTACACCACTGGTGATAGCGATTATTGAAGGATTCCCAGACGAAGCTTATGAACTTCTTGAGAAAGGGGCAAAGGCCGATGGCCTCTCCAGAGATAAAGAGACCCCCTTCTCCTCGCTGCATGGAAGGCTAAAAAAGAACGGCCTCGGCTCATCCAGTTACTTCTTGAAAAAATTCCTCAGGATTCTGTTGATACAACCTGCGATATTGCGGGTTTGAAGACGCCGTTGATGTTTGCAATTGAGAACAAGGATCTTGAATCAATTAGGCTGTTACGAAAAGCAAAAGCTTCCGTGGATATAAAAAATAAAGAGGGATTCACAGCAGGGCAGATGGCCAGGTATGCAAATAATCCTGCCATCTCTCTTGCACTTGACGTGAACGAAGAAAAGGCAGCCATTGGATTACTTGCTTCCAAGGTCGTTGATTTATTACTCTACATTGTTGACTGGGTGAAGAAGACTGTGAAGGGGGCTCTCTTCATGGTACCAAAAACAAATGCAGAGTCAAATGAAGATATAGACAGAGTGAGTGAAGTGCATGGGTCAGTCCGTGATGAATAAGTGTATTAAATTTGGAAACACAGATCATAAACGAAGGCGAAGAGCCGACGCAAGAAGAATTTGTGGAAAACATTGCCCAATATCTTGAGAACCGCCAATTACTAGAACGTTTCTTCAAGGGGAAAAAAGACTTTATCCAGAACTTTGCTCGGAAAATTGCAAGTGTGAAGGAAGGCTCTGCTAACGATCTCGGGGGCAAGGACTTACTGCAAAAAAGGATTCAGGTATCTTTATATCAGCAAGTCATCTACTGTGGTAAGCTATCCTAAACGCAAAAAACACTCTTCACGTTTTCTGTTTTGTCTAACTGCCATATACATAGATGACAGCACTTCGATGAAGCGCGAAGGGCGCTGGGAAAGCCAGAAAGAACTCATCCAGCGTATCACCCAGGTAACCACTTTGGTTCTCCCAGAGGGCGAGGGTGTTGCATTGCGATTTATCAATAGAGATGTTGACAATGCTACCAACCTTACTCTTGAGGGTATTAGGGATATCCTGAAGCCCATGACCTGGCAGCCTGGCGGCGACACCCCCATTGGAACGAATTTACAGTCCAAGATTCTCCAGCCCCTAGTCTATGAGAAGATTACCAATGGGGCACTTGAACGACCGCTACTAATTATTATCATTACTGATGGCATGCCAGAGCCTGAAGATAGCTCTGTGCTTGTTGATGCCATTCTAGAATGCGAACGGCGGCTACAAGAAAATGATTACCCCCCTCGAAGTATGTTACATATAAGCCTTGCCGTCTTCCGTCTTACTTACCTCATACTAATAATCTACATTAAAGCTGTGAAATTTATGATTGGTCAGATAGGGACAGCAAAGTCCGCCACACAATTTCTAGAATCCCTCAGAAATAATGAAGATATTGCCCGAACAACCTTCGTCACTTCAGGTATGCTTTCGAGAATTATAATACTTGAGGCTATAATCCATGCTAAGCTTTCATAGAGAGGCTAGACGAGAAGTTTTCAGAGTATAAGGCCAATGAGAAGAATGTTGATCAATGGGTAAGACTTCTACACTGTCTCTTTGACTATTTTCTCGCTGCACTAAATGTTACTAATTTTGGTATCTCCAGTTGATTGAAACATTGTTTACCCCTTTCCAGAATTACTAATTTGAAAACATATTAGGACGCCGAATCACTATTTTTTTTGATGAGAGGAATCGCGCACTTATGAGGATGACCCTATGGAGAACGTATTACTATGTTCTAAGAGGCTCTCTTAATGTCATGAAATGCGTTGTAGACGTCAATTCCTTTCTCAAGTATAATAATATCATAGGATCTCATAAGTTTATTACATTCTGCAGCTTCAACCATTTTATTCTTCTATATAGGCCCTAATTATTCATAGTAAGCGGCGGTGCATTTATCTCTATTACGTCGTATGCCTTTGGCAATGCTTTTGTTCAAAATTTCTCCAAACCTTACTGACGATCAACATATCTACGATGATGATGATGTATGCGGCCCAGTCATTCATTACCTATAAATTATCTTGGGCTAAAGCCGCATGTAGATACGTGATGCGCCTTTGAGTTTGGTCAGGAATAAGTCTAGCGGTCGCCTCAAAAGAAGAGCTGTGAAATCTTGAATTAGTAAGAATTACGACCATTGCCAGGTAAAAGAGCTAGCAAGACTCGATATTACCCATTCATCAAGGCTGCGTGTTGGCTGCACCTGCAGGGTGAGTCACCCAATGGCGATCCTCCTGAAGCTTTTCACCAATGGCAATGGTCCCCTCAGCTTAGCCACCAAGTCTGCCTAACAATGCCACATTACTGCCCTACCTGTTCAAGATAAGTTGTCGGTCAAGAGATTTGGGCCGTAACTTCCATCCTCGGCCCTCAAGTTTGTTGAGAATTCTTTTCATCTTACATGAGACATCAAGCTATATTGCTTCATTACGGCCACTTCATTTGCTTATTATCACCTAGGCCCCACTGACATTCAACTTAAGCTCTTCATTTGGACGCGCACAGCCGGTTGGCAAGGCACCATGTCAACAGAACCTGATTTTACTCCCATCCAGCTGGCATTCACGGAAGCCGTTCGCCAGTTCAAATCCAAGCTCAAGAACGCTCAATTATACGCCGATATCCTGAAAACAACATCCATCGACGAGGTCTATGATAAAACAGATGCACTTCAAATTGAGCTAGGGAAACAGGGACGAATTCGAAACCTCTCGAAGATTAGACCTTTTCTTGAAGGGCTCCGAAGTTATGCAGACATTATCGATACCTTCGTCCAAGTCAAACCCGACGTCCTTGCGCTTATTTGGGGCCCCATCAAGTTGCTTATTCAGTGCGCGTCTTCACTAACGCAATCCTTGGATGCCATTATCAATACAGCAGCCGAAATTGGTGGCTTGTTGCCCGATTTTAAGGTCATGGCTACAATGTTCGGCCACAATGAACAGATTAAACACGTGCTTGTTCTCTTTTTTCAAGATATTCTCGATTTTTACGCTGTGACTTTGAAGTTTTTTACATTGCCTCGTATGTCACAAACCTAGTGTAAAGAGACAAAATTGAGCTGACGGCTGAATGATAGACTGGCGATTCATGTTCGAGGCCTTATGGCCATCGCAGAAAGAGAGAATAAAACTTACAATCAATCATATTGAGCGAGACACAGATTTGATGAGGACTAAAGTTAACTTGGAGCATATCCGAGAAGAGCATGAGCACAGACAGCGTGCTTATGAACATTTTGAAGCGACAAAAAAAAATAGCACGCGCCAAGAGTATAATATCATCAAGACTGATATATGTCCAAAATCATATGGCGCTGATCTTTATCGGATACGAGGTCAAGTTTGTGCGGGAACAGGAAACTGGCTGAAGCAAGACAGTTGTTTTAAGAAATGGCTGGATGTGGACGGCGACTCAACAAGGATACTATGGCTATGTGGTATCCCGGGAGCAGGTTTGCGAGCCAAATTTTTTCACTGTCATTCCACCGACGATACTAAAAGCTGGATAGGGAAAACTCACTTAGCTAGTATGGCCATCGACTACGCTACATCGACCAGGACTATTTTCGCTTTCATCAGCCATACTAATAAGAACAATACCTCCGCCCTGTCAATTATGCATTCTTTAATGTTTCAATTGGCTTCAGACGATGAATCTCTTCAAGCAGTTCTTTGCGGCTTGAGTAGAAAACGGTTAAACGATAACCTTGAAGTTGCTGTTGGGGTTATAAAGACGCTACTTAACTCTGCTGATTCGGTCAGCATCATCGTGGACGGAGTTGATGAAATTGACAGCCACGAACGAGAGATGCTCCTCAAGAGCCTTTGCGACATAACTAAGGTCTGCAAGAAGACTCAGCTGTTGATAAGCAGTCGAGCTGAGCACGATATCTTGACAATTCTAAGCGAGATATCGTCAACGATTCGGGTGGATACACACAATACGGCAAGTATCCAAATATTCATCGATAACTGGACGAGAAACTGGTTCTCAGCTCGCGACTTTTTACCCGCAGACAAGTCCGAAATTGAAGACCTATTTCAACCGCTTGCTATAAAAGCGAAAGGTATTTTCCATGCTTTCAATGCTAGCGGCCAACGCTCACTGTCTAACAGGGATGTTTCTTTACGCCAAAATCATGTTAAGCAGTATAGAAGAGCTAGATAATCTGGATGAGATCCGTAACGAGCTCAGAGTACTTCCAGAGAGCCTGGATGAAGCGTATGGATTCCTGAAGATTGTTCATGTGCGGAAAGCTGATGGATTTACAGATATGAGAGAGTGTTCGCAAAAATTGAGAACAAGTCTAATGATGCTATTAAAAAGAAGTGCAGACTTATTCTCGGTTGGATTAGCTGCTCACCTACGCCTCTAACATTACCAGAGCTGGAGCAAGCTCTGGTAGTGACCATCAGTGGGACGTGCAGAGTTTCTTCGCGGTTGAACTTTATTCGCCTTTGTGGCCCCATAATTGAGCTTGTGGACGACCACATGCAGTTTGTACATTTCACCGTCAAAGAGTGAGTTTTCTATTAGTCGCTCTGGGACTTTCTATTGACCGCTATTGCATTAGATACATTCACAGTCGCCATAAAATTGACTACTACATTGATCCAATTGAAGCGACCCTAAGCCTTACCATTTGTTGCTTACAGTACTTGTGCCAAGATCACCATTCTCCCGACATCAGCGATGAAGATGTCAAAAAGGGCATAGAAATGGGCAATTACAAACTGCATTATTACGTCACAAACATCTGGCTAATTCTGATAATCCAATATCTGCGCTTGAATCCATCTAAAAACATTTCGGAAGAGTTGGTTGAGGCCCTAACCAAATTCCATAACGAGCGAGGCAAGCAAGAATACCACGAGCATATAGGATTAAAGGAACAGTGGTATCCACCAGAACTACAACGATTCCAGTCTTACGATCCAGATCTTTTCAGCTTCCTTCGGAGTTTCGCACAATTCCAGCAAAAGTGTTCAACATCCCTTTACAATCTCCAAGAAGGTAAAATATCACCTTTTCTCATGGTTTGACTATATAATAACAACTTATTCAGACCACTATTGGATTGATCTTAGCCCCATTACTACATCAAGTATTTCAAAGATGTTGTATACCCAGTTCGATCAATATCAGTGTGACTCGCAAAAGCATCCTGATCAATGCCTTTGCTCAACTCTAAATTGGCATTACGGCCAACGATTGTACAAATGCGGCTTCTTATCTTGCTTGTTTAATCGACAAGGCTTCAGCACCTCATTTCTCCGAGACTCGCACAGCAAATGCCACGACATTTCCTGGAAATGCGATGTTCCCTCATGCCATTACTCGAAGGTCGGGTTTCTCTCCAAGGCTATGAGAGACAAGCACTTAGACTTTCATTGCGTAGAATCTCAAGTCAATCAGTCGAGTAATGAGACACTGCCGCTTATTCTGGATTCCAATAATCTTCAGCCTTTATTGTTTGACCTTGTTTCAATCAACGATGTAAAATCAGTTGAAAACCTACCACCTTTTTTCGAACAGCTTTCGTATAATCACCAGTACGAGCTGTTAAGATTTGTCGGACATTCTGCATCTAAAGCAATGGCGAAGTTGATATATGAAAGAGTTGAGAAACATATCCGACCCTTCTCATTGTATGATTTCATGGTCGCTTTCATAGACGGTAAAAACTTCGAGTCATTGACGTTTTTACTATCGGACAAGGGTAGCAAGATTTCACAAAAGCTCAACGTTAAAGATGCCATTAATGTACCTACCCAGGATAACATTGATGAGATTCTGTTCCATTCTGTGGCAACAGGATCGATGGAACTAATTCGCGTGGTTGATCGTTTTGTGGTTGAATACTATGAGAGGAACGGAAGGTCTCCTTTACCACCATATATGAATCTGCACATTATCAAAGCAACTGCAGGATGTTCGGATCGAGAGGAGTATCTCATCAATGCATGGTCAACCCATGGTATTGTAAACCTCCCGTCCGCGAAACTTTCCAATATGCTGATGTATATTGGGACGACAACATGTTCTATACGGCTCGCGCAGATATTACTCCAACACGGCGCCACCGTAGATTGGCGATACCCCCATAGTCCAAATTACACGCCACTCAAAATCGCCGCCCGCAAAGACTCTGCTGAAGCAGCAGATTTCATGAAATATCTGCTTTATCAGGGAGCCAATCCAAACGCTTTCAAAATACTTGGCCGTATGAAGGGTCCTAAGAACATATCAAAGTGGCTTGGTGTTTCATGGGATGAATTGGTCCAAAAAGTCAACGAAGATAGGAAAAGAGGGATTCAGTGGCCTTGATGGATTACTCTAGAGCCTCGATACATAATGTCAGACGAATTACCAAGTGAAAGAGAACGCCTAAGATAAATTCAAGCATTACGTAAATCATTAAACTCCTCTGCGTTCAGTTGCATATTAAAGATCTAATTTATTTGAAGAAACTTCTTTTATCCGATTTGGCCTAATTATCGAGCCTCTCAACTCTTACATTGAGACAGGTGCGCAATATCTACGTTCATTAGCCAATGTTAGTGAAACAATTCGCTTTTCAATTTCTAACCTTCCATCGTTCGTCCTCAACACCTGCTTGAGAAAGTTCCTTGGAGCCCAGTGACTGCTGAATAAGTTTAAGCTTTTCGCGTTGTATCCATTGCACATACTGGTTGCATTAGTATTGGCCTTCATAATCGGAGCGCTGAATGTCGCTTACCGTTTCTATCGTATCTTTTGTCATATACCTAGTTATAAGCACTTCCCGCGACTGTCCTATCCTATGAACACGATCAAGTGTCTGAGCTTCTATCATTGGATTCCAGTGCGGCTCTAGCAAGTGTACGTTGTTGGCAACTGTGAAGTCCACTCTGTTGGTCTAGTTGTTAGTACCTATATCGATACCTGCAGTGCTGCTAGAGCATGTCAGTGTAAGAACAACATTGCAACTTACCCTTCACCGGCGCTCCCAGTAGTGGCAAGCATTACAGTGCACCTAGGATCCGAGTTAAACTGTTTCATCGCTTTCGTCCGGTTTTCTAGGCTTAATTGACCATCAATTCGTGCACAAACAAAACCGCTAGCCTCGAGGCACTGCTGAGTCAAATCTATCATTTTCTTCCAAGAGCTGAAAACGACACTAATTTTAGAAGTTTTAGCAAGATCATAGTTGGATAATAAACACTGTCTTCTTTACCTTTTAATGGGTTGACTTGGGCTATACTGGTCGGAACAAGATTGCTCTTGGTGAAGGTTGTCAATCAAAGCTTTCACCTTTGATGACTGTTGATATGTAGGGACTCCAGTTGTAGTGTATACTTCTCCTGTGATACCGTCTGTGGTGGGTATAGAATGACAGAAGTTTATTGAATGACTGCTAGGTTCATTCTCCTCAGTAGTAGCAAGACATGATCGACATATGACTTGTGGAAATGAACCATCGAGGCTGCTCACAGATTGATCCTGGAAGCCATCAATCTTCAGACCGCAAACTTCACATAATTCCTGGGACTCCTGGATCTTTTGCCAATCAATAGCTTTGTCTCCTGCTGCCAGCCAAGTGTCAATAGCTGATTGAGGGAGAAGTTTCTCTCCATGATCGCATATCAAGCGAAGGAAATTGATCAGTTTTAATATGTTGTTTTTCAAACCATCTGGAGTAGAAGTTGCAACATTGTGTCGATAAAAACCGGATGCAATCTTGGCTGCCTCTCTTTCAAAAAAGGTATACAAGTCGCGATCTCCCTGTGATAGTTCTACCCATACTGTCTGTTCTCGTCGATCAGGTAACTGATATGACAGGTCAGTTAGCTTCTTAGTACGCCGTAGACAGGTGTTTTTGATCAAGAGACTGAGCCTTTGCAGGCCATATGAGACTTTTTGTTGAACTGGCGTTGTTATCCAAAAGTCGAACATCTTTTTATCCATAAACAGTGGCACACGAACAAAGCTCAGAAGTGCTGCGAAGTCGTCGAGAGAATTATGGATTGGTGTTCCGGTTAAACACCACCGGTACAAAGCCTGGATTTCGCATGCAGCTTTGAATATTTGGGAGTCCCTCGTCCTGATATGGTGTGCTAGCATTGAAGTGTCAACAAAACTTTCGTTTATAGCTCGATGATTCCTTTATATTTATACATGCCTTCGTCAAGAACGACACGATACCAAGAATTGGCGAATAAAGGACCTTTCTCTACCCAATCTCGTCTCATCGTTTCGTAAGTGGTGAAAATTATGTCCGAGCTTTGAAGCTCACTGTGCAACCTTTTTCGTCCCGAGCTTAGATATACCACAGTTTTTAACTTTCCTTGATGGATGTGACTAGTTTCTATTAATAGCTGTAAATTTAACATGAAAAATCGACGAACCTTTCGCATTGCTGTTGCCAGCTATGTATAGCTAGTGGGATTTTAGCATGCGGGTAGAGAATAGCCAAGACACAACATTGCTCACTTGACTTTGGTGTGATAACGAGCGTTGTCCAGCATTGTCTGGGCAAAATCTCTTCGTTTACGGACATTTGGGTCTCTGTCACGTCTAAATAGGAGCATATCAATGCTAAGATGCTAAGAGTCTTTCCCAGCCCCATCTCCTAAAGTTTATATCAGCGGCTATCGTCATTCTATATGGCACTAATCGCTCACTTACATCTGCTAAAATACCACCAGGCACGGGTTCTGGGTGAACTACTAGGGTTCCCGTGATTTTATGCCGAAACCTTGATAAGCAAAGTCAGTAGTTGATCATCGAGACTGTGACATGATAATATGCTACTTGTCTGGGCTTGAATACGATGATGGTCCCCATAGCGAGGGAAGTTCATCTCTTATAGTCCCAGCTTCAACACCAATCATCCATGTGAGCGCGGAAATCTGATGTCTGTTGAAGTTAGTATTCACGTATCTTTTATGGTTGTCATCTAATGTCTTACTCTTTCATTGTCGATTTGAGGCGGCTACTAGGCTCTATAGTTGTTTTCATATCGATATTGCCAGCTTCGTCAAAGAGCTTCATGAATCGCCCTCTAGTTAATTCATTGAGCAAATTTTGCTCCGTTTCTCTGTTGCTTTTGCTATCCATGACTTCTTCTAGTGCTGGCATTTGAAACCCTGGACGAAGAAGATAGTGAGGGTTGCAATACTGCATTCTACTATCGTACTCCAAGGGTGACGGATGTTGGAAATAAAAGCTAGCATCTCCAAGAGCATTACCAATAGCGATGCTATCGGTGTAAAGTCCGTATAAGACGATCCGAATGTCGTAATTGGTGGGTGAGTAGACAATGGTAGCCAATTTCTTTGAGCTCTTTGAAGTTTTCTTCTTCAAAGCTTCTGGTACTATCAGTTTTGCATCGGCCTTGAGAGCAAATTCTCGAAGTATCCTTGCAAGTATTGCATTATTGATGATTCCGACGTATTTTTGATCGTATTGAGATGTAATAATAATCTTTGTATCGCCAGCTTTGAGCGTTACTGGAACCTGTGTTGCGCCTTTATCGTATTGGAGAGAAGATGTTGCTGTTGCAATGATCTATGAAGGTTTGAAGTTAGGGAAAAAGCATGGGAAAAGCGCGAAGGATATGCCCTACAGCGCCAAAGCAGGTATCAGGCTGAGGCCCATCGTTTGGTACCACTATAGTGGCCGGAGTAGTCGACGTGCCGCCGCAAGAATCTGGAGTGACTGCGGTTTATACGAATTGGACGTTAACAGATTGCACGTCAAGCTGGGATCTCAGTTACTTGCTTGGCATTGACTCTTGTCGTAAAGAATAAGGTGTTTCATATCCACTTGTGTCCATTTGATCTTCAGGTTGGCTCGTGTTGGCGTCTTCGGTTGTTACAGCCGGAAGGTTTATGCTGAAGGTTGAATCGATAGAGCAACTTAGGTGCTCTACGGATAGCGATGATGCCCCGTCCCGCGCATATTGGGGCTGTAGACGAGCTTTCTTGGATGCTGCATGACCATCAACATCGTCGTCTAGATCAATATGGCGCTTCGCTGCATCAGGGTTGCGCGAGTTCGGCATGCGCTGCGTCGTATCGTTCAGTTCCATGACAGCCTATGGTCATTACGAAATGGTTGTTGGGACGGCCAACATGACGATACAACTAAAAAGAGTTGTAAGTGAAAGAAAGGTTTTCCCTCTTTTTCACCGCCTCATAGATGGTAGCACAGCCTGCATTGGATTGTCAAGGCTGCCTAACCACGACCACTAACACAGCCTCCATAAGGCAGAACAACTCAGGCACCGCTGAGATTTCATTGGTTCCATTTCTGCATCCTTGATCAGATGGAAGCGAGGGGCAAGCCAGGTCCTTGGGATCGTTGATTGGCGTCGCTGTTAAAACCTGGTTTAGGACTTGGACCTTTGGCGAGGCAGAAATATGCTACATGGCAGTATCATTAACAAAATTAATTGATAGCGAAAGAAAACAAGAGAGAAGGCTTTTTTTCAACGATTAGTAAAGCCTGTGTACACGTAGCCTGACGACTTGGAGCCGCATGTTATTCTGCCTTGGCATGCATTGCCACCGTCGCCCTGCATAGCTAGCCTTACCAGCAGTCGCTGTTGCTACCTAATCCCATATACACGGTCTAACATGATCTCAAAAGCAACTCAAGTATAGGGATCTACTACATTCCTGTTAGACAATATTTTAACCAGTCACCTAGGCGATTAGGAGAATCTTAGTATATAAATTTTCATACACGCTTGAGTGTTTAATGAAAGAGATATGCAAGTATAATACTTGCGTAGACATAACATAGTAAGCGCGTGAAGGCTAAGCGGGGGGCCGGTCTACTAATTGCAACCCTTCAGCCTTTTCAAGGAAATTAATGTTTTGATATGTAAAGATCTAGGAAGAGACTGTAGCCTTCCTTGAAACAGAGATATTGTATTTATATGGCAGGGGATTAGGTATAATTACGTTACTTACAGCTTCTAACCGCCAATGCGGAGTAAGTGGTGTCATTTAGCCAGAGAATTAAGACCAGATTAGAGGACTTTGAGAGGCGCATTATACATTCCTGCGGAGCTAAATATTCTACTCTTTTTGCATTTCCAAGTCTGCCCGAAGTATTTTGAATCGTTTTTCCTTCCGTATTCCAGCATGGTCAGAAGCGACAGGAGTAAACACAATGCTCAGACTCGAATAATCCGCATTCCATGATGCGCTTGTCCACTGATATCGACCGCTCGCTGGAATCTGACCTGTTGTGTCTCGACTTTCCTCCTCCAAAGCCATAAGCCGGCGCCTCGCCAGTAAACTAGCCTTAGTATCCCAATTAAACGAGGACGATGTCATCTTCTCGAAGCTGTCTAGCCCTTCCGAGCGGATGGCTTTATCCCTGCATTTTTGTGATACGAAGTTCAAGACTGGAAGAGTATAAATGTCCAGCGCAGTTTCGAGATGCGAAAATTGCTTCAATGTTCCTCCGAGAGAGCAGGCCGTGGAGGCAATCTCCCGAAACTTAGAGTTGAACTGATCGTATAGCATTTCTGTTGCATCGAAACAACAGCTCATAAGGATAAACACGGCCTTTTGGCCCATATAAAATGTGTCTAAGAATTGGCATACCATGGGATTTCTCTCCGTTTCCAGCTTTAGCAAAATAACTGATTCCCAGTCCTGAAGTCGGTCAAGGAAGATGGCCCGATGGGCGAAGTGGAGCTCGAAATCATCTACATGGTAACCATATTGATATCTTTGCATAGCTTTGACAACGAAGATGACTGCCCGTGTGATGAAACTATTCCACATAGCTCCGAATTCATGCATATCGGTATCAGCCTCCGGGACACCGCCAGGGATTGGTCGCGATTGCAATCTGGACCAGCAGGCGTTCTGCATTGGGAAGAATGGCGAGTTCAGACTGAGAAATATTTGGAGTCGAGGTAAAATCCGTTCAGCTTGATCCAAACCTTCATCGTCGGAAGGCGCAACATAAGTACAAACGCCCTGTTCAGGGTATTGCGAGTTCATCTCATCAACGAGTTGGTCATGTTTTTGCTTTAACAGCTCGACGCTGCTTGTTAGCAACCGATCTGCGCCGTTGGTGTTTCCGATCAAAAGCTCAAAGAGAAATAGCAAAAACATGTTGATTAGCACGTTCCTGCGCGAAATGGTGTGAAAGTCCTGTCGCATCCGCATATGGAGAGCAGTGGTGGCTTTGTCATGATACGCCATGGCAACCTGATATGCACCGCCGCCGCGTCCCTCCAGCAGCTTGACTGTCGGCTCGGGGTTTAGAGACCGCAGAGACAGCATTAAAGCCCCGATACTCAAAACGGACCACCGCACACACTCGTCTTGCATAGATTCTCTGGGAATGACACGGTTCCAGAACTTAGTGCATGGAGTGTATGAAAAGTCCTGGAGCATCTGGGCTCTAAACATGTCAAAGTATGGAGCCTCGTCGGGTTCTAGGTGGCTTGCCCTTGGGCGAAAATACAGAGCTCTTGTAGCAACTACATCAAGTGCCTCCTGTCTCGGAAGAATTGATCTTTTATAGGACGTGTTGCCGCCATGCTGCTTCTCTTGGGGTACATCATAGTGGCAATCTCGCGCGGATCTCTTGCACTGATGACACACTGGCTTCTGCTCGTTGCATTTTCGGTGTCTAAGTTTACACTTTAGGACAGATAGGTTAGTGAAGCTACATGTAACTTATGACCACAATACGAGATAATTGATCATGAAGACGCGGCGCTAGCTCAGTCTTTCCGACCGTCTTAGGAAGTAGGAATTCTGCCGTTAAGCAGATGCAGGGAATCTTATCTGCAAACTTGTTTATAACTGGGAATATATGTAAACATACCGATGTACAGCCACCACGACTCTTGGGCTTACCCGAGCGCGTGTGCTTCTTACCAAGGATGTTGCGCGGCAGCGAGTTGACGAGCGCTGTCGAGGGAATCATGGTGATGTGTCCTGTTCAACAGCCCAACCGTTTGTACCGGAAAGTGATGTAAGAGGGAACTCACTAGATACAGACCTCAAGGGACAGGCGATTGGCAAAGAATACGCCGAGCCACAAGGGGTTCTAGCCTGTAATAGTGCGAACGTAGAGCTTACATGACTAAAATAGTCAAGTTGGGGTTAACTCGATTGTTCCATATTACTACAGTAATTTTGTTTGGAGTAGTGTGTATTAAACAAATGAGCAGCTGCGTGTAAGTTCTATGTTCGATTCTGTTTTGACAAGGCGCTTATTATGGCCGTTAACAGTTGAGAGCTGTTCAATTCAGCGATACAGTCGCTAGTTTCTGACGAAAAAGAGCCTGTTTTGTCGGAGAAAGAAGACCCGCACACTGAGATGCACTCTCTATTCGTGTCGAGCATCTGGGCTATGAAGAAAAAATACTATAGAAACCTGATGAAATACATAAAGCTTCTCGGAGTAAGAGAAGCGTCAAAACGTTAGTCGGTAACGTTAGTGGCCGCAGCTGTCCGATACATGTACATGTAGTTGGGCGATGAAGTCCGTTAGTGGATCATCGTTTTTTACCGATCATCCTCTCCAACAAGAGCAGAAACTGCAACCAGGAGACCGGCTCGTCTCTCAGTTCTGACTTTCACAAGATCATGTCCGCGCAGGTACCTACCTCACTTGCATCTCCATCTTATGCCAGTAAAAGGAGAATCATGGAATCTAGATATCCGATGCTTATTGGAAAATTGTGGGTAAGGAGCTTTAAAAGGTGAAGTCGAGCAGGCAATCAAATTTCCGATTGGCTGGAGAATACGCATTGCTTAAAACAGAGATGGTCGAGCTGATGGTGGGCCTGCGCCACTGACCCCTTGGTTTATGGCGCGCCGAGGTTTGAGAAAAATACTAACAAACACCAATCTAAGCTACCTGTAAGCATGGGGGCTAAATTGAGAGCATATACCTATCTTGGTCTATGCCAAAAAACGTTCATTATCAATATGTCAGTTAGAAACAGTAAGTGTCAGCTTACAAGTGTATCACAAGTGTTTACTACTTATTTCTTGAGTCGAAATAATGGGCTGCATAGGGTAGCTCGCCGGAGCTGTATAAATATAGCAAGCCATACCCCTTTGCAGCTGTTTTCCCAGTTGCCTACACATATATCATCAACAGTCTACTCAAATCATGTCTTCAACACCCAGGATTGTGAAAGCGGCAGTAGTGCAAGCAGAGCCTGTATGGTTTGACCTCAAGGCTACTGTTGCAAAGACATGCACTCTAATCAAAGAAGCGGCTTCAAACGGCGCTCAAATAATTTCCTTTCCTGAAGCATTTGTTCCAGGGTATCCGGTATGGATCTGGTATGTATTCACATCTCGGCAAAGACGCAGCCTAGTCTGACTCAAGGACAAGGGTACGCGCCATGGACTTCGAGATGAACGTTCGCTACGCTGAGAACTCTCTCTCTATTGACTCGGAGGAGATGAAGCAACTGCAATCCTGCGCGGCTGAAAACGACATCGTTGTGTGTATCGGTCACGCTGAGCGCAAGGGAAACTCTTTATACATTGGTCAGTGTACTATCGACAATAATGGCGAGCTGGTAATGTCAAGGCGAAAACTCAAACCTGTCCATATGGAACGTACGCTGTTCGGGGACGGAGATGGCCCGTCTCTTAATAATGTTGCAACAACCGGCGTTGGAAAGGTTGGGCAGCTTTCTTGCGCTGTAAGTATCTTGCAAGACCATTTCATCTTCAGTTCTTTGACATTTCTTATCTAACCGAGATGCGAACTTGATTTAGGACCACTTTAACCCACTCATCGTGTACAACACGTACTCCCAGGGCGAGGAAATTCACTGCTCTGCTTGGCCACCGGTCGCACCTCATCCAGGAGGGCCGGCTCCATACTCGATGGCAGATGAGGGTAGGTAAACTTGCTCTTTCACGTCTCATACTATGCTGACAGAAGATAGCTGTTGCGGCGTTCTCAAGCGTTTATTCGATGCAGGCTCAATGCTTTACTCTCCACTCTACTGCTGTGATTTCACAGCCATCCATTGATAAGCTAGGTGTTGATGGAACACCTTTGTTTAATCGACCTGGCGGTGGTAATGCCCGGATCTACGGCCCTGACGGACGCCTCTTGACAACAGATTTACCACCCTCTGAAGAAGGCATCGTATATGCCGATTTGGACATGAGCTTAATCGCCAAGGAGAAAGGTTTTTTGGATAACTGCGGCCACGCTGGCAAGCCAGAACTGTTGTGGGTACGTGCTCCCCATTTCAACAACGTTGAAGATCATTTTAAGAATCAATATGTCTTCCCTATGTTTATACGAAGCCGAACGAATAAAACGCTAACTATTTGACGTAAAGCTAGGACGTAATGTCTCCGAACAAGCGCCCGTTCGCTCTGTCTAAAATGGATATGAACTCTATTATTGCTTGGTATAAATATATCTGGGAGTAGTAATGATACAACTTGTGTAGAGTGCGATATATCACAAATTTGAGGCATCTGTTTACATTGTTCATGTTGTTCATCATGGTCGAAACTTATTTAAAGCTGCACTAGTCAAGACTGTGTCAGAGCCGCCGATGAATGACAGCGACCAGTCTGAATCTTGATGTCACTACATCATGAGTATCACCGACAAGAATCCCTCCTGTTCGAAGAATAAAATAGTCGGAGATTAAGAGAGCCATTGCACAGTATCTGGCTTACAGGTGGTAAGAAAGAAAAGATTTCGTAGGGTTGCCTTATCCTCCCAACTCTTCTTTTTCTAAAGGTTATGGCTTGTTATCATAATTTTAGGTGTACGTATTACTAAAATAATGGGTAAAAAGTTTTATAGGAGACGCAACCAAGAATCAAAATCCTTATTTCTGTAGGTCATTAGGCGCGGAGGAAGGGTTGAGTGGTCGAGTAGAACACTAAGCTGCTAGTTATATGGTGAAGTTAAGAGATGCTGTTAACTCCGATGAGCATTCTAAGATCACTCTCTATGACTTTGTTTTGTGAATCATATCTCGACCAATCATAATACACCTCAGAGCATCTATCGGCTTTTTGGGGTACATATTATAATTGCCGAATGGCTCGAGCTGATACTCACTCGGCCTTGGTTCACAATTCCCTTTATGCCAAGCCACTATACATATAGATGGAGATTCATACGCCCGTTAATGCCAGCCTCATAGAGATATTATGTCACGTGCGCAGGGATTATTCTTCCAAAAGTGCCGTGCCAAGGAGCTTACAGGAGAAACGATTTGTAAAAGAATTAGTTTGTATGCATGAATTCTTCCGTTATCTGGGATCAAGATATTCCACGAAATAGGAGACTCTTGGCATATAGGTCTCTGGATACAAGTCTCGCTTACCTCGTAAACTTTCATGATGTGTAATAGGTTATGAAAAAAAACTCGAGTGTATCTTTGCACGGTTGCATGTATAGAATAGTACGCAGAAGTGTCTTCACCAATCCTGGTGATCAAAAATGTCTATGCTGCACGACAGTCTGCTTTCCTAGTCATAAGGTTAAAGTATATCCATCGAACTAGGGTTAAGGTTATGACGTAGTACCATGCTATTGCCAGAGTCTTGCTTTCTGTGCAAAATAATGCTCCTATTGCATCCATATGTCCGCTCACGTCTTGCCAGTTTCTGAGGTGAGATGATTTCATGGGGATCGCCAGCATTGTTTTCCGAATTCTGACTTTAGATCTCCTGAGGTGCATCCTCTCTAGATATTGGCATAAAGAACAGTAACATGCTTGTACTCAATTCAGGTACGAATGTGGATATAGTTATCTCTCTTTTCTTCTTCCGCGGCGTCACTGTAACACTATGTGCGAGTCCTGGTAAGGAATTCGAGCCTCATACGTCATAATAACATAGTCTTCCTGATTATTTTGCGGGAGTAAACCTCCGGATTCAAGCCCTCTGATATAGCTCTGCTTACTGAATGAACGCCAAGAATCTATGTCTCGAGAGGCAGAGACGAAACGATCATTCATGTGGAATCAGTGCATTGCCCGCCTTGGCGAAAATACTGGGTATAGAGAGAGGTCCTAAGTATCGCGATGCATGCGATATACGCGAGATATGTTCTTGGGGACCTTGCAAAGATGCCGACTCATCACGGCTAACTGATGATATTGCCTTAGAATCATCATGCAGAGACTGAATCTCCCAGTATTGGCACAGTTTTCTATAAAGACCCCAGACACCTTCTCCTTTCGAGCTGGATACTCTGCACTGAGATCAACACAGACTGCATCTACAGCCTTCTATACAAAAACTGTCCTCTCAAAGTCTTTTCTAACCAATTTCGCTTGAACCTTGATTAAAGAAGCAAAATGCTGTCTTCTTGGATCCTTCCCGTCATCTTAGCGATGTCGTCTTCCGCTACAGCAGGCGTTACTCGCGTCACTTCTGCCACTCCCAGCTACTTCCAAAAACGCGACTGTGAGACGTTCCAATATGATGCCGGCAGCGTCCATTTGGGCTCTTGGTGTGTCATTGGTGTTGGACCACCAAGCCTGAAGGTGAGGCAGACCGGCATCGGTGTCTCTGGACTTGGCTGCCTGCCACAGGTCTTCTTTGTGAACGAAAATGGAGAGCACCGCGCTACCAAACCATGCTCTGTTGACCCTCAGGATATCGATGATGGTACCAAGGGCTTCACAGAGGCTTTTGGAGACGATTTCTCCTGTGGGTCACTCTCGAGCTTCAGCAATCTCGACAGCATCCAAGTAAACGGGGGTGATGACAACACCATGAACATCATCTACCACTTCAGCAACGGTCACAGCTACAATGCTCAATGCACTGGGGAAGGTGTTGACTTCTGTGAGGCAGGCAACATTGGAGAACCCATCACTGGAGGATTGTTGAACTGCCCACTTCCGGCCGAGGCCATCTCTATCAACTCTTGCGACGAATGCTGCGGCGATGTCATCCAGGGCTGTTAAGCTTAAGCTTCATAGCTCGGGTGAAACTGAGCAAAGGACTCTTGAAGGGGCGTAAGCCTCAGAAACTTCACACAAGATTCTAAGAAGAGAGCACTTCTAATGGCGACGGTCACCTACATTCATTAATGCAATAGGCTGTGGACTGCGTTGTTTGGACGCAAACACATGATCAAGCCAAATAGTGGTAGATACAACTTTATAGTCTTGAAATGAAATCTCATTTTGAGCGATGTCAGCTGAAGCGACCCCAGTAAAACATGTGATGATACTGTAATAAAGTAATGCGTGCCACATTAAAAGCGGCAGGGAGTTGTTTGGAAAACAGTTAATTATAATTGTGATGACCGAAATACGGTGATGACAACCTCGCCGCCATGCAAAACAACGTAATACCATTACCACTACACACAAGTACTGTTATGATCAGTTGTAGTGAAGAGGCGCAACTTCTCGAGCTGCAAGATGTAGATTCAAGTGCATGTAGCCCTCAATAAGCTATGGAATGCCTACTGAGATATCATTCAGCTCTTTTCACAGTGGGGCAACTACCAAAGTCCCGACTATACGATAGATATCTTATATATGTACATAATGAGGGCATAACTTTACTATTTGTTTTGCGGGAACAGAGGCGCCAAGACGGAGCCTTCAAACCACTTCTTGTCTTTAGCCCATCCTCTGAGAATGAAATCTCTACCCAAGATCAAGGCAGCTAGGACCTTGGGTAAAGGGAATGGCAAAGGATCGTTTCGGTTTCGCCGGTAATACCAGCAAATAAGATGCACGCCAGCATGAATGGCAGCGCTAAATGCCAGCTCTTCGCTCATCGGACCATAGCCCTGTATGAATCCCTGCATAATGGGAACACTACCGTCGACGTTTCTAAAGTGTTTGCGCTCGTAGAGGTCGGCCAGCATGCCACCAATATCCACAGCGCGGTGACCGAACTGAGCATTCTCCCAGTCGATGATGAAGAGTTTATGAGGATCTTGGCTAGACTGTTGGGCCTCCTGCCACGAGCTACCTGGGAGTAGAACACTGTTTTTTTTTTTAAGTGACGGAGCCCTTTATTAGAAATCGATCTTTTCATGAACGGGACTTTTTCGTTGTACAGGGTGTTAATTCGAAACGTGCTTTGACTTACTTGCCAGCCCAAAAGTCTCCGTGAATAAGCCCACGGAGCTCATCCCCTTCTGTTGGCGGTCGCTCAAACTCATATTTCATGGTAGTCCTGACAGCTTCTAATGTTTCTTTATGGCCTTCTATAGTCTCGGGATGGCGTTCGAGTATTTCGATGAAGCTATCATAGGTGATAAGGCATTTTAAATGGCGCATTCCCTTGTTAGGCCCTACTCTTTCTCGAAGCGTAGCCTGGGTTGGCTCTGAGGTCCATTTGTGAAAGAAACGTAGCCAAGAACCGAAGGCATAGCCGACCGATTGGCGGCTGGATTCAGGCAGTATCTGATCGACATTGGCGGATTGCAAAATGGTGATTAGATCGGTAGCTTCGTGAAAGTCTTCATGAACCTGAGTGTATGTGTCTCGATCAAACATGTAGAGTCGCGGCGTCGTAACCAGTGCTGGGCCGCTTGGAGTGATGATGGTGTGGCTGACTCCATCTAAAGCATGGAGCATAGACTCTTCAAAGAGACAGCGTGTGACATCGAGAGGGAAGTTGCGGTTGATAGCAACATAGTTTGTAGAGTGTTTAATGACGACAGTTTGAGCTGCTTTTGCGTCTGTATCTTTCTCGAGTGGCTTGAGAAGAGTGCCGCGATACAGGAAGTTGGCTGTTCCGCCGCTTAGTTTTGTCAAATCCGAACACGCATAGGCTGTATGCGCCAGCTCATTGAGGATCTGCTGGACGAAAATTTGGTTTTCTTCTTCGTTCGGCGGTGACATTTTCTTCAATTTGTATACAAAAAAGCCTAAGCCTGGATAGTACCTGGGAAGAGCGACTGATAGTGCCAAAACACAAAGACATGCAAGCTGGTGGGAAGGTTGCGAGGCAGGCAGGCAGAGAGAAAAGCTCTAGTTTATAACTAGACATCTCTGTAGTTGGTTGGCGTGTACATAAACTTTACGGCAGTTGCAAAAATACGACTTCTAAAGAAGAAAAACAATTCTCTACGAAGCTAGTTGTTAAATGAAGTTGATGTGTATTAACTGATGGGCGCGCTTAATCTGTAGTCGAGGCGGGGTTTTAGTGCTTTCTTGTGGATGACAGTGGGAGTGTGCCAGGGAAATAACAGCCAGAATCCATCTTAAAACGAAATGTAGTCGTATGACAGATAACATGGTGGTATTAGCTAGATTTTAGCGCAATTGCGCAAGTTTCGAGCCCATAGAAATTGGAACTTCGTGGCTCTAGTTGCGAAACGTTGAGTCACAAAAGAAAAGAGTCATTGAATTACGGTAACCGACTCGAAGGATCCCCAAAGTCTCCACTTCCTATGGCAGTATGATGCTCGACAACTTCGACGAACATTAAATTGGCTACTATATTGGCTACGAGTTCTCTGGCTGTGCCGCAGTCTAGGGAAGGTCGTGTATAGTTATCTCACTAGCTCTTTAATGTGTCGTCGGTCTGTCGCATTGTGTCCAAATCGATTCTACACGAGGGGAGCTCTTTTATCTGGACTGAGTATGGACAATGCAAGCTTGAAATGAAGGAGATGGACCCGGTCTGAGACTCTGAATTGATGTCAAGATATTTAAAGCTAGTATACACGAGTTAATGTAAAATGCTACACCTTAATCATTCGCATTTCTATTTGGGAGCGTTTCGACGACCTAGTATGCCTTTAAATCTACCAGCCTTGGGTGGGGGCTTTTCCACTAGAGGTGACTCTGAAGTACCTGTGTCTACCCTGGCAAATCTATCGACGACGGTCAAGGCTTCTCGCAGCGGTGTTTCCTCGAGTACATCTACTAGCTCGTCAAAGATGGACGGAATTCTTTCAATAACGATATCCACAACGAAATATTTCCGTGCATCAACAACCCTTGAGACAATATTCGTCCACACATGTTCGTCTTGTAAATAACTGACGTGGTCGGGTGGCTGTGGCCGGAAAAAACGTTCCCATTCGCCAAATGGCCTCTTTTCATCACATCCATCGAGTACGTGAGAGGCAACTTGTCCCGGATCCGCAGATGAGCCCAACAAAACAGTTAATTTCGTATCATCTATACGCGCGAGAACAATGACTGCTGCCAAACAGTTTGCATCTTTCGGGACTTGAAAAGCTACTCGGATGCCTGCGGGAACCCAGTCCCACGAAGAGGTCATACTCAACGCGTTGGACGTCTGCCGTCCCATGGTTCCCAAAAGTCTGTAACCTTGATCCAATGCAGGTCCATGGCGAAGCTGCACAATGTGTTCTGGATAGACATGGAGCGAAGGCGGCAAAGCTGTTGACTGGCGAACATAAAATGTCTGAACATTTCCGCGATCCGCCGCAGAATCGATGGACAAGATTTTGTCGGTTTTGATGCGCGCATACTGGTCGTGGTAGCCCGATTGATCAGAATCCGTGAAGTTGGTCATTCTCTTCAGGCACAATCCGGCAAAACCGTCCGTCTTCATTGGTTGACAGCAATTAAGAGACGCAACGTAAATGTCATCCTCTACCCGACGTAGTGGGAGGGTGATTTGAAGTCCCTGATTCGTCTTGAAGAATGGCGCGCGTGGTTCCCAGTCGTAGTACGGGAAGAAATGGCTCGATGCTTTAAACTGATCCGGAGATCGAGCAAGAAGGCCTGCGATTGCATTCGGGTCTGCACTGTCGTCTGTCCACAGGAAGAGAGATTCGTCGTTTGATTCCTTCATGATTTCTTCTTGCAGTCGAATAAATGATTTCTCGCCTTCTCCATATAACATTGGCATGCTTATGTCAAAAAGTCCCAACAAGCAATATGCACGGTCTTCAATTCTCGTAGTTACTCGTTTGGATGCCCATGACATGCGTTTAGCCACGCTGATTGATCGCATATCGCGAGTATGAGACAGAATACCACTGTCTATGCCAGTAATGGAAGAAAGTCTATCGCACATGCTAGACTTCCGCCCCAGACATACCCAGTTGCTTCTGAATTCATCTTGTACGCGCTCATTTTCCGGTTCTTCATCTGAGCAACCGTCTGGATCGCCATTCTCCTCTCGTTTTTCACCGTCAGTAAAGAAGAGGACTTCTGTTGGTGCAATGAGCTCTTGAAGCGTCCATCCACGGGAAAACCATTCATGGGTGGCGAATTCATCTGCTTCGTAAGGGTCTATTGTATGGGATAAACCTGCGAGATAGGCGTAGCAGACTTGAGCTTCCTTATAATAGCTAGAAGTCTCATAAGCACTTAGAACATTGTCCAACATGAGCATGTCCCCTTACTTAAACATTGAGTTGATGGCTTCGTTGAGTTCTGCGCTTGAATTCTTGTCGATACAGCAATTATCGATCCAAATGTAGCCATGGCCATCCAGCCGTGCCTGTTTACAAGCACTGGCGACTTTAGCGTAGCCTGGGTGAACGTTTCTCTGACTTTCGGTCATATCGCTCGTGATATGCTCGTAGAGAAACTCCTTTCCGTCAGCCCATCGATGGGACAGTATCGCATAGGGCGTGCCATCTCTGCACTTCTCGAGTCGTAGAGTTTTGACATTTAGTAGATTCATATCGCGAACGTCTTTCAGTGCCGAATAAAAACGGAGTAGGATTGAGAAAGCTGCTGCGACAGTACTAGCTCAAGTATCAGCCCCAGGTTTGAGCTTATACCGTTCTAATCGGGGTTACCAACAGGATGGTGTCGAAGTCGTTGTGTTACAGCCAATATGGAGTCAACTCTAAGTTGCTACAGTATAAGCGTGTTAGCCCTGCTTCTGCGAGCAGCCGATGGATTAATCGCGCACTGAGGCAACGCAAGGCCAAAGCTCTACAGCGGATACCTGCACTCTAAAGATAACCATAAAAATGAGGCTCTTAGGGCTGTTTCCTTTCTAATACAATTATATTCCATGCGCGACTTCCCAAACCAGAGTTTCTGGCATGCATTCGACGGTCCATCTATTCAAACGCGCACAGGGGGTTTTCCAAATTTTCAAAGCGACATGTCAGCAGTGACGGCGCGCCAAGAGCCTCGCGAACTTCGCGCTTTTCGGCACACCGAGTATCTTCCCTGTAGTTTTGTATGGCGCCCAATTGTCCCCAATGAATCCTTCGGCCCTGAAGCGAGGCAGAGAGGCTGTTGGTTGGGCTGTCTCAGTGCGCTAGCTATGCCTACATGTGCTCCCACTTTGCCCCGGTTTCTATTTAAAACAACAAAGTGCCCGCTTGTCGCATGGTGATAAAAAGAAGGATTGAGGCGCTTGCCGTTTGGAGTGATTTCTTTTCCCTCGATGCAAAAATCTCCAAAGTTGTTCAGATTCGCCAACGCTTCCCCGTATCATCTTTGAAGACACAGACACTATGGACACCCAAGGTTCTACTCTCAACTCTGCCTATCCTGGTGAAACTCATGGAATTACGCCAGTCCCGGCACCCGACGCGGCAGGGACAGAAAAGAAGCTGAATGCTGTTACATCAGAAGAGGACGAGATCCGCCAGATGACACTAAATACAGCAAATACTTTCCCTAAGTCTGTGCAATCACAAAACACAGGAATTGTAACCAAGCAACCAAGCATGGTGCAAGGCATGAAGCCGGAGAACTATGTAGTGAAACCAGAGAATCTTGGGGAATCTCCCGATTATATCGATTGCCCCTACTGCAAATCACGCCAGAAAACTGAGACGCGCCATCAACATACCAGCCAGACGTCGTATGTTACGCTCCTATAAGTCACAACAATTAGCTTGGCCACCGTTTGCTAATATATACTTCACTAGGCTTGCGGCGGCTGTCTGCTGTCTCTGCTGCGGCATACTTCCTGTGTTTATACCGTTTGTGTGCAATTGGTGCTCTGATCTTGACCACTACTGCGAGAATTGCAAGAAGCGTGTCGCGCATCAACCTCACGAGGGCAAGATGGAGGCTGTATTGCCGCCAGTTTCTACTGCGACAACAGGAGCAGACTCTAGATATCAGTCGAGTCAGTACGCCGACATGAGCAAGCAGTCTCAGCAAAAACTGGAGCCCACAGTGGCCTAAACGCAGACCTACAAGCCACAAGTTAAAAAGAGGGGCTTGGAAGATTGTTTAAAGGGGATCATTATAAATACTGGCTGTGATTATGCCAGAATGTTCAACTTGCGGAGACCAAGATCGATCCTGTGGAGGCCTACACGACCTTTAGTTCGATGAAGTACAAGCCAGAAGCAAGATGTGTACAGGAAATATGGAAAGAAAGAACAGGCTGTTCGGATTTATTTAAGATACCATGTATGGAAGCCCGAATAATGAATAATTTATTAATAAGATAATACAGAAGAATGCAAGGCAATCCATTTTGTATCATTTTGACGTATGCAGAAGATGCTGAATGTCTAGCAGTATGCAGGGCGTTAGAATTCACTTGTACCTAATCTACGTCTCTTCGCTACCTAGTAAGCAGAAACCTCAAGCCATAGCAACATTTGGCCCGAGTTTATTCTTCAATAATAGTCTATGTAAAAAGCTTATAGCGCTGATAAAAGTTCGACAATCTTGGCAAGCTGCTTTTACAACATACTATCCAGTATAATGGTAGCTAAGAAGATCAAGTGGACGATAAAACCCAGCTTAGGCACTCACTCAACACAACTCGGTCCAGGCGTTGATGGTTCTAATAAACCTCAGTTCCTAGAAAACTGGAGCCGTAAGCACTGGCGCCCGTATCTCCATAGTATGCATTGGCTCTAGTAGAACGATAATGTGAAGTTTGCTTTTAGTTTGTTGCTGTATAGTTAAAGAACTATTCAATTTTAACGACAAGGCTATGCTCTGAGCAACCATCACTTGCTTCATCTACCTTACTGAAATGCTTTGTTGGGAAGAAAAGCCTTACACGCAGGGGTTGTGAGGCGAAGCATAACTAGGCCATCGTCACCTACAGCAAGGATCAACTGAGCACATGGTTAGCGATTGACGCCTTCCAATACGCTGGGCGCTCTTTGGAGAGATAGTCGGGTGGGGGCGGAAAATGCCATATAAAGATGAAACATAATCCTTCAGATAGGAGCTTGAATTTGCAGGGTGTTTTTCTGGTTCACTGTTGAATAGATGCGGCTCAACACGGCGGCTGCAAACTCATGCTCGACCTGCAACCCATCACGCGGCTAAACCCCATATTGCGCTTATAGCCGGATCATTCTCCGTGGAGCTGTTATGATAGTACCAGAGCCTACAAAGCCGACAACGCAAGCAAGATCAGTTATAGTTAAATAATCTCTTCAGTATAGTAACAGTCGCCGCAACTTGACTGTCAACTACCGCCGTAATAACAGAGCCAAGCATTCGAAATATGTGGGAGGAGGCCAGGGGACGATTCTTAGCTCGCACACAAAATTCTCTCGATTTAAAGCCGCCTAAAACCATCGATGACGTTCGAGAAATGGTCGAGCATCGATACGATCCTACTTCTCCAGCCGATTTAGACGAAAATCACAAACGGGCCAAAGAGATTGGCTTGACCATCTTATCATGTTTGAAGTTATTAGGCGGAGTGGCGGCTCAAGGAGCTGAAATAGTAAGTTGACAAACCAGTCCTTCTTCACTTTTGACTTCTTCTAACTTTGAGAAGGTATTTCAACCTGCTAGCATTTGCTTCAACGCCATATCACTCTTGCTCGACGTCCCAAAATCCGTCCATGAGTTTCATGGCATGATCGATGCCGTCTTCGGCATTGTTGGTCCCACTCTCAGCCAATTCAAGATATACGAGAGAATAGAGCTGTTTAGTTCTATTGATCCGGAATTAAACACCGCAATACACAAAGTCATGATCTCTTTTGTCGATATATGTGCCTTGTCAATAGTACTTCGGAAGGGGAGTAGGTGGAGCCGCTTTAAAGCAGCGACGAAACAGGCTGTACTCAAGGATGACTCCGGCCTGAAGGATGAGATTGAACAATTCGAGAAACTTATTCGAGGACAGCAAAATGTTCAGGCAACCTTGACCCTGGAAGTTGCTCTGAGTGCCAAAGCTGATCTTACTGCCATCCTGGGTAAAGCTTGCGAGACGGGAAAGAAGATTGATGACATCGCCATCGGCATTTTAGACTTGAAAGAAGTAGAGTCAAAGAGAAGCATAGAGAGGACTAGACAAGAAAATCTCGCCAAGATTCGAAGCAAGTTTGCCATCGACGAGAAGACTATTAATGCTTCCAAGGAAGTTTGCAAGAAGATATGGCAACAATGCGTGACAGGGAGTGGAAGCTGGCTTCGCGACTTAGACGACTACAAGAAATGGTCTGACAAGGCCGATTCTGAAGCAAGCCCCTTGCTACTACTTACTGGAGAGGTGCACTCGGGAAAGTCGAGCGTCATGTCGATTATAGCCCAGGAGCTCAAGGCCGCCCATGAATCTGCGGGCCAGTCGAATATTCGAGCCATGGTAGCTTATTATTTCTTTCCTCTTTTCTCTCGGAAAGCAGACGAAGACAAACGACCGGCAGCAACTGCAGTAAAGCATATTGCATTCCAGCTTGCAGAGCAAGACTCGGGAATTGCAAATACCATGGCAAATTTTGCGATGATAAGCACAGCGAAGCATATTTTAGGGACACCAGCTGCAAAGACCTCTGGCGTGGACTCAAGATTGGAGCTCCCAAACAGGGCACTATTTATTTCATCATAGTCGACGGCCTAGACGGATTGTTCGAAGGCCACGATGAAGCTGCAAATCACTTTCTGGACATCTTCGAGACTCTTCAAAGCCAAGCATCAGCTAGCGCCAATGGGGCTCGAGTGAGGGTGATTGCAAGTGGAAGAAGCGACAATTTTCAGAGAGAATCGCTGCAACGTGCGCCGAATATTGAGGTTGAGAAATATAATGGCCCAGATATCACATCCTACATCGACGAAGAGCTGAGAAAGTCAAGCCTTCTACAAGGGGAGGAAGAGGAACCTAAGAGACTGCGAACAAAAGTGCACGATAGGTTATTTACGGAGGCCAAAGGAAATTTCCTCAAAGTGCAAACTGCTTTGGGCAAGATCAAAGAGTTGATCATGTCAGATGGATCAGAAGCCGAAATGGATCACATTCTGAATGACAGTAACCAAGATAAAGTGAAAATTTCGGAAAACGTAGTCAGCGAGCTGGAAGCTTCCCTCAAACCGCAGTCTATCGAAGAACTCAACGAGCTCCTTATATGGATTGTATACGGTGTTGAATATTTCGACGCTGATGAACTAGAAGCTGCACGGGTAAGTCAGCCCATCCTTTGCGAAACACCGAAAAAGAAAAGTCATTCTAAGTTGCTTCCCTCTAGTTCCTCCGTTTTGGAACTGCATCTCTGCAGAAGCTAGAGGACAAGTTGAAAGGAAAATATTCTAAACTGTTTTATATGCACTACAATTATTTCGCTCTTTCACCGACTATTGAGCCGCTTGTCATCAAAGACAGAAAGCGACCAAGAGTCGGCGACGATGCACCCAAGATTTCGCTCAACATCACTGTAACCAATGCTGACATCATAACAGTACAGAACTTTCTTTGGAATCTCTTCCAAAAGTCTATGGTGGACAAGTTCGAATTCGAACCTTTATCCAACCAAAAGAGCCATGTCACGAGGGAAATCCAGGTCAACATGTATGAGCTCACCTTGCTATAGTAAAGCATGCCCTACGTTATCTCACATCACTAACAGATGTCAGGACAAGGCTCATAGGAGATTACCTGGCAAAAAGACTCCCACTTCACTTAGATAAATTAAGCCAAGCAGACGGCTACGATGAAATTCTTGCATCTGACAAAAAGGAAATTGGTGATGGCCTCTTTTCTCTTTTCATCTCTGAAGAGGTTATAGAAAGGCACTGGGAGTCATTCAAGTCTATTATTTGGTTTGGCGAAGATGACAAAGTTGAGACTTTGCGAAAATGGCTACAGGATCCAGGCGCAATCAGCCATCTGGGTAGACTCGACAAAGATTGGCTCAAATCTGTAAACACCAGCCAGCGGCCGAATCGAGAAGTTCTCACTCCATTGATGAAGAAGATTGCATATCGCTGGCTAAAAGATCGTGCATGGGATACTAATGATTGCTTTGGCGCTCTGCGCCGCTTTTTGACGCTGGTATGGTCCACCCTGAACGCATATAACTATCTACCTTGCTGATTTTAATAGAACCCGCTAGAAGAAGAGCCTGGAAAAGAAATTAGCGTCTCGGAAGAGTTAGAGAGAGCAGAGAAATGGTGCGAAGAAGCTCTATTGCCATCAAGTCTCGATTCTCTTTGGTACGAGAGAATGGGAGAGACTGCCAAAGCGCAGTCTGAATACAACTTGGCGATATCGAAATTCATACGCGCTACGGAGTTGGAGAACCCAGGACTTGGCTGTTTCAAAGGCCTGGCCGAGTCATACTATGAAAACGATGAGCTTCTCTCCGCGTGCTCCTCCATGGAAAAGGCGCTTAGTTTGGTCAAAGCAGCCGAGTCGCCGGATGATGAAGAAATGACACGCATTTATCTACGCCTTGCGAATTGGTATACTCAACTACAGCAACCCGAGGGAGCTATATCGCACTATGAGCATGCTTTGGAAACCTGCCCTGACAACCAAGACGCTCTCACTGGCATATTGACTATTCGAATTGACTCTGGTCCTGAAGAAAAGACCCACGACCTTATAATTGCCATGAACGAGCCCAACTCCAAACAACCAGGCCTCTCTCGGCTCGCTTCAACCCTGCTCAGCCGAGCAGAGGATTACAGCTACGAAAGTCCGCTGCGCAGTCTGATTCTAATATGCAGCTCAAGACCGGATTGCATGGCGGTCTTGCTAGAAGCCATGGATCAAGCCATCAACGCAGCGCGAGAGCAAAGGCTAGACTTCGACCTCCAGGTACTGCTGCTACATCGAGGACTGGCCGCTATCCATAAAGATGGCCAAAATGATGAGGCTTTATTGCAAGCCATATCTCTCTGGACCGATTGCTACAATATCGCGGATCAAGCTTACAGAAGGGAATACGACAACGGCGTGCGAGGGCAGTCAGCTGTCTCTTTCCACTACACTATTATTCATCAACTGAGCCTTTACTATTTCGAGCAGTCTATAAAGCTACAGAATTCTGGGGAGACTCTTTCCAAATTGGTCGAATTAACCCAGTGTTTCCGCTTTCCTGGAATACTTGGCATAACTGCAGCCGACACGCATCTTGCCATGTACCATGCTCTTCGTGGCGATCGAGCGGCGGCCAAAGAGCAACTGAGGCAATACATGCGGATCGCGTTCGATAACCTATCTGACGAAACTGATGAGAACGACTATTGGGCCGCTTATACTTTATCCAGATGCTTAGTAGCCAGCGGAGACGATCTAAACGCATTGACAGCTTGGTCCTTACTTGAGCCTATTGAAACGGATGTTATAACGAAAGCATTCAAGAGCGAAGGAGGGCCTCAGCAATCGCTGATTGATGAGCTCACTGAGTTTGTAAAAGCAAAATGCCCCTTTGGAGCCACCCAGGTCGAGAGAATCAAGGCAGTTCAAGAAGAATTAGAGGCACGGATGGCCGCACTTGTCCAGGAAGACAATCGCTCCGAGGCAAAGGAAGATATTCAGAAGGCACAAAATGTGCTGCAATCAGCTCTGATATTGAAAGAAACCTCAGCTAACGATGTTACTGGAGAGACGCATATCACACCTTTGGACAGTAAGGAGATTGCAAAAAAACTTTTACTATTACTGCGACGGCACATGTGGCACAGCATGGGATTTTGATCACGCATTGAATTCGTGCAAATACTGCTGGGACGTGGGATTCTGCGACGACTGCCTTTCACTATTGAAGGACGGTAAACTAAAGAAACTTATATGCAGCGCCGACCATGAATGGTTGGCGATTCCAAAGTACAATCCGAGAGGAAACATGGCAGCACGAGAGGGCACGGTGCAAGTACGCGGAGAGTTGGTCAAGGGTGTTCGAGTGGGAGGTGAGCTTGTAACAGTCAAAGAATGGATGGGCCTGTTAAAGGAAGAGTGGGAAATATGATGGGCGGTGAGCCTATTGAAGTAGCCTCCGCTGATGTTGCACAAGTGCCGCTATACGATACTGCAAAATGTACAAAGAAGAAACGCCTTGAAAAGTTCAAAGATGTTTTGGGAGTTATTTTTAGGCTTAAAGATATGCCACAGAATCCCGATGCAAAGACGCAAGATGAGACTTCTACTAGTCAAAGAATGAATCATAGCTTTGGCACACAAAGAATCGTAAAAAGAAGTACAATTCACGAGCATTGTTATCTAAAACATGATTCAAGGCTTGAATGTTGGCCAAATGAGTTTGTTCAACCCTTAAGGCTAACAATGCACGCCACAGCCTTGGAATATAAAAGACGCGATATATACAACCAGTTTTTACGCCAATTGAACCACTTTCAATACACATTCAAACCTTCAATTATCCCAGAAAGTCTTCTAGCAAAGTTGGTAAAAAGAGCTACTTGGCGCTCCAAGATCCCCATCTACCGATGAAATACGTGCCTCAGAGTTAGCAATGAATGTCGGGACTGAAAACCCAGGGAAGCATGACGATCCAGACATGGTGCAGTTAGTTTTAGCAGAGACACTAGTTGAGGATGCCAGCAAGGTTACAGGCACCGAGCATATGACCGAATATCGCATGACCGTTTTGGAGGAACGGGGCTACATACAAGAGTTAGCAGCACATTTGTTCGAATCAGTCCGTACTAGCTGGTGGTGTGCGGACCAGGAGACGCGAACAAGAATCACAGCAATTTTGCCTCGTTTGCTCGAGGGATTTGCTTCTAGGCTTCGTTATGAGACTGATTACCTCATTTCCCGAGATATTATCACTTTTATTGATGAGCATAGCCGGTACGTGACTTGACGGCTGTGCTAGGATCATTAGCACAAGTTAGGAGATATCAATCTGCTAATCCGAACGCCACGTTGCCATTCTGCCACTCAGGACCTGTTAACTGACAAGCTGAATTCTTTTATTGAAATTACCCTGGAATTCTTGAATGTGGGTTTTATGCAAGGCAAAAGCGATGGGGATAGGCCCTGGCGCTTCGTCTTTGTTACCCGCGCCTGTGGATGGCTGCGCACCCAACTTCGGAGGGAGTTTTGCCTTGCCCCAACAGGACCAAACATCATTCAACAGATCCAATATACTATTATGTCTACGTTCCCGACCGCCCCTGATTGTGATTACAGCGAAGATTCATCTCGTCAATAATATGCTGCTACCTTTGAGCTTCAATGCGATCTTCTTTTCTTTCTCGAAACACAAAGCCCTGAAAAACAGCTGGGCGAGGGCTTTGAGACGGTTTTCACCTTGACTGGATCCGAACTAGATGTTCAAGGAGCACCTTGCGGTTATTACATGCGGCAGACCTGGCCTATGACAGGAGAGGCAATCACTGAGCTGATTACTGGTGCTCTTTGCGTTCAATAAGGGTATACCTTCAAGAGTACGTTCTAAAATCTCGAAGAACATGAATTATTAGTATTAATATCTGACGTATCCCTAGAAACAATGTCGGACGGAACAGAGCTTAGTGCAATCTTTCCTCCACTGATCCTCACGTATTGCCTTGCAGTGATGTCTCAGAGTCCATGCCTGAGTCCGTATAGAATATCTACCATAAGCCACGACATAGCGAAGCCCCTCTTCATCTGTGAGCTTTTTCCCGGTTTAAAGCCAGATAGACCTCCTATCACTGACTGCAATCTACGTGCAGATACAAATTCGACGAGTCTTTGTGTGGATGGAGCAGAAAGAGTTATAGTATGCCATTGTCTTGTTCAATCGAATTGAGGTAGGCAGAGTCTTGACTATATTGCTATCCCTGTAAACTCTTCAAGGACAACATGAATATATCCTTGATGTAAGATATTTAGGCGCAGAAAGGGGAAGTAGGGAGCAAAGAAACTCTAGCTTCCGGATATATGCCTTGCCAGTTTAAATATAGAAGATTCATCATTGACACCCTAGTTATGTAAATTCGGACTCTCATTCTTTTGTTGCTACCATTTATCCCAAACGCCACGCCCCTTTGTTTCTGATATCAGAATGCTAACCTATCAAAAACCTTTCGCTCATTCGCAATGCACACCTCTAAAACGAACCATATGTTTTGCTCCTTTCCCTCCTCCATTGACGATTCGTCTCTCCAACACCACTTCCACGTCGTTTTTGCCAACACCGCTTCCTCTTTTGCAGGTTTCATAGTCCATATTCGTCAAAGTTAACCTCTCCCTCAACGATTAATGCAGCCAATGGCTTATAGTCAGACATTTGGTGGCGACTAGCTCGCTCCATTGCAATCTTCAGTTCTCTGATGCAATCGTCCACAGATCTTCTGTGCCATCTCAGGATCGCATGAACTCGCTCGATATGCCAAGGAATACGAATGGGCATTGTATCTGCTACACTCACAATCTCTTCTCGCCGCATATCCGTCACAAATCGGGCTAGTGCTGCGCATTTCTGGTCAGTAGTTGCCCATAACAGGGACTTGTGGACACGCCCGTTGTAGATATTGACAATGTGCTCGAGGGAATTCGTTTGCATGGAATTCAGCTCCTTCGCTGGGTCACCTTGAGGGAACGTGTGCCCAGGTGAGAGAACAGCCTCAATGCGGGGACGGAGGAAATGCCCATGGAAGAGCTTCATTGTATCGTCGATTTGAAAGCAAAAACATTTGTGCTCAACGCTTTCGCTTAACTCGTCAGTTGCATGAGGACAGGGGGAAAGCGTGGCGTTGGGCTTGACAGTTGGGTAGGCTTTGCATTCCGATTCAATTCTCTTACTGCAATCTTCATCTTGATGTTTTTCCTCTATGCCGCACCAGAAGACAGATTCATTCCAATCGGGGTGTCGATCGAGCGTTATCCAATCAGTATTATCATCGAGGCGAGATTTGACGGCAACACCAACCATGATTTCGATGGCTTTCTCGAGGTCTTTGAAGAGGGCGTCGTCGACCAGACCAATCGGTGTATCGCTGGACAGCGGCGGGAGATCCATGGTGGCAGGCGGAGTCCAGATCAGGATGTTTTTGCTTGTGATTTTGAGGCTTGTGTTTACTTTCAGGGATGAGTATCAGATACGAGAGAGGGCTGTTGATTGGAAAACCGCTGTTGAAGAGACAGCAAAGACTGGCGATGGCGGCGATTTAACTAGAAAAAAAGACACTACGATATCATGGCGATATGGTATTCTGTTCATGGTTCTTTGAGAGACGTGTCATCATGAACAGGCTTTGTGTTGTGATTGTAAACCTATAGAATTGGATTTTCACGACCGCGAGATATTCCGCCACGCCTTTGAGTATCTAAATGGCAGAGAGCAAACATATTTGGATTAGCTGGCGAGAAACCCTTACAATTAGTTCAGCCTAGGGAACTGTCTGAGAGTGCAATTTGAAGAAGAAGAAAAAGAAGGAGAAAAGAGAAGAACTTGAAATCACCATTAGAAGACAAAGACTACGAGTGAAGTGGCAATTATGAACAACCTTTGACATGAACATGAACATGAACACTCACCATCATTACACATATGCGGAACAAAACACTCAGCGCAAACGAACATGTCGTTTTGTTTTGACATATCAAACATTCCATTCATGACCCAAACTATAGCTACACCAATGCTTTGACTATGTACAGTAGATCAAGTGCAGCCCAGGTATTTCCCATGAACAAACTCCTAGTAAAATCAAGCAGCCAACCTCGTTGCTCCACCAAGTCGCCAACTTCTACTTCCAAAAAAGAACCCAAATTATAGTTATGTACGATATCCAAAATATGAAAGGAGGTGCACAAAAAAAAGCAAATGATTCAGTGAAGCTGCCGGGGCAGTCCTCCCAACAGCATCTCTTTGCACACTTTTAACCGTTCCCGTGCTTCCGACAGTAATTCCGTATCTGCCTCTTCTAAAATGTCCACCATCACATCAAGTAAATCTGGCAAGCCCTCATATAACACCGATGACGATTGCTCATCGAGCTCATGTAGCGCAGCAACACTAGATACGTAGTCCACCATACGCGCATAACTGCTGTGTCCAAGCTGCGACGTTGGCAAGGGAAAGCCCTTTCCGGGAGGGCGCCCCAACGCTTGCACAAATGCCCAAATAGCCAACACAGCGTAATACATGATCCACGGTCGGTGAGGGTCTGGCTCGTTACGGATAGAATACTGCATGGCGGCGTGTTCGGGCGGGTGAGGACTGTTTCGACGCCGAGGGTGAGGGTCGACGACGACGCGGTAGAGGAGCTTGAAGGCGTGGAGGATAGCATGGCGGGTCGATCCCTGGTTTGACCAGGCGCTCATGCGTTTGATAACATTGGAATAATCCCTGGATGAGACTTTACGGCCGAGAAGACGCTTGGCGCCGGCATAAACTTGACAATCGACAATGTCGGCATGAAGGCTTATGTGAGCGAGGTGGTAGAGGACCGAGGCACTGTTGATGGGACCATTCGGGATGCCCCGGTGGCCAGGGGCATCAGAGATGGAGTCTGACATGGCAATGTCAAAGCTGCCCTTCCAATTGTCGAATGCTCTGAGCAGCAATTTTCGCCAATTCTCCTGCGTCTCCATCGATGGCGTTCGGATATCCAGCCATTTTAAGTGTGTCTCTCTGTGGTTCAAGTGCCACCCCACGCTCAGCAGCCCCGAAATGATAATCATGCGTCCAAACGAGTGCGTCTTCACTTCCTTTCCATGCAGGGCACTTTTCAGGCCGTCGAGGAAAGATACTTGCTTTACGCCGTACATCCTAAAGTTAGCATCCAGTTGGCGAACGACATCGGGGCTATTCGCCGCCCAGAGGTTGTCGTCACAGGGAAGCGGCAGTCGAATCTCGTGAGGCGCCATGTCAGCGGCATGGCCAAACATTGCGGCGTGAATGACGTCGAGCATAAATGCTGCAAACACCACCCGATGCATGGACTCTGTCTCTGCCCATCGAGCCCACCATGTCCGAGAATCCAGCGCAATGTTTGGGGTTTCTCGATCCGGACCCAGCGAGTCTGGCTCAGGAGGAGATTCGCTACCCGTCCTGCCAATCAAGGGGCTTCCGCGCCTGAGCAGCGTTAAGAATGCTGGATGGTAGATGTGCGCCCTCTCATGAAGTTTTCGAGACGAATACAGCTTTTCGTAAAATTCAAGAAGTAAGAGAGCCTGTAAAACCCAAAGGCTAGCAGGCGGCGCGGAATCATCAGAGGTTAGAATCTCCCACCGCACACAAGATATGATTACATCTGCAAACGGGCCATATTCTGATAGTTGCCCCGTCATATCGCGTCCACGCAATGATGCTGCTCCAAGAGAAATCATGACAAGAAGCAGCAAAATGGGGCATCGGTTCGGAGAAAATGTGTGTTGGTGGATAATGGGGAGTCGAGGTGAAACATTATCCCAGAATTCCTTGAGACAGTCTCTCATCATGTCCACATTTAGCGCGGGCAAGTCGCCGCCGCTTTCGAGGACCAGGTTGGGCATCAATGGCTCGTATCGCGGCTGCTTCTTGCGGAAGGTCTGAAACCAGTGAAGCAGCTCTTGCCGCCTTGATTCCGTGATCCAGTCGTCTGACGATGACTCGGAGAGTCGGTGAGGTTGGTCCATGGGTGACAGGCTGGTGAGGGACTCGTAGTCGTAGTGAATATTGTTGTTGAAGGTGGATTCCAGGCCTCCTTCAAGGAAAGGAAGACCTGCCATGCTAAAATCACTGTAAGTGGTCTGGGGATCGAATAGCCAGGCTGCAAAGTTGCCCTGTGACAAGGAGTCGTCGCCAGGATACCCAACACCTCCAAAGTCCACCATCCCCGACGACTCCGGCAGAACCGACGGGTCGGTTGCGTAGAAACTCGGCCTGTGTCGCATGATGTTGCTAGAAGCCGTGCGGTCGTCAAGCGACGGCGCCCATGTTGTGGCCGGGTGGGCTGCTCTGCCCGTCGTCAGCGGATGGCTCAACGGCCCGGGCGTCGAGCCCGTGTTGGAGTCGGGCGTCAGCAGAATGGCGGCATCGTGAGGCCCCGACGTCGACACCTGGTGGTGATGCTGACTGTACGACGGCTGTGGCTGCGGCTGGGCGGCGACGCTATGGCGATCGGGCGGCGACTTGATCGTGACATCGCCGCCAGTGTCGAAGCTGGGGATGCGGTTCCGCGGCGTGTACGAGGCCGTGTGTCGCTTCTTGTGGCGCGACAGCAGGTCGAGTCGCACAAACTTCTGGTCGCAGTCGCCCACGTCGCAGCGGTAGATCTCCTTGGGGTTGTCTGTTGATGTGGCACATGTCAGCACTGCAAGGCGGAAACGAGACCGGCGACTGGGACTGGGCTCTCCTACGGTTCAGCTGATGGCGCTGCAGATGCTCGGCGCGCGAGTAGATCTTGTCGCAGCCGGCGTGGTCGCACACAAAGCGTCGCGGCGCGCCCTTGCGGCTGGCGCGCTTGTACGACGACGAGTTGGTGACACCGCCGTTGTTGCTGTTGCTGATGCTGTTGCTCGCGCTGCTCGCGCTGGACCCCGAGGCTGTGCGCGCGGCGATGCCCGTCGTGATCGAGGCCCCGAAGACATTCGCAGTCTGTGGCGACTCCATCCAGGTCATCTATTCATTGCCGGCCCCCGTCGACGAAGCCAGCGTGCGATTGTGTGCTTTTGCTAGCGGAGTCTCTCGTTTCTCTGCAGCGAACCCTGGCCAGCAGCAGCATCAGCGTCCGCATCGGCAATGGATCTGATGCCAAAGGGTCTTTTCCGTTCCGGCACGGCTCACTTACGCGGGGACGCAGAGCTGGGGAAATAAGGAATCCCACGTTTCGACGTTTCTGGGGTGACCCCCACCGAGGCTTTGATGGCCATGTTTGACGGACAAAGGTGCCGAGTAGCAGATCAAAAGACGGGCGCCAATAGTGCGTTCTGGGCTTTAGCAGAGTGGCGAGAGTGGCTTCAGCTCTATCAGCAGCTGGAGCTTATCCGATAACAGTGGCGGTGCGCAAATCCGACTCTGGAGACATCGGAATCGGTGGGGGTCAATCCTATCGACTGTACTCCGTATGTTGCCCACCAATCTCCAAGGCTCCATCAACATGTTGCTCCATAAACTGGACCTCTGATCCTCTTAACTCGGTACATCTCCTCTTCTCCGCGTTAGTCTCTCTATGCTACGTGGTAGCATTTCCCGTTTATCGGTAGCATAGTTCCGGTATCAAACGCGCCTTGGCAGGCATCCCTTATCGGCTGTGGATTCCGAATCCTGAACACCACAGACTCGACAGTCCTGGAGTAACACTTATCCGGCGTCGACGTATTCTAGATGGAAATACCATGTTCATCATGAGTTCACGATTTTCCATCACTTTCTGCTTCTACTAGCAACCATCAATCCAGGCTATTGGCACCTTTCGTTCCCAAACTGAGTCCACGAGCAATCTTAGGCTTCTTAGTATGCTAATGCAAATTCATAAATTAGAGCGATAATGCTCTTCAAAGTCTATCCGAATCCAGGTCATTGTTTATGTAGTATCCTTTTTTGTTCCAACAGACCCATCCATATCTGTCCAGTCCCGTAGATGAAGCCGCCGCCATGACAACTCGTCTCCCAACCGTAAAGCCAACAAAAATTTTTCTCCCGTTTATCAAATACCCTCCAACTCATCATGAAGCAGAAGCTTGATTCTCCTCTCCTTCGCCCTCAGTCTCGTCCAGCTTGACAGCCTCCACGGCGCCGTTCAATCCGCTCTCCTGGTTCTTCTCCTCCAGCATGCCGGCAGATGCCAAAAAGAACTGCGCAACGTCGTTGTGTTCGTTAAAGTAGGCCAAGTCCAGGGGAACGTAGTTTCGCTCGTTGGCCAGTGCAGGTGAAGCACCTTGTTCCATGAGAAGCTTGACAATGTCCAGATGGCCTCCAAGTGCTGCCCAGTGCATACCGGTGTTGCCATGTTCATTGGCATCGTCCAGGAAAGTCTTCTTCTCCTCCTTTGGTCTCTCATCAAAGTATTGAATGAGTTTGCGAACAGTTTCTGAACATCTCATCAGCTTTCCGATTCTCCCCACCAGATTCCTGTAGCTCGACTGAAGGAGTTTCACAGCCCGTGCTGACTACTCTCAGAAACTATACATGGAATTTCCTTACCTAGATGGCCATTTCCTGCCGCCATGTGTAAAGTCGTTGATTTGCCCTCATCCTTCGCGGCCAGCAGAATCTCAGCTGGTGACGCCTTCTCGCGCTCTGACAGGGCCGTCAGCGTCTCTGTCAGATCCGCATCTTCGCCTACTCTGGCGAAATAGACGAGATCGTCGATTTCTTCTTCTGTGAGATTCGGCGCCATGGTGATATATGACTTCACTCGCTCTTCTTTGGTTTGCAAAGATAAAATTTTAGCACTCTTCTTCATTGGTGGAGGGGACTGTGTGAATCTTCTGCCCCGCGATTCTGGCACTGTGCGCTGCCATTTTCTTCAAAGAGTTTCCGGGTAAGTGGATACACCAGCGACGGTTTAAATCGCAGAACCTAAGTACCTACAAGTAGCATAGAAGGACAATGACTAGAGCAGATGCATGTAATATGAGTTAAAACGTCATAGAGATGTAGAGAGGCAGATATGGGAGCTATTGTAGAATCATCATTCATACTCAAGGCGAGCTTGCAGACGATACACATACCCCCTATCTCATCTTGAGCTATTGTTGGTGAAAAGAAAACGACCCAGCCAAGATGACACGAGATAACCTGGATCAACGGAAGAAGAAAATTGTGGTGAGCAGCTTACCAAGGTCGGTGTCCGACGCCATCGAGGTACCAAAGGCCTGGGAATCCGATACCTCTGGGTTGATGCCATGTGCATCGTTCAGCCGAATAACGATGGCTATTATGACCACTAGACTATTGAAACAGCTAAAATGGGGAGCTATGACAGCAACGCTCTCTGTTGTATATCGGCTATTTGTGCCCACGACAGTTCTGAGGGGTTGATTTGAGAACGGCACGCAGCTCGATATCCTTGGACAGAGAAAACAATGCATGTTGCACGACGAAAGCTCTTATACAATCGAGTTGCCATACGAGATGACTACCCCAGATCTCGAAACTATACCGCTGATGTATCGCAAATGGGGCAAGAGAGAATATTGTCTACCAGGAGATTACACTGGACCACAGCCGGTCTGATGTGGGAATGCAGCAGTGGTGCCTACCGAGAAAATGGGCCGCTGCGAAATCTACGCCAGCGGCCACAAACTTTTCCCGGAGCTCAGAGAGATGCTTTTACCGACCAGATTTTGAGTCTTCCCAAAGAAGAAGCACTGGGATTTGCCTGGTTGTTCTCATGGAACTGTATTCAGAATTGAAGTCGACGGTGATATCAGATTGTCTCGCAGCTATCCATGGGATTGCCAGTCGTCTCTCTCTGCTACACGATGAAAAGTACTTGGGTGGTCTTTTCAAAACATACGACGGGCAAGGTCTGGCTTGGACAAGCCAGTCATATGAGAAGTCTACATCCAAGGGGTTTCCTAGCTAGAGTTGGGGGTCCATTGGCTCCTGGTGCTTCGAATATCTTCGACTTGAAAACGTAAACCACTCTAGTTTCACATCTTTGGCTCAATGGGTGGAATCTACACGACTGCTAGTGATTGACACCATTCTGGACTTGAGCAACCGTTCCATGCGAAGGATCCGCGTAGAAGCCCCGTTGATGACTTTAAGAGTTGAGGTATTGCGCAAATATAGGCCTGCAAGCTCATGGTTAACGCTGTATTGGGATAGCATAGGCCCTGTTTGGCAAGGACAGCCTGTCTATATTACCATGTACTGTCGTGTAAGTGCTTCTTCAATACCAGCGACACTGGATTTCCTTGTATGCCTTGAGGGCAAGCCTAACTATTTTGGTATGATAGTGGAGGGGTCAGGAAAAGACGGTGAGGGTGCGTATATACGAGTAGGATCATTTGAGATTCAGTCGACAGGAGGAAATGGAAATGACTATCTAGAAAAGTGGATGACAGAAATCGACATCTATTAGGGTATCATAACTATGAAATAGTAGCCACACGCACTGGATATCCTCGCTTCTACTAGGATGACTTTGGATCCCATGTGGCTATTCTCTCAAGAACCTAGATACCGTCTTATTTATGGAAGGAGCTGCTCAAGCTTGAAGTCAAGCCAATCAGCGAGATTTCCTGCTTCATCAAGCCATTGTATCTCGGCTTTGACACCCATCATCAACATTACTTGAAGCTCCCTCTGAGCTTCGACAACTTCGGGGTCATCTTTGACATCTAGAAGCTTTTCTAAAATACCAACAGCGACTTTGCGATCGCGTGTTGAAAGGAATGAAACTGGATCACGGCACTCGGTGGACGAGATTGAAGATTTCGAGCTATTACTCTCTTGAGACGATTGACTAGTTGGTGATTGCTGGGTGGTTGAAGAGTGTCTTGTCGAATGATTGAGATAACGCTCATATTCTAAAAGATCTTGTGACTTTATTCCTAGCCAGCGTATACCCGGAGTTGTAACATCTGTTTCTTGGATTGCAGTGTTGGATTTGAACCGATAGCAGCGGAAGATATTGAGCCCATCCGGGTCATAGTCGACTAGTGCAAATATCGGAATCTGCGGACAATTGAAGCGGATGAGCTGCAAAAACGAGCAGGTTAGTATGTCCGGATACCCCTTGGCCTTCACAGGGATCAAGTTAGCTACTACACACAAAGTGTTCGTTCGATGGACTTGCTGTTATTATGATGCCTGGACCAACACGAGACGTTTGCCAAAACGACGAAGATGTCAAAGAGCGAAACACCGCCTTAAAAGAGAGTTAGCAGATCAACAAACATGGGGACACTAAAGGATTGCACAAACATCTTTCTCAACAACGAGGATCCACCGGGTGGCTGCGCAGTTCAAGGCGGCAATTGATCCAGTCGTTGGTAGCGTAATCCCCTGCCAAGCATTAAGAATAAAACAACAAGCGGTATAAGCAAGTCGACAAACCGCATCACCTGTGGCAGGACCAATCACCCTATCATCAAGAAGGCGAAGGCTGAGAGGTCCTGAGAAGACTCCTTTTGAAGATGCGACCTAGATCTGTTAGAAGGGTGCTCAAATGAGCAACCGGTCACGCCGTCACTTGACATACAATATTCAACTCATCACGGTGGATGCCAAGCGTGAGGGCAATACCGTCTACAAGCTTGTCCACCGTTCTCTGGCTGCCAAACAGTTCTTGGTGCTGGTAGAAGATGTGGCTGGTTCACCGCGACAGCCACCCATTGTCAGAATTAAGCAGCGCCAAGAAGTATAACAAACCAATTGTACTAACCGCTTGGTCAATACGATTCCCGAAACCAGAGCGTCGTGGGCGAGCTGCAAAATGAGAAGTATCCGAGCTTGGAACCACAGTATGAGAGGCAGAACACAAGATGTACTCGCTTGAGCAACAGTGCATACCGAATTTTGTGGCCTCCTGCGCACACCTTCCTGGGAAATGGACCCTTTGGGTGGTCTGACCGTCTCTAGCTGTAGTCAAGTCGATGCAGAGCTCCTTTCCTTCGGCCAGACAGTCCAGGATAGACTCCAAGATGGACTCGATTCGGGAGATGACCGCCCCAGCCGAAGTCGTGTTCCCAGGCTGGGTGACAATGCGCTCTCCATCGCGGGGTATGACGTCCATTGTTGTCCAATCCGGGATATTTGCATGTGATAAATGGGCAAATGGTGCGTTCGCAGTCCCGGACTCTTGAGCAGCCCGTGAATTGGAGTCGTGCAACGCAGCTTCAAGTGGCAGGCGGTTGTAGTTGAAGGCGAAGTAAGAACTGAATTCGAATTCGAGCCGCTGATGAACGAATACGAAGGCTAGGAGGGGTTTAAGTTCCAGTCCCCTATGGAGGACACACCACAGGTGCATTAGCGGTGAATCTCGCAGCTTTTAGCGCAAATGCCCGCCAAAATTGGCTGCCACCGCCCCCACAGGAACCAATGGATGTCACCATTCAGGCACAAACACCGCTAAGCAGCGACAAATTGCCTGAAGCGGGAAACGTGGAGCAGAGTCTTGGATGACGCTAAACATTAAACCCCTTCGCTGAATTTGGATCTGCTTGTGCACCTTTCTCCTTATAAAGCTTTGGAACGGCTCCTAACTTTCGGCCTCTGATCAGTTGGCCATTCGCAGCGACCAGAGCCTTTTCTACCAAGATGGTCATCGCAACGGGTCGAGATATCGGCAGCGTCAAGTCCCGCAAGCGAGCCTCTGACGACTCTGCGGACAGCTTTCCCAAGCGGCCCAAAATTGGTGGCAAGACTGACCTCACAAGATGGCGAATGAGGGACGACGAGAGTCGCCATACGTGGCACTATCTCGAGGACGACAAGGCAGCTGAGGAGTGGCCGCAGAGCTTTGCTGAAAAATGGTATCTGAATCTGCCCACGGTATGTCTCTCAACAGCATCGAGACCATCAATTAGCAACTGCAAGACTGACAGAGTTGTCACATTCAGGATCTCCCCGCTCTGCCGAAAGCCACTACACCGCTCGAATCCGCCGAGAACGGCCTTACCTTCTTCGAAAAGCTCCAATTGCCCTCTGGCCACTGGGGCTGCGAGTACGGCGGTCCCATGTTTCTTCTGGTGGGCGTTGTCGTTGCTTGGTACGTGACGAAGACGCCCATCCCCGACGCCTACGCGACCGAGATCAAGAACTACCTCACTGCACGGGCGCATCCCAAAGATGGCGGCTGGGGACTACACATTGAAGGAGAGAGCACAGTCCTCGGTACCGCTATGAACTACACCGTCCTTCGACTCGTTGGCGTGGACCCTGAGGAGCCCATCATGGTCAAGGCCAGAGCAACTCTGCACAAGCTGGGCGGCGCAGTGAATGCCCCTCACTGGGGTAAATTCTGGCTGGCAGTCCTGGGCGTAGTGGAATGGGATATCGTGAATCCTGTGCCTCCTGAAATCTGGCTGCTGCCCGATTGGGTCCCAATTGCTCCGTGGCGATGGTGGATTCACATTCGACAAGTGTTTTTGCCTATGGGTTACATTTATTCCAAGAGATGGAGCTCTGAAGAGACGGATGAGATCCGGGGCTTGAGGGAGGAGCTATTCGTCACGCCCCATGCAGAGATCAACTGGGCGAGCCACAGAAATAGCATTGCGCCTATTGACAACTACAACCCAAAGTCATGGCTGCTCAACACTGTCAATTGGGTTTTGGTCAATGTTTACAATCCATACCTCCGCTTCAACTTCCTCAAAGAACGAGGAGAGCAATGGGCAAGTGAGCTTATCGACATGGAAGATGCGAATACAGACTATGCGGGCTTAGCACCGGTCAATTCTCCGATGAATATGATTGTACGCTATATCCGGGACGGCCCAGATGCGTACAGTGTACGGAGGCACAGGGAGCGACTGGAAGAATTCTTGTGGGTCAAGGATGAGGGAATGCTATGCAACGGCACAAACGGCGTCCAATGCTGGGATACTGCTTTCGCAATCCTGGCTGTTGTTGAGTCGGGGCTGCACGACAAGGAGCGCTGGCGACCTATGCTGTTGAAGGCGCTTCAGTATTTAGAGCGCCAGCAGATCAGAGAAAACTGCAAAGACCAAGAGAAATGCTACCGACAACCCCGAAAAGGTGGCTGGCCATTTAGCAACAAGGATCAGGGATATGGTGTCAGCGATTGTATCTCGGAAGCGCTCAAGGCTGTCATCTTACTGCAAAAGACAGAGGGTTACCCACAGCTTCTTGAAGATCAGCGAATTTTCGATGCCGTTGATACGCTATTGCTCTATCAGAACGACAATGGCGCGGTCTCATCATACGAGCAGCGAAGAGGTAGCGAGTACTTGGAGTTGCTCAACGCGGCGGAAGTATTTGGCAGGATCATGGTTGAATACGACTATCCCGAATGCACAACAGCATGTGTCACAGTGCTGTCCCTATTCCGCAAGCACTGGCCCGAATACCGAACTGACGATATCAATCTGTTCATCAAGAGAGCTACCAACTGGATCAAGGGCCACCAAAGGCCTGACGGCAGCTGGTATGGCAGCTGGGGAATTTGCTTTACTTATGCCGGAATGTTTGCGCTGCAAAGCATGGCTGCTATCGGAGAAAATTATTCCAACAGCCAAATTGCCAAGCGAGGCTGCGATTTTCTCATTTCAAAGCAGCGCGAAGACGGTGGATGGTCTGAGAGCTATCGGGTAAGGAAAATCCTACCATTTTGGCACCCCAGAGCCACAGTCTCATTGGATTATTCCGCTAATATAACAATTCTAGGCTTGTGAAACCATGACATACACTGAGCATGAATCGGGATCTCTTGTCGTGCAGACGGCATGGGCCCTGATTGCCTTGCTCGAGGCAGATTACCCCGACATGGAGCGAATCAAGAAAGGTATTAAGCTCATCACCGACCGACAACAGGCAAATGGCGAGTGGCTGCAGGAGAGCATTGAGGGCGTTTTCAACAAATCTACCATGATTTCCTATCCAAACTACAAGTACACGTTTACGATCAAGGCGCTGGGGCTGTTTGCCAAGAAGTATCCAGACGAGAAGCTATAATGGGGAAGAGCTGGCTTTGGATATATAAACTAATGATGAAGTTTGCTGGCGATGGAATTGGGAAAAGTTAATATTTAATTTTACACGATAGGGATTGATAATGAATGATTCAGCAGAAGCCTTTTCTGCAAACTATCGTAGCATAGCAAAGCGGCCTGACGAAATCATGTTAGAGGAGTCTAATCACGCAACCTAATATAGGAAGAAACAACAAATGAAACGTACTATATGTCTATATATGTACATGTGAGATATGAGTATATCTCATTAACTGCTTGGTCGTTACCCACCCCTTTCTATAATCAGCGCTTGAAAACATACACAGGCCCTCAACTCCGAATACACTGTCTGTGACTAATACAATTTTAAGGAAGCAACAAAGAAGGCGAAAAACAAAGGGAAGAAAAAGAATTCGAAGAAACAGAGCAAAAGCAAGAGTCGATATGTTGGTACACGCATATCAAAACAGGCCGGTAGACGGCCAAACAACAAAGTTAGTGTTCGTCGGGTATCATCATCACTTTCAACCTCCAGAAGCATCGTCCATCAGCGGCTCATCTCATATCTCGCGCCAACCCTGGCCTTGAGGGAGAGTAACGCCTTTGACCGCGGCTGGCTCCGTTAGTTGTTCGCTAGGCTCCAGCTCGCCCTTCATCTGCTCCTCACTCTGCTCGATCTTTTCTGTCGTCGATTTGCCGCTCTCTTTCTCCTCTGCTTCTCCCATGCCAATGGTGTCGATCCACTTCCAGCTGTCAACAACATTGTTCGCGCTCCTGTCGAAAATGGCTTTGTCGGCGTTCAATCCATCAGCGACCGCATCCGAGCTTGCATCCTTCTTTGCAAGATCCAGCTTGTCTATATGAGCGCCATCAACAAGGTCTCCAATCCACGTCCGTGCCACGGGAATGTTGTTTGCTCGCAGGAATTGCAGCTGTGCCCTTAAGTTCAACCGAAGAGCACGCTCCGGCTCGACAGCGTTAAACACCTTTTTGGTCAACAGGGGAAACAAAATGCCAAAGTCGGATTGACTCAGGTGAGCTGAGTTGACAACATAGAAGAAATTGGGCTCAGCAAGTTTGTTGCCGCTGGGTCTCTCAAAGATCTCTGGAGTCACAACCTTTGCCGTTGGATCGGGTGATAGCAATCGAGCTGTGGCGTGGAGATGCTCAGACCATTTGAAGAAGGCATCAGAGTCAACAGCCAAGAGAGCGTTTCCGCCCGCTGCTGAGGGGACATCGTCATATAATGGGAGCGGCACCTTGTATAGAGCGCTGGAGTTGGGAGACAGCAGGGGCATGCACCACATATCCAGGAGCATAGTGACGCTCTTCTCTGTCACCTGCTTCCGAATACTGCTGTCATCTGCAGGAGTGAACAATGGCGCTTCCATGCCAGCAATCTCTGGAACAGCAGCGTAATAGGTGCTCTTCAAGAGCTGGTACATGGTAGTGGAGCCAAAGCTGTGGCCGGCAAAGATGATGCTGCCAGGGTCGTTCACATGCAGGCGGCCAACAAACTGGCTCAAGCTTGGGGTAGTGAGGTTGAGATTGGTAAAATCTCGGCCGGCGTCCATGGCCAAGATAGCCTCGTGTATCAGGCCCATCTCCCACAACCTGATCCTTAGCTGCGCTTCTCTCGCTTCGTATACTTCTGGCGATACTTCGTGAGAGATTCGATTGTATGGGATGACCTTCCGGGCAAGGCGACCGTTCTGGCCGGGAACGCGAACAAATGAGGTAACGGAGCTTCCATCTCGATGCTCAGGGCAGATGACAACAACTCCATGGGAGGCGAGGGATCCAGCAATGTATGAGTACGAGTTTCGGCTGCCTCCAAGACCATGCGAGAAGATCATGGTCGGCCATCGCTTGTTTTCGGTCTCGGGAGTCGCTAGTGTAGCATTTTTATGGGCGGGTATGGAGGTATAATGAAGATGTCGGGGGAGAAATCTATCACATCAATGTCAGTCTTGCCCTCTTTATTCAAACAAAAAAGATAGCAACATACGAGAGGAGCTCAGCCAGCGTGTGTCCAACGCCCATGAACTTGGTGTAAGCTGAAACATAGTGTCTTTGCGGCGCAGGCAGCCAGCTAATCAGCTTCTCGTTCGACTCTGCGACAGCTGGGTAGAAGACTCGGAACAGCACTGTTGGAATATCGCTGGCATTGTCGGGTCGTGGAGCTGGCGAAGGAAGATCGGCGACTGGAATCTCGACGTCAAGCGTACCGACTTTGAACGGCCCGGTATACTCGGGGAAAGCTGGCACGGGGTTCAATTTGGAGAGATAGGCAGAGAGCCTGGAGGTCGCAGAGGGCTCTGGGCCTCCAATCATGGTGGCGAATGTTTGATCGGGTTGGTGGTGGTGGTGTTGTTCAGATGAAGTGGCGATGACCTAATCGATCGAGTCCGGAAAAAGTTTCGAGATTGGCGAAACAAGCTTTGTTGAGGTGAACAACGAAAAAGAAGCGAAAGAGAGGGAGAAGGCAATATGAAGAGAATTTTACAGAGAGAAATCTAAATTCAAGATACGAGAAGTGAAACGCGAATTTTAGAACGGAATATTTAAAAAAGTATATTTAGGGGGAGGAATTGAAATGAGAAAGAGAATTGGCTGTGAAAAAAAGAAGGCCGATAATGTATGATGCGCCAAGGTTTCGGAGGCTCAGCATGTTTACAGTGACGCAAGCCCCTTTCCTCGCCAGCAAATAGACATCCAGATGGCCCATTACATCAGCATCACAAGCAAAACAGGGCTGGTAGGGCGGTATAGCTTCGTTTACAATGGGTCTTGGGCCTTGAAGATGGCAGCCAATGCCGTCGATGGCTCTGGGTCCAGCTGCAGAATTCTGGATACCGTCACGCGACTCATGGTTCTTTTCTCTCTCACTTTTTATCTAGACTCCGTGGCACAGCATCAATCTGGCGGTAAAGATGCATATCTATGGCTCCATTCCTACTGTAGCACGGGAGACGAAAAAAAGTGGTGAAGGCGAAAATGGGTGCAAAGCAGATGCTAAGCTGACTGGGCGTGGAGCTGGTGTTAGAGACAGCGAGAGGCTAAGCCAATTCGGCTACCGACGCTTTTGTCTGAGATGAGAGACCTTGTGTCTTGTTGCTCGTTTGGGACAAGCAGAATGACGGACATGCCGTATCTGTGGAGAAGAATATGAAAAGAATTTTGGAATTGGAAAAGAAGAAATTGTCAAGGTAACAGAGAAGAATCTGGCGTGAGTATGCCCTATTATCACATGCTTTTCGCTGCTGTCTGTAGCCAGCTTGCGTGTAAGTAAAGGGCTGAGAGTCGAGAGCTGGTCGGCCGCCTCTCATGCAGCGCAAAGTTTGTGATAAAGCATATGCAGGGGCAAATACGAGATACAGAACCATCTTACTCAGATTTTGCTGCGAAATACGGTATGCTGCATATCAGTTCCATCCAATGGCAGCAGTTTTGAAGCGAAGAAGATGATCAAGATGAGATCCAATCAATGATTGTCATTGACGTAGAGGACGTTCATGCTTAGTCATTGGATTCGCCCCGCCTAAACAAGTATATTTCCGTATATGGAAATTGGAACTGTTCCTATTCTGGGGCCAGTACAGAGTATAAGAAGTAGTTCAGCTGGCACAACGTCGATATAACTGCGTTCTAGTGAGGGAAGAAGTATTTAGGATGCCTACATTCAAGCTCATTACCATGACAATGACTTTGAATTGTCCGCCCAACTTGTGCTTCGGTCTTTCATTGGGTACTCTGTTACATCTACTGCAGCTCTGGGAGCTGTTCTAGCTCGAAGCACAGTAGCATACCTAGATGACAGACAGTGAAATCACCTCACACACGACAAACGTAGCTATTCTACCATTACGAGACTCATAAATTTGCCTATTAGGAATTGAAGGTCGTTGTGGATGTTTCATATTTGGCTATCAATTTCGGCAACTATTTGTCATTTCCATCGTTACATTGGAGCAGGAGACTTCCTTGCATGTGTCTACTCAGCTTGGGCTTATACTGCAGCTCAAAATATATGAGTCTATAACGGCTAATGCTCAGCAATAGTTGCCATATTCGGCATATGGAAGAATCGCCAGATGTGTAATTATGCTACTCTCAACACACCCAATGCAGTTATTATTCGCCATTACCCCAAAACTAAAGTGTCACCACCGGGTCATCCGGATTGGCTTCCAAATTCACGCCTCGCTGCGCTGTCAACCCGTCACCATCGTGAGCTAATTCTCATATGTGTTGGTGCTGCATCTACGGGGCGGGCGAATCGCTAATTGCTTGCGTGGTGAGCCTTGCGGTTGGGTCGCCAAAGTCGCTTCAACATGTCCGATCCCCCGCTAACACGCCCTGTGATGATGGGAGCATGGTGGGGTAATCCTTCAGTGTTGCTGTTGATGTTGATTGCACGCTACGTCAATACGGATTTACTCTCTATTTGCTATTCACTGTATATAGCTTGGTACTTTATCCTCTGTTTTGTTTCGAATTGATATCCTTATCTCTATTGTTTCTCATTTCATTTGCATCTCGAATACAAAATGGCTTCCACCAACCAATTGGCTCAGACCCTCAAGGCCCTTCATAAGCCTGGGTCTCCTCTCGTTCTGTCCAACGTCTGGGACATCGCTTCTCTAAATGCCATTGTTTCCTTGAACTCAGGGTCGTCTAAACCTGTCAAAGCACTAGCCACAGCATCATTTGCTATTGCTGCTACACTGGGAATTAAAGATGAAGAGCTTTCTATGGAGCAAAATCTCGAACTCATCTCCAAGATTGCTCCCCTTGCGGAGCAAGCAGGCCTTCCTCTTTCAGTAGATATCCAAGATGGATACGGCGACCTCATCACAGCAGTTGTCACCGCAGTGGTCGAATACGGAGCTGCCGGTGCCAACATCGAGGATAGCATTCCTTCCGCCGGGTTTGACAAGGGAATCTCAAGCTCCTTATACACGCTTGAGGATCAGGTAGAACGACTCAAGCGCGCAATTGATGCCGCCAAAAAAGCTGGTGCTCCAGACTTTGTTCTCAATGCTCGATGCGACGCCTTTCGCCTCTTGCCAACTCCCGGTTTGACATACGAGATTAGGCTCGAAGAGGCCATTAAGCGCGGCAAAGCATTTCTAGCGGCTGGGGCAACTACCGTTTTCTACTGGGGTGGTGCGGGACAGGGTCTCACCAGTGAAACTGTCAAGACATTGGTCAAAGAGCTGGATGGCAAAGTGGCGGTTGTCATGTCTGGAGCACCTGGTTCCCTCACCACAGCTGAACTAGCCCAAATTGGCGTCGCGAGAATCAGTGTAGGGCCTGGCCTTTACCACGCAGCTATGAATGCCGTGAAAACTGTGGCCTCGCGAATGTTCTCGGGAGGTGGGCTGGCTTAGGCGCCATATAAGCAATGCTTGGCTGAATTGTATATAAGCAGAAAAATATCTTGTAAAAAAGCATTCTGTCGTATAAGGAATGAAACCAAGTTGAATGAATGCCAGTTTATGATTCCGATGCTACCAGATTGCTATGTACTTTGACAATCTGCATATAAGTGCAAAGAATCAGATGTCTGCACGGTGAAGCTCAGGACATGCGCCAGATTGCTTCGCTCTAGCGGCTAGCTCTTGTATACAGGTTTTATCAACTTTTAGAACAGTCCAGTCATTCATTCGCTTTGCCCCAAGTTTCTCATAGAATCTCAGTGCTTTCTCATTGTTCAAAAGGCAAACCCAGTCCATTTTTACACATCCTGCTGCTTCCGCCGCAGATGCCATTGTTTCAATTAGTATCTGCGCATATCCATGGCGCCGATATTCAGGCACAACATATAGCTCTTCCAGACACACACCGGGAGCAGCCGTCCAGGTCGAATAGTTATAGAAATAAATCAGCAACCCAGCAGGTTGCTGGTCCGGAGAAAAGATGAGCAGCGCCCATGCAAATCGGCCTGTTGTTTGTGTCAATGGATCTGAAGGCGGCCCAAAGTGCAGCGTCTTGGCGAGACTATCTTCGGTTGCGGCTATCTTAGTCCCGGGAGCTTGCTCTTCTGCTGCAGACTGGATAAATTGTAAAAGAAGGGAAACATCTAGAAACATTAGCATCGGGAGTTTTGCCGTGACAAGAATGCGACTACCTTCAAGACGAGCATATCGGACTGACGCGGGCAGAGGCATGGCATCAGTGCAGCCTTTTCAGCTCGAGACTTTCTTAGAAAAATTGTTTGAGCATAAAACTATAAGAAATATATACGTGTACCATCACTTACTCGATTGGTGGATAGTTTCTGCTAGTCTGAGGCGCGAGATTGTCAAGTACGCCCTGCCATTTGACAAGTACATGCATCTACAGTGTGGAGACTTGATATAGTAGAACAGCAGACGAAAATCTTCAGCTTAAGCCACATATCTATAAATACGCGCTATTGAGCTGCTAGACCAACGTGCGCGATGTAAATAACTACGTAAATCTGTCGTACCGTGGTCCATATTCTCCCTCTAAGCTATTCATAGAGACAAGTGTACAAAGTGCCAACGCTGTGTGCCATACAACTCCTTCGAGAAAGACAGCCACCTATACGGCCCTCTGACTTGCGCCGGCTATAGGCTGCACCCACTCTATCCTGGAGCGCGTAAACGCCTCTAAATCAATTACCGCAGTCGAAATGATCTTGTCGGCGTCATCCAAGGTCCCAGCTTTGAGCACTTTATTGGGGCCAGAAGTGGGAGACTCGCGCCACATCATACTCCCGCAGTCACCGCAGAAGTAGCTGACAATAGTGGCTCCCGAATCAGCGACTTTGCTGAAGACCTTTGGCGTGCCGGCAGTCACCCGGAATGCTGCATCGGGGATGAGAAAATTGACGCTGTAGCTGCTGCCACTGATTTTGCGGCAATCATGGCAGTGGCAAAGAACCTGTGACGATGTCCCAACGCAACTTCAGTTTAGCAATTCTATGCTTCTAGGCGGTTACAAATGGAATCGTACTGACTTTTGTTACCGGCTCTGCATCATACATGTAGCGAACCTTGCCGCAAAGGCAGCCGCCGTTGTGGGGAGACATTTCTCCGAGTAAGAGAGAGAGTATGAGCGCGGACTGCTTATTGAGTCAGATGAATTGGCGAAGCGAACCTGAGGGCATATATGTAACGGAGATATGCCTATGAGAAAACGATATTGTATGTAATCTTTGATGGAAATCTCGTTGTAAATAGGTAAAGACGACGGTGTATGTAGTTCTTACATGCGCTTACGTCTCATCTTATCCAGAGCACGGGAAATACATTATTCCCTTGTGTTGAAAGCCAATGGAACCAAGTGGATCAGTATACAGGTTACACTCGAGCTGAATGGTAGCATCAAGAGCATACGAGCATATGAGCATACGAGTGTTATCAAGGAGCGAATCCCCGCTCTCCTCCAATCCCTGTGCACATACTTGCGGGGTCGAAAATATCGGTGCCAAGGGATGTTCTAACTAGCCCAGCGCAGCGAAAATTTCGGAATATCCCAACCTATGAAGTGCAAAATGCTGTGAGGTTTAGCAGGGCTACATCGCAATGATATAGATGAGTCTAAGTTGGGCTAGAAGTGCATTCCAGGGAGCTTTCATCGAGCTGACATAAACAGAACACATTAGCAGACTTACATTGCCAGAAAATAGAGACATCTACTTGATGATAGAGAAGGGGGGACATAACAAACTACATCGAGCAATGCAGCTTTTTGAAAATACAAAAATTGCTTTCAAGTATTGAGATGAAAGTGCACAGCTATCGAGTCCTTACACTAAGAAGCTGTAGTCATAATCTCACCAGGTCTTCAAAGCGCAAACAACGTAAAGTTTACTGTCGCATACACACGCAACTTCATGTATACCCCCATCACCAAATTTATTGCAATTCCAAAACGTGCTGCAGCTTTTCCAAGGCCCCAAACAAATCATTGTCATGATGCTTCCTCGCCAATATCTGCAAACCAATAGGCGCCCCTACAAAGTCACCCTCTTCCCATAGCTTTCGCACATGTCTATCCTGTTCATTGAGTGGCGGAGGAGTATCCGCTGCGTAGCCTTCAGCACCTTTAGCTCCAGCTTTGATAGGCGTGGGGAAAACGACGCCAGGACAATCGACATAGTTCCAGAAACAAGTGTAATTCCAGTAAAATCCAGTTTCGTGCTCACATGCCGGACCAACAGAGGCGGGGCAAATGATGAAGTCAACATCCTGAGATTCCCAGTGGCGCGCAAAATCACTCCTAAAATTATCGCGGGTGACATGTTGTTGCAGAATTTCCATTGGGCTGAGCTCGACTCCATCAATATCCTTCAACTCCCATTGAGTCAGAGGAAGCATTGGCTCGCCTGAGGCAGCTAGAACCTCTCTTACGCCTTTGCCGCCATCTGGCCAAAGCGCAAGATGTATGTTCTTGAGAGCTGTGGCCACTTCGTACGGCTCAAAAGATTTGACAGAAAAGGCATTCGAAGACTTTAGTTTCTCCGCTGCCCAGTTCAAAGCCCGAGTGACTGGCGGCTGTGGAATGATAAAGCCGTCATTCATCATGATGCCAATCTTCAGCGGCGAGGTCTTTGGTGTTGTGTTGAGACCCGTCCATGGAATGGGGATGAGCCTTGGATCTAACAAATGTGGTTTAGATGCGAGAGCAACGGAAGTAAGGAGATCCAAGTCTCGCAAAGAAGTGCCCATTGGGCCTATTGAGGCCAGAATACTGAGTTCCGCCAACGCTCCCATTGGCAGGACATCCTTCCTCGGGAGTGTATACGAGGTTGGTTTGAAGCCATAGAGGCCACAGAAACTGGAAGGGACTCGAATGCTTCCGCCAATGTCAGTTCCAAGGCCAAGAACGGATCCTCGCAGAGCCTGTAGAGCTCCCTCTCCTCCTGTAGATCCTCCTGACGATAAACCGGTATTGTAAGGGTTCAACGTGCGCCCATAGAAAGAAGTGCTCTCAATATGCATAATTGCTTGAGGTTGATTGGTTTTGCAATAGAAAACGGCTCCTGCATCTCGCAATATGGATACGAGCTGGCAGTCTTCCTTGTCTTTGAACCTTGCCACCAGGAAGCCTAAGCCTGACCAATGCCCAGCTACAGGAAAGACATCTTTGACGCTGATGGGGACTCCATGGAGAGGTCCAACAGTCTTTCCTGTGGATTGCAAATACTCATCCAAGTATTTGGCTCGCTCAATAGCCTCGTCCATGAACCATTCCGTAAGACAAGAGGTCAGCTGATGTGCTATAATCGCCCTCTTGGCGAATGCCGTAGCAACAGCCACTGAAGTCAGCTTCTTTTCTCTGATGAGTGCTGCTAGAGCAGTAGCGTCGTAATTTTCAGTGATATCGATTTCTTCCGGTGACAAAAGGCCACATTGTCGAGGGACGTCCGTGACATTCCTAGGGGCATTGTTGATCAGATCTGAAGAGAGTCGAAGTTCCTCTGGCACCTTGGTAGCAAACTCTTCAAGCAAAGTTCTTCGCGATGCCTCGTATTCTGGTGGCCCAGAGGGCAACTCCATTACTTGGACAACAGGGAAAGTCTTTAGAGACATGATGTATGACGAAAGGTTTCAGAGGAGAAGATGACTGCTGATACTTTTGAGTCAGACGTTTCAAGGCAAGCAGCCGTTGACAAGATAGGTATTCAATCTTTAAATACCCATTACCTAGTAGCTTTGTTGGCAACTAATAGTGCTTAGCGCTTGCGGATCTTAACTTCGCTTTATTCGGTTTCTCGAAGGAACTTAACTCGCTATATTGACCTTGTTGATAAAGTTAAGTTCGCGTTCTTCCACTTGATGAAATCAGGATTGTTACTAATGTACAACCATGGTCCTACGCTTTTTAATCTCACATATAGAGCGGGGAATGTTACATCATCACGAACGTATCCACGCCCCTTGTCCCGAAGGATTGACAACTTACTCAAAGGAAGATACATCTAAATGCAAATTTACCTCGGTTGGGCGGACTAGAGTGGAGTGTAAACTGCGCGGTTGGCGCGCAGTCTCCAGCGTTTGCGGATTTGATAATGCCAAAACCGCTGAATTATTGAACTAAAGTGTACGAATGGATTATTTACGAACTGTGAGAACAATGAAGAAAACTTGTTTCGGGATATAGTGCCGCCGAAAATACTTATAGGAAGCATATTCAAAATTCAGATGCATGTGCTCGACTATACATGAGTGATGGAACCCTTTTATAGCAACATAACGAATAGTATACCAAATGTAACTAGCTTACTGTTAGGAAATTTGTAGCCAGCCATGATATATGGAAACGAGCCGACGGGAGTGTTACATTTGGCCGGATAATATCATGAATGGATCGGAGGTTATAGCGTAACGGATGGTTGGCAACGTCTTAGCGTTACCCTGTCGGCGACTTATTTAGAGCCAACATGAAATGGCAGACCTCACAGCTAAGTGGATCCCGCGAGATATAACATTAGCCTTATTTCTTAATTTAGATAGTCTAGAAGGTCTAAAAAGCAGCTGTGCTGGTTGAAAAGTTTGATAAGATAGAAACACCAATAGCAGTCTTGTTCGGCCAATGCGAAATATCACGCGCAGCTTTTAGTCATCAAACACATTTGTCAGTCGAGAAATACATTGATAATGCTGTTTGTAATCAATGCGTTAGTAAGAATCAAATTATAGCCGATTTTTTGGCCGGAGATAACATGTGGATTATTATAGCCTTGTTTCTCCAACTCAATAGGAGGGAATAGTTCTAAAGCACAACTGCAATTCTACGCCTTATAATGTTATATAGAGCAACCGGAGAATTGTCACATAAATTGATTGGGGAGAGTACAACATGATACTTGTCAAGCAAAAAGATGAGATTCACAATGGTGTATTGTAAAAGGGCGATTTAAAGGCCTAAAATGAACTTGGACTGCGATATGGAAGATGTTGAATGATACATAGCGTTAACTTAAGTTATGCTGATTTAGTCTCATATCAAGTGCTTTATTGTTACAAATCCGAGGAATATTGAATGCTGAAATCAACAGGACTTACAATCGCATTTGAAAGAGCGGATGTAACTCGCTAATTGTTGAAGCTAGACATCTAGCTTATGCCGTTCCACTCACCGACCCCCCATACATGTAAAGTTTTTCGAAGTGGATAGTAATATGTTCGTCGGCATTGATTATGCCAAATGCTGCAGTAAAATACATGATTAGTGTGAAATCGTTAGCAAGTCGCAAATGCATCCTCTGAACTAGCTTACACACTTACAACACATCCATGAAAACCTAGCTCGTCACGCCATGCTTATGATCACAGAGCGAGAAGAAGCTACTGATTCATTTGATCTAGCCGGCGAAGCCTTCTTAAGAACCAAATCGCTGTTGTAAGGTGATGGGGACACCTCTGAAAGTACATAGCATGCGGAGCTGATGGTGTCCTCGGCAGACGGCACAATAATCGTATGATAGCTATTTCCATCTAGTAAGATGAAGCTAATAAATAGCATTTCTTTTACTGAATAGATGTTAGTACGCAATAAGACCCTTCATAGGACGTGTCTCTATCTTGTTGTCACAAAACAGAAAGTAGAAGATAAAACAGATCTTCAGAGGACAAGCAGGGGCAGAGATAGGTAAAATAAAATGACGGCTGCATACTGGCTGCTATTCATGAATATTCTCCATTAGATAAAACCTTCATCATAATCAAAATCCCTCAAGTCATCCTCATCCGTTACAGATGAGTCGAGATACTCGACTTGCGGCCTCCTGGTAAAAGCCGCCAAACGCTCTTCAATAGTAGTTCCTCCAAAGCCAATTGAGCTAGAGTCTGCGCCTTTTTCGATCAAGAATGCAGTAATGGGATAGTTTTTCATTCGAAAAGCTATATTCAGCGCTGTCTGGCCTTCACAATCCTCAACATCTATATCTGCACCTTTTTCAATAAGTAGCCGTATGATATCTTCATCACTCCTTTGCTGAATAGCATATATCAGCGGCGTCTGGCCGCTGGAATTCTTACTGTTAACGTTTGCGCCCTTCTCTATAAGCAACTGTACAATATTCTCATTATTTTTATGCCTGATAGCATGCATCAGCGGTACCCAGCCGCCGGAATCCTCAGTGTTGACATCTGCACCTTTTTCAATGAGCAGTTGTATAATATCTTGATCAATCTTCTGGTCTATAGCATGCATCAGCGGTGCCATGCCACCATCAGAATTAAGGTTGATGTCTGCGCCGTTTTCGATGAGAAGCTGTATGATTTTTTTATCCCTTCCTTCATTCATGCTATATAGCAGTGACGTCCAGCCACTGCTATCCTGTTCGTTGATGTCTGCACCCCTTTCAATAAGCAGCTGTATGATATCTATAGTATTTTCGTGCGCAATTTTAAGTCTTAAAAGCGACTGACTTAGGCGACTCTTGGTGTTGATATCTGCGCCTTTTTTGAGAAGCAGCTGTATAGTATTTTTATTTCTTCGCTCAATAGCATGCATCAGCGGCGTCCGACCGCGGTCATCCTTGATGTTGATATCTGCACCTCTTTCTATAAGCATTGCCGCTATGGTATTATAGTGTTTTTGGATAGCTATAATGAGTGCGGTTTGATGGAGTCGGTATGTGTCTTTGAAGGTGACATCTGCGCCTCTTTCTGCCAGTAGCTCTGCAGTACTGGCGTGACCTTTCTCCACGTCTATTAACAACGCCGGCCTATAATCGTGACTCGTCATGTTCACATCTACCCCATTTTCAATGAACCACTCAACGATAGGCTTATAGCCTTTGCTAATTGCCCATAGGAAATTTTCATCTTTGCAGATCAAGCGATGTCTGATATCCTCTGGACGGCAAGAAGTTTCACCAGCGGATAAAGCATCTTTTCCTTGAAGGGCTTGAACGGCAGCAACATTTCCGTTCATAATGGCAGCGAAAATCGGATATCGGTACCTCTCGCCTAAAGTACAATAATTCGAATCATGGCGAAGTTGTGTTTGGATTAGAGCCGAAAACCCCTTGTCTGCCAAGATATAAGACAGACATGCTGTCGCCGTATAGCGGCGTACTTTGTAGCTTTCGATCAAGTTGCTTGTGACAATCCAATCTCTGAGTTTAAACTCAGCTAAAAAGCTATCTTGAGGCATGCTCCTTGCCGCACTATCAGCATGATATAGTACATTGTGAGTTGCGTACCCGAGAAATGGGGCTCGTAATGATACAGATACTCTGAATACTTTCATTTCTTCCTTTCCTTTTGAAAAGACACCTTCATTTCTTAGGTGTGTACCCATGAGCTCTAAATACTTATAACAGCACCGTTTCAGTTTGTCGTGACACAAACCTTCGAAGCCGTCGCCGAATTCGGGCCACAGTTCTTGGATACCATTATCCTTGATTAAGAAATCACGTACGGACTCATGAATGAACTGAACGGTGGGCTGATTCGACTTGGTAACCTCTGCTAGGCCTTTCGAAGAGCTGACAACAAATCTGTCAATTATATCGTTCGGAATCGGAGTCATAAGATCATTCAAAAGGTCCTCGTCATCACCCAGTAATCCAGTCGAGACAGCAAAATAAAACTCTTGTCTCATCAAGGGTCGTTTAGCATATAATATCCATTGAAGACAGAGTAATAGGTCTTCCATGTTTTCATTATCGCGTTTAAGAATATCCTTAAACAAGTCGCTTAGTCGATCAGGGATTTCTGCAAGTCTTTTCATCACTGCAAACATGCGACCTCGTGCAAACTCTTTGTTAAGGATATCGACAACCAAAACGACCCACATGAATACTCCAGCTGCTTTTTGAAGAATCTGGGCTTGGACCTCTTTCACCAAAGGGCCAGGGTCGGCTCTAAGGTTTCCTTGTATATATCTTACCACGTCTTCTCCGTGGCCTTTTTGGTTTTCAAGCGTAAGCCTTATACCTTTTCGAATAAAGATATAAGGATAATGACGGCTAGAAAAACAAATGCGCAGTTCAATGTTATCGTCAACCGCTTGTTGCCCTAGGGTCTCGAAATACCGCACCATGTCACGAACTTGAAGCTCATCACATTCATCCAGGGCATCGATAAAGCAAGTAAGAGAGCGTTTTCCAAGCTTTGAAATTGCGTTTTGAAATAGGAGTTGAATGGCCTCCGAAGAAGGACAGCTGCCCTTTTGTATAATAAGATTTGAATCCTCGCAAACTTTTTGGAGATCCGGATACTTTTGCAGAAGCTGAAGTAACAAAGAGCGATACATTCCTGTTGTAGACCTCTCCAAAACGTCACCTCGGGCATTGAAGAAGAACGATACTACAGCATTCTTAGTAATTAGTTCTTCTTTCACGCGTGTATATGCGAATTTCATTATTGTCGATTTGCCAGCACCAGGCTTGCCACCAAGCCACAAGAAACCGTGATGCTCACTAAGCTTTGCTGAGTCAATCCAGGCGAGATATTCAGGGCTTTGAAAAAACCAATTGCACGTTGCTTTATAGGCAGCTTCGATGTTTGAATGGCGAGAGTCGATTTGTTCAAATTTCAGACAGTCCAAAAACCGTTGCCACCAATCTTTCAAAGGCTCTTCATCTGTTGTATTACTGTTAGCGATGACTCTGTAATATCAGGATAACCTCCCATAGCCTACCAGCCCTAGGCTTCACCACTTGCACTGTCGTTTGTGTTGCCTCCTCAGTGGTTGGTATGGTGTTCAAAAACTCTTTGGCATAAGCCGCTGCTGTTGCTGCTGCGTATTCTTGCCACTGTTTATTCTTGTGCGAGTCTGAATAATCGCAAATTCCTCGGATTATCAGATACGGAAAATTCATCAAACCAGCCGCCTCCATTTCGAAACACGCAACTTGAAGTTCTTGTGCAATCTTATCTCTTGTGATCCCATGCTTCATGACCTGATTGCTAGAGGCAATGGCCTCGTAGTGGATTTTTGGATGAAAATTTGTCCTCGGAAGACGAAGCACTAGCATCGACGCATCGCATTGATCACAGCTAGCTGCGGCACGATTGTGGTTGAAGTCGGCGCGAAACAGTCGATCTTGGGCGTTTGGACGAGCGTACGAGGCCATTTGGGGATATCTGTGATACATTTCTTGAAGAATAACTGGCACCCTCGTTGGTGTCAATTCATGAATCGCGCGAAGCTTTGTGATGTAAGTTAACAATTTCGGCGGTGGGATTATCGAGAAACCCGTCCGCTCAATTTGGCCGTCGCCGACAATTTTACCAAGATCGTATTGCATCACTCGGCTGCCAACCACAATATCACCAAGTCGAAGATCCAGCTTCCCTGGTGCGCTGCCACCAATTCCCACCATTAGATGTATTTCAATAGACGGGAAACTCCTTTCTATATTGCTCGCAACAGTAGCGGCATTATTCGTCCCATAGTAGCCGGCGGGCAAGCTTGCTATAACGATATTGTGATGTCCAATACTACCAAACGTGTATGTATTGATGTCCTGCGGCGCCCGGGGCAAATCGTCATGGATGCAGTCCAACATGGCACGCGCAGCTGCCGTCTCGGTGTGTAGTGCACAGATCCAGCCGACCGTATAGTCTTCAGGCTGGTATCGAGCTGTAGGACTGATTGCCTGTTTTTGTCGCTTAGCAGCACTGAAGGATTGATCGGTTTCATCTTCGCTTCCAAGTCTCGTTCGCTTATCCATTATCTCAATCATCTTGTCCTGTGCGCAATACGTAAACTCCGATATGGATGATGTTGTAAAGTTGAGGCGCGGTAGAACAGTGTTTGGTGAAAAAATCTGACTAGGACAACGGGACAAAACATCAGACGTTTCTTAGAGACCGAATACAGAATAGTCAAAGATTCTTCTAAGCAGAACTGGATCACTGGTCCCAGCAGGAGTTCAATGCTACCTGCCTGTGGATGCCGAAGTAGAAGAAATCAGCGGAGTGGAGGGCGCATAGTAGACGATTAGGTCGTAATCAGGCGTTCCTTAAGGCAGACACGGCTGACGGCTCTCATGGAAATAAAGCAAGGCGCAGCGTTGCCAGGCTGAGCCGCCAAATGGACGAATAGAAAAGGCCTATGCAGTCCCTAAACACTCTGTTCTTATAACAGTATGTTTAACCAATGAATTTGAGCTACGGATTCTGCACGGCGGCACGTGGGCAGATCGAGGGGTAAAAAACTACATGTGCATATACTGCTCATTTACAAAATATTTATTTACCATCTATTAATTTACAGTTGTGTGATCGAGAGTAGCAACCAGCAACCCATCTTCATCTGTTAAAACCAACGGCATTGATCTTGCGCAGAGCCCTTGTCGGCGCTAATAAAGCCTCTCCACAACCGCCCAGTCGCTGGTTCTCAGAATTCATTTGCCCTACTAGTTGTAAGTGCGTTGCTCCTCTCTCCTCTTTGCAAGAAGTGAAGCAAATGGACTGAAACATTCGTGTTTCAGCATCAGCAATATAAGAATCCGAGCCCTCCTTCGATGGCTTCAACGACAGCGCCCGATCTCCGGACTCATAACGACTACACAGTGGGATGGGTCTGTGCATTGTCCAAGGAGCAGACTGCAGCGACAGCCATGTTAGACCAGAGGCATCCCGATCTCCCGAAGCCACCGAACGACCCAAACGCATATACTTTGGGGTCTATCTGGAACCATAACATCGTTATAGCCTGCTTACCCCAAGGCGAGACTGCCGCTATTCCAGCAGCAACTGTGTCAACCTAGATGATATCCACCTTTCCGTCTATTAAATTCGGTTTGATGGTTGGCATTGGCGGAGGCATTCCACCTAAAGTTCGACTTGGCGATGTCGTCGTCAGCGCGCCTGTTGGCCAATTCTCCGGCGTAGTCCAATGGGATAGAGGAAAAGGCGAGCACGGTAAATTTGAGAGAACGGGATCGTTAAACAATCCACCTATTTCGCTGCGGACAGCATTGAGTAAATTGCAAACGGGGCATGAAATGAATGGACCCAAGATACCAAATTATCTACAAGAGTTGAAACAGAAGTGGCCAAGGTTGGCAGCGAAGTATCTTAAGTCGGATTTACTCGAAGATAATTTGTTTCGAGCCGACTATGAGCATATCAATGAAATCAACAGACAGCAACGTCACCTTAGCCAGCAGTGACCTGGAAGAAGAAGAATATGACGAGGATGATGAAGAAGAAGAGGCGGTAACAAGTGGCTGCCGATCTTGTGACAAAACGAGGACCGTGAAGAGGAAACCGAGAGATATCCGCATACACTATGGTCTGATCGCATCGGGCAACCAAGTCATCAAGGACGCTGCCATACGAGACAAACTTAAGAAGGATCTTGGTAATCATGTTCTCTGCATCGAAATGGAAGCGGCAGGGTTAATGAATAATTTCCCGTGCATGGTTATTCGAGGCATCTGCGATTATGCGGACTCGCACAAAAACGACGCTTGGCAGGAGCATGCTGCCGCGGTAGCTGCGGCGTTTGCGAAAGAGCTTCTAGAGTATGTACAGCCGAGTGATGTTAACGGGGAGCGCCCGGTGAAAGATATAGTGGGCCAAAGTAAGTCCATATCGGTGCATTATATTCGGTATAAGTAACAAGTTTCTAATATAAATACGTATCAGTCCTTGATGCCACTTCTAGAACTGAAGCAAAGGTTACAACGGCAGTGTCCAAATTGGATAGAAAGGAAGATTTGGAAATCCTCAAATGGATCACAACGTCCGAGTATGGTTCTCAACAAAGTGACAGCTTACGGAGACGGCAAGCAGGAACCGGCGAATGGCTTCTCAACTCCAAAGAATTCCAGGAGTGGTGTAAGGGAAGTAGCAAGACTTTATTCTGTCCAGGTATTCCCGGAGCTGGTAAAACAATTCTTACATCAGTCGTCATCAATCATATCGACGAACAGTTCCAATATGATACGACAGTTGGAGTGGCTTATATCTATTGCAACTTCCAGAGAAAACATGGCGCTGAAGATATGATTCAAAGTCTACTCAGACAACTGAGTCAAAGACAGCCTTCCCTACCAAAAGCTGTAAAGGCCCTCTACAAACGACATAGCCCTAAACAGACTAAACCATTGTTACACGAAGTCTCAAAAACTCTCAAGTCTGTGGCAGCCATCTATTCAAAAGTCTTTATTATCGTCGACGCACTTGACGAGTGCCAAGCATCCAATCGCTGCCGACAAACACTCTTGTCGGAAATTTTTTCCCTTCAAGCAGCGACTGGAGCCAACTTCTTTGCAACATCGCGACACATCCCGGAAATCAGAGAGCAATTCAACGGGACCTTGTCTTTAGAGATTCGTGCTCATGATGAGGATGTAAGGAGATATGTCGAAGATTATATCTCTGACATACGAACCCTTAATTGGTGCCATGCGGATTCCGAGAGCTCATTAAGTCTGTAATAATAAAAGCAGTCGACGGAATGTACGTACAATATAGACGTGTATATCGGGACTCTTACTGACATACCGCTAGGTTTCTCTTGGCACAATTGTATCTCCAGTTCCTTGCGGATAAAACCACCCCAAGCGCTGTGAAGGCTGCATTAAATCAATTACAGAGCCGCTACCAAGGATCAGGAGAGGAAAAGAAGCTTGCAGTATTAAATCAGGCATACGATGATGCCATGAAGAGAATTCGACAACAAAGCACCGATTTTACGCAACTTGCAGAGAGGATCATATCGTGGATTACCTACGCCAAGAGGTCGCTCACTGTGCGGGAGCTCCAGCATGCCCTTGCCGTGGAAGTCGGCAAGTCTGAGCTGGATCCTGATAACTGCTCACATATTGACCTCATGATATTCGTATGTAACGGATTGGTCACGGTTGACGAAGAGAGCAATATCATTCGCCTAGTGCATTACACCACCCAAGAATATTTCGAGCAATCAGGCAGCCGTTGGTTTCCTGATGCACAGACAGATCTTGCAATCACTTGTGTTACATATCTTTCATTTGACGCTTTCAAAAGTGGTCGTTGCCAGACAGCCAAAGCGTTTGAGGAAAAATTACAACTGCATGCCCTTTACGACTACGCAGCACAGAACTGGGGATATCATGCTTACGCACAGCCTAAACGGATGAAGAGTTGATCTTCAAATTTCTAGAAAGTGACGCCAAAGTTCTTGGTGCGAGTCAAGCGATGTTAGCTCCCGCTCTACGCCGGATATATCACGAAACATGCAGCCAAGAAGTGCCGCAGGGAGTAAGGATTACACCTGGCGGCTTACTTTGGGCTAGAATACGTAGCTAGAGCTCTGCTTGCGAAGAAGCAAAATCCATATGTCCAGGATACGAACAAAAGAACGCCATTGTTTTACGCGGCAGGTAACGGACACGCAGCGGTTGTCAGGTTTCTGCTTACTATGAAGGGCACCTACCTGCATGCCGTAGATAGATACGGGCAAACTATACTATCATATGCTGCAAAGCGTGGGAGCGAAGCAGTAGTCATGCTACTTATCGATATGGATGGTATCAACTTAGATACAAAAAGTAACAGCGAACAGACGCCGCTGTCTCATGCCGCAGAAAAGGGGCACGAGGCTGTAGTGAAATTGCTGCTTGCCTCAAAATGCGTTGATCCGAACTCTCAATGCTTAGAGTTGCAGACACCGCTATCCTATGCAGCAGATGCAGGACACGAGGGTATAGTCAAGCTACTACTCGGTACGGATGGTGTTAACCCAGATGCTAAAGATCGGAGTGGAAGAACGCCTTTATCACTTGCCGCAAGCACCGCACACAAGGCGGTAGTTAACCTGCTGTTAGCCGCTGAGGGCGTCAATTTGAACTCGAAATGTTGTAGTTCCTATGATAATACCTCAGAAGGCGCGGGAAGGACACCGTTTTCATGGGCAGTAACTCACGGGTCAGTGGAGGTTGAAGAATTACTACTGGCAAAGCATGGCGTCGACCTGGACTGTAGAGATGCGAATGGCCGAACGCCGCTCTCTTATGCCGCACAATATGGACCGGAGGCAGTGGTCAAGTTACTATTAGCGAAAAACAAGATCGATCCGGATTCCAGTGATGACAGTGGCCGAACCCCACTATCATACGCAGCTGAACGCGGGCGCGAGGGAGTAGTAAGCCTACTATTAGCAAAAGATGTAAATCCGGATTCGAAGGACAATGAAGATAAGACACCACTATCGCACGCAGCAAGAACACAGAGTCCTGCAGTAGTGAAGCTACTGCTAGCTACAGAGCGCGTCAATCCTAACTCTCAAGATACCGAAGGTCGAACACCACTGTCGTGGGCAGCAAAAGGTTATAACGAAGCGACGGTGATGCTGTTACTCGCTACGAGTAGTGTGGATCCCGACTTGAGGTCCAAGGACGGACGAACAGCGTTGTCCTATGCAGTATGTGATTATCGCGCGGCGGTGGTGGTCCAGCTGCTCCTAGCAAACAGCGGCATTGACCCCAATTCTAAAGACAACAAGGGTCGGACACCGCTGTCATGGGCAGCAGAACATGGGTGGACGACGGAAGCAATGGAAACGTTACTAGCGAAGGATAATATCGATCAGGATTCTAGAGACAATGATAATCGGACACCGCTATCATATGCGGCGGAGAGGGGGAGGGAAGCAATAATCAAACTGCTACTAGCCTCGAATCTACGTGTCGACGCAGATTCTAAAGATGATAGTGGCCGTACACCATTATCTTACGCTGCTGAGAATGGACAAAGAGAAGTGGTTGATCTGCTGCTAGCGACAGGCCAACGGGTCAACGCAGATTCAAAGGACATTAACGGTCGTTCACCACTATCATACGCAGCAGGGAATGGGAAAACAGCGATAGTTGAGCTACTACTAGCCACCGACAGTATCGATGCAAATTCTCTAGATTCCAACCACCGTACACCCCTGTCTTGGGCAGCAGGGATAGGAGACGTGGAGATGGTTAACTTGCTGCTCACAAACCCCACTGTCGACTCTAATTCTCCAGATAAAGATGGCCAGACCCCATTTTGGTGGGCTGCGAAAAGAGAATACGAAATTATTACCGAACAATGGTGGTTTCCGACTTATTTATTAACACCATCAGAAGAAGAAGAAGGTCCATTAATACGTTTAAAACGTTTAGAAGAAAAAGATGACACTGTCTCAGAGCTACTATGTGCAAGGCACTTTGATGCCTTGAAACTTTGGGGCAAGCGAAATGAAACTTCGGTACTTAAAGTAAATTGGCAGGAGGTGGTGCTAATGTTCATTCTAGCGAACGAGAAAGTTGAGCTGCAGTTACCTTCGGCTAAAGATGCTTGGTTCGAAATGATCAAGAGACTCTTGATGCTCAAGAACGGCATTGATCCAGATATTCAAGATTCTTGCGGTCGGACTCTATTGTGGTGGGCTGCGGAAATAGGGCATGAGTCAATTGTGCAACTATTATTAACAAACGAAAATATTAAACCAGACTCGGAAGATAAATTCAACCAAACGCCATTGTCTTGCGCTGCGAGTAATGGGCACCTCGCAATTGTACAAGCTTTGCTTACAAAGCCTTGTATCAAAGTAAATTCCAGAGACAGCGACGGCCAAACACCGCTTTTACATGCAATACAAAATGGACACGAGGCGATAGTAGAGTTACTGCTTACGCAGAAAGGCATAGATGTGGAATCAAAGGACGAAAGAGGTGAAACATCTCTATCGTTGGCGGCGAGGAACGGGCATGTGTCCATTATGCGACTATTGGTCGCAAATGAGAATATGAAGCCAATTTTACAAAACCAGGACAACACGGCGACAGCGTCAATGGAGGCAAGTCGGAACGGGCATCAAGAAATTATAAAGCTTCTACTTGCCAAGGATGCTATAGAACCCGATGCTAGGAATAAGAGTAGTCCATCGCTCTTATGGGTGGCGGCGTTACGGGCATGTGGAGATTGTGAAGCTCTTGCTTGAAAAGTACTGCGTTGAACCTGATTCTAAGGATAAGGACGATGAATCGCCTTTATGGGCTGCCGCATGCAACGGGCATGTGGAGATTGTGAAGCTCTTACTTGAGAAGTACTGCGTTGAACCTGATTCTAAGAATAAAGACGATGAATCGCCTTTGTTGGCTGCCTCATGCAACGGACATGCAGAGATTGTGAGGCTTCTGGTCTTAGAGGACGGCGTGGACATTGACTCCAAAGATACAGAGGGAAAATCACCGTTGTGGTTTGCCTCGCGCAACGGACATGCAGAGATTGTGGAACTCTTGCTCGCAAAGGGTGGTGTAAACATTTACTGCAAAATAAACTTGGTAGGACACCGGTGTCATGTGCGATGCAGAATGGACATAAGGAGATCGTCGAGTTGTTATGGGCAGCTGAGTATCAACAGACTTTAGGTTGCTGATTTTAAGCTAAACGTATACAAAAGAGAATTCGTAGCGAATATAACAGTCATAAATTTCTCTTCTTTTTAATGTTTTCTTATGCAATCAACAGCTTTAGACCCTTTGTAACTTGCTATAGAAGTTTGGCGACGTGCATACTCGTGGTTATTTTTTAATCAAATTTCAATACTGTGCTTAAGTAAACCCCGCCTACTTGATTGTTTCAAGTTAGCTAGATGTGTAGGGGGTTGTAATTTCAACAAGTAGATGGTCATGATCAGGCTATGGAAAAGATATGGGAAATAAGACTGGCCACGAGCAAAACGTAATGAAGAAGTGGACTTGATCAAAGAGAGTGGGTCTGCTGACAACTCTGTATAGGCACATGATGAGTCAATGAAGGCACTCAGCATTGATGAACATATGTATCATATTACCAATAGTGCAGTGGCTTGCATGAAACGCGCCGCTTGTCGTGGATTGTGTACTGGTTCAAGTACTCAAAATCTTTACCACCAAAAAATATGGTAACGCTCTGTGATATGAGAAACTTCTTGGATTGTGTTTGATGAGTTCTATCTCTGCAATGTAGCATTTTGCGAGATTGGCGCGGGACACGCAGAGATGAATCTCCAAAATCCAATTGACCAACAATTCAGGTCCCCCTTTTTCAGCATTTCCGATGAGACACACCACCAGTCCTTCCAGCCTTTCACGGGCACAGTGCCGTTTTAATCCCACCATTCTCGTCCAGGAAACCGAATAACAGTAGACAGTATGAGCGTGAATGAAACCAGGACAACGTTCCTCTATACTTATAGGCCATTCCCACCAAATTCCCAAGATGGCCTCAGGCGCGTGTATGGTCGATGGAACTGAGAAATAGATAGACTTCTAGTGTACCAGGGCTCCTATCCAATATAAATCCTCAGCGACATGAGACGCCTTGTTTACTTCTCACATAATACAGCAACACCCAGAGTCACGGATTTCATCGCAGTGTCCCCGTATTGAACCGGCCCTGCTCGAAAAGAGTGCAGCAGCCAATATTAAATTGGACAACAACGCTTGCTTGCTTGCCTTGGACATGGCACTTTCTCTAACCTAAAGTAAATTCGCCCAATGCTCCCTACACACGCGCCTGCCTTTCTGCTACTCACCGCCACACTATTTTCGTCATGTCAAGCAAGTGTCGTCAAATCTATAATCTGGGGAATACGTACGTCGATCGTATGAAGATTCGTCCTTTACTCTTTTTCCCCTTCTTCCATCTGCTTAAGGAGATGCTTTTCTCCTTCGTAGCTCTTCTTGGCTCGAACTGGTCGGTCATGACGCTTCCTGCCCTGCTCGCGCACAGTTCTTTTTCCTCACCTTTTTCATGTTATGAGTGCTTCAGGTCGTTCGCGCCGTTTACCGCGTTCAATCTGCTCGCGCCTGCCTTTCCGTCAGTTCTGCCATCTCTCCGTGACGCAATTTTCGCTCAGCATATTTCATTGAATACGTACCCTGTCGCATAAAGATCCCGCGCCCCTCCTCTCCTCTCTTGTTCTTCTTTCTCCTCTTCTTCTTCATCGTGTGCTGTCTGAAGACGACCCGGCTCATCACGGATGTTCAAGATATTGGGATGGGAGTTGACATTGCCAAGGCCCTGCGTGAGGCGACTAACACCTTGGGATGATCAGCTAGTCTGGTAAGTACTACGGCACAAATTTTGATTTGTTTCTCGTACCCCTGGTATTACACTCCCTCCAGGTGGCACTTTTTTTCATTGCACTCGACGGCTTGTCCGTTGATGCGAAGAAGAAAACATGCTGGCTTTGCCTCTTTTTCTCCTTGTCTCTAATCGTCATCGTCATCGCCCTCCTCCTCTTTCGTTTTGTCGATGGCCGCATGGCCGGCCCACCAGTCATTCATCGACGATCAGGGACCGAAGTGGTCGTTGGTACTAGGTGTTTTTCCTGTGTGATATGGTCATGATGCAGTGGCAGGCTTGGGGCGGAAGTGGCGAAGGAGTTGAGGCGGAAGCGGTGGTCTGGATAGGGAGGGGAAAGGGTGGCATTTTATTGTATCTGTAGTCGCTGGCTTGCGCGTCAATACGATCCATCAGACCATCAGATGTGCGCTGTGAAATGATCAAGTGTCTATTGCCCCGCCGCTATGATTGTACAATCTGTTCGCGTATTCTCTGCACACGCCTCCAAAACTCTAGATTGTGCCTTGACATCAATCCACTGCGCAGGGGAAGCCACCCACCGCGGTCTTTGGAACAGGGAGTGCATACAATTTCAGGAGCCCAGATGTCCCGCTCCTTGGACGTATCTTCCTCCCAGCACCTGTTCATATCTTGCGCCTTTGCCTCGATTGTTGCGTGATAGAAGTCACGTATCGCAGCGATCCGAAAAGATAAGCTCAAAAAATGCGAGCTTCTGGTCCCTCCCAACTTCCATTAACACAGAGGAACGCTACCAAAAGATCTTCACTTTGCCTTTTAGCCACAATTTGCCTTATGTCACTCAAAATGGGCAGATGTCGCGACCAAGTGCCCTCGCATAGAGTGGAGCGATGTGGCTAAGCCTTTGCACAACACCACATACGCATGCACCAGTAATCTTATGAAAAGGGCCAAAAAGGCTATCTGGTAATCGGCTCAATTATGGATCGTAGAGTGTATTATCAGCAGCGCCAGGAGGCCTCTTTCGTCTTTCTAAAGATAGAAACGCCACTGGCCGAGGACGTAGAAAAGATCCGCAGATATGGGGTGCTATGCTCGATATGTTGGTAAAAAGGTCCTATTCTCTGTTTTTTTGTAGTTTTCGGCTCCACTGGAAATGGATTGGCGCATTTGTACGTTAATTTTGGCCAAGCCTTGATCCATATACATATATTGTGACCGGCGAGCTCTGTTCTCCATTGCCTCATCGCATTATATGCGTGTATCATATCGACCAAGAGATGGCTATACTAGATATGAGTCATCAGTAGCATCAGTAGCATCAGTAGCATCAGTAGCATCAGTAGCATCAGTAGCATCAGTAGCATCAGTAGCATCAGTAGCATCAGTAGCATCAGTAGCATCAGTAGCATCAGTAGCATCAGTAGC